TTCGAAGAATTTCTCCCATTTATTATTAAGGTCAGAAGAAAACTCTTTGCTTCAAAATAATTAATATTGACTTTCTGAGTCAAGAAATGGAAATCTATTTGTTACAAACTAGTCGAATGGTAAAGGATATAGAATTGAAATAATCACCATTGCAATGGAAAGTGTGCATTTCTCAATCTGATTCAACATACTATACCCAAAGAGTAAAAGATGCAGAAAAGTATTTTATATGAAAAAATATAGGTCTGATGAATGGAGAGAGGAAGGGTGGGAGAGTACAGTTATAATATTTAATGTATATATGTAAAAATGAACCTGGAAACTTGAAGGGCTGGGAGGGGTGGGGAGAGATGGGGAAGAGCGACAGAAGGGGTGAAATTGCTCAAGATACCTTGTGCTCTTAAACAGATAGATCGAATGGAAACACCTCAGTACAGATACTTCAAGATAATAAAAACAACGTTTTTTAAATTTAAAAATTATTATTTGAATGCAAAATTTAAAAAATACACATAGGTCTGAGAATGAGAGGCAGAGATCATCAGAACATTTCCCGAACATTATAGGAACAGTCTCAAAATGCTTGTAAATTGCTGATATCCTACAGATAGAAGCTATATGTTGATGCAAGTGTATTTCCAACTTGCAAATGCACTCACATTCAGATTCACACATGAAAAGTATAAAAAAACACACAAATTCTTCATGATAATTCATTAGTGCATTTCTAGCTTATTGGCACATTCACAGGTTTTTTTTCTGAACATGATGCAATAGTTGAAATTAAAAAATAGTTATTAACTGACTCCTTTTATCTGTAAAATATACTGGCAGAAATTCAGAAACATTAAATTCATTATTTTTTTAATTTTATTTTATTTGTGAACATACTGTACAGAGGGGTTACAATTACATGGGCAAGATAATGCGTACATTTCTTACCAAGCATTGCAGCCTCCTCCTTTGTTTACCCTTCACCTCCCTTCCCAGCCTCCCCCCTCCCCCCATCCTTCCCCCCCCCTCGCTCCCCCCCCACCGACATTGTAAAGCTCCTTTTTGACATGACAATTTGTACTTCTCATTGTTGCAACAGGTCCACCTGAGTCCTTAAATGAGAGTCCTTAAATGACTTGTTTTTCCCCATCTCCTCCATAAGTTATACTGACATCAAATATATTGAAAGCGGGGGTTATACTGTGGGGGAGGGACATACAAAGCAACAAAGAAATAAAGTTATAAATGCATTAGAAACACATGCATGAAAGAAAAAAAAACATTAAAATACCTATTTAAGGATTCATTTTCCTAACATCTCATTATCTGACTTTTTCCGCTTGACTCATACATATACTAGATATTGCAAATAAGGGATACCATGGGACCTGTGTTTCTTTGGGCCTGGCTTACTTCACTTAATATAATTTTTTCCAAGTTTTTCCATTTCCTAACAAATGGGGCAATGTCATTCTTTCTGATGGAGGCATAGAATTCCATTGTGTATATATACCACATTTTCTTGATCCCTTCATCTACTGAGGGGCATCTGGGTTGGTTCCATATCTTAGCTATGGTAAATAATGCTGCAATAAACATCATTATTATATTCAAATTTCTCCACAGAAATTTGTCATTTAACACATGAAAGCTTATTTATAATGACAGACTACAAACCAAACAGGAAAAAGAAAAGGTGAACTTACTTTTCTGGTGTTTGACGAAAGTGACTTAAACACTCTCCTCAATCTCATCCCTGGGTCTCATCACTGACAGGAATATAGTTCAGATCTAGACAACATCTTTGTTATGGCTGGTGCATTTGCCTGCTTTGAAGGCTCCCAGTTAAATGACTTTTAGAGGGAGATCAGAGCTGTCATTTTCTTAGACTGCCAAGCCCTGAATTCATGTGATCACTCTTGAATAAATTCATTTTTATTGACTTCTAGTCAATTCCTACATCAGAGAACTCCAACTGGACTTGTTCCCTGACAATTTATGATCTCATCAAGAGTGTTGCAGAGGGAACACAGTATTTGTAACTTGTCTGTATCTTGGAGGAAGGAACAGGTTTCAAAACATAGAACACTCTTTCAAAACAATATAAAGCAAAGAGCTTTTACTCTAAGGAAAAGTTCTGGGTTTTCTGATTGGCATGTTGAGTCAAATAATCTAATCAAGTTTTGAACATTGAAAGGAGCAAACTCTTGACTTTGTTTAATGTTTCCTATTCCATGTCTTCTTCTCCTTTCTGCTTTATCTCAGGAAATACCAACACTTGCCACCTTCTCAAGCTAAACTATAGGAAAACTGCTTTACTCCCATCCTTGAAATACCTTAGCACTCAATCCACCATGAAATTGTATTGACTTTAGTTCCAGAGTGTCTCTCAATCCAACCAGTCTCCATATCCACCATCCTTACCATACTCCAATTAGTATTACTGTCATACCTTCCCAATAAATCGCTCTACTCCCATCATTAATACCATAGAGGTAGTCTGGATTCAGAGCCAAATATTATCTTTTCTAATGATGTCTATGATAATAGAGCTTTCTCTCATAACCAGCCAACTTCTAATGGCTTTCTAATGCACTTGGTTTAAAATTCATAATGTCCAAAGCTCAATTTTGCCCAGCCTTTCCATATGAACCCATTGTCTCTAATCACTCAAATTTTGTTTCTATTTTGGATTATCCCTTGTGCTTTTCTCACAGGTTGCCCGAGCATCTGTTTCCACTTGCAGATTGCATTCTTGTCAATAAAATTTCCATTTGCTGTCCCCTCAAAAGTCTTGTATGGTTGGCCCGCTCAGTACTGCCTTTAGTTTTCTTTGGAAGTACTTCAAGTGATCAGATTTCCTCAACACTATTGATATTTAGGGCTATGTAATTCTTTGTTAATGGGGAGAGGCAGTGCTCAAGGTGAAATAAATAATGCTGAGGAAAGAAGACACTAGAGTATTGGGTGAATCATCAGATCAGCTGGGGAGATATTAAAGCATCCAGAAATGATTTCAGGAGTAATGTTGAGGAGATGAAGTACAACTTTCACATACATCTTACACCCCCATGACACTAATTCTACAGGATATTAAGGGATGAAACTTCAACATTCATACATTTGGTTGTGCTCACAGAGATGATCTTCTCATGTGAATGTTAACTGCATCATACCATATAACACCACGACACAAACAATGACCCATCACCACATGCATAGGCTCCAGAGATTAGGGGAACAGATATCTTCAATGGGACATTTCAGAAGTCTGCCTTCCACAGTGTCAAATATTAATAAGAATAATTAGTTACAACGTTCTTAGGAGTTCTGCATAAAATAATCAATATATGCCCCAAACCTAGCTTGTAATGTATAGCCTTAGTTTTCTAAGTGAAGACCAATACATGTTCATTCTTGATGTGCTCAATATATTATCATTTTTACATCATGCTTCTGGAATCATAGTTCTGATATTTCATGTGCCCCAAGATTACCATCTTGGTTCCTTCCACAGGACTAAGAGATAAAAACAGTCCCTTTGAAACATTCTCACTTAGATTATTAGCATTACTTTTCTTCATTGGTTAGCTGGGAGAATGTACTCTCAGAATGCTGAAATGATGTGTGCATCTCTAAGAGTGGTCGGTGCCCATAAAATGGGATGGTGACACTTCCTTTTTAAAAAATGCTTCACTAAAACACTCCCTGAGTCTAATGGAATGTTGTTAGTACAACTGAGCCATGTCTTAGAAACTCTTGTATTATTTAAGGGAAAGCTTTATAAGACAAAGTTAATTGCACTGTTTTTGTCACTGAATTAATGGCAAGGAATACTTATTGGAGTCTTGGTATAAGTGATGTGAACTACAGCTTTCAACTTGTTGACTTGTATCAACTCATAGATAATTCATAAAAGTCAGTAATCCATAAAAGTCAGGTAAGTCAATTGAGAAATAATAATTGTTAAAATAACTTCTTCTGTTCAAAAGAAGAAATACTGGAATCCTTGGCTCAAGATCTCTGTTCTTGTAGATTGAAAGCTGTGCATTATTTCCACAGATAAGGAAGTCATAGGAATCAAAGCAAAGATCTTTTACTTAACTACCTTTGAATGTTCAATTAGACAACAATGATAATATTGGTCATATCAACAAAACTCACATTTAAAAAGTTTGCCAATCAATTTTGTGAATTTTAAGGTATCTCAGGTCTCTAGTTAGATAAAGTCATAACATATCTAAACATGGTAAATAAGGCCTATCAAGTTTTAGTGCTTTTTGTAAGAGTATACTCTGTATCATAAAAGAAAACACAGAAAAGTAAAAATATGCTCAAATTTGATGTAAATATATATTTAAAAATGCTCATCTACATGATCATTCCAATTCTCATTGAAAATATTTATCTTCACAGGTTTCAAATTTCCTGCATTGTCAAAACAGACCAAAAAAATCCATTTACTTTTAGTTTAAAGTCTGCAAAATGGCAAGAAAAGAAAAATCAGTGAATTTTTAAAGCAAAAAATACAGTGCTGCTGGGTAATCGATTCCATTTCCATTAAAATCAATATTATGTCTTAACCTGTACTTGAGTGAATAAAAAAGATAAGAAAATAAGTCAATATTTTAAAATTATGGAAAGGAAATCAATCTCCGTTGCATCCTTAGAAGAATAAGCAATTCCATTATGTGTGTGAAAAGAGACTTGTTAGCTGGCACCGTAATCACATGGTCTATTTGCTCTCAAGCTCCATCCTTGGTGCTTCTTGACTTTGCCCACTGGCTCCACTAATAAGGAATCTTTTTGAGAAAAATTGTGCATTCCAAGAATACACTGGGCCACATCTGGATAAATCACATTAAGCTGTAGAATACTGTCTTTAAAAAGAGTTACAAGGGGCTGGGAAGGTGGCTCAGTGAAGCCCTGGGTTCGATTCCTCAGCACCACATAGCAAAAAAGGCCAGAAGTGGTGCTGTGGCTTGAGCACTAGCCTTGAGCTGAAGAGCTCAGGGACAGCGGCCAGGCCCAGAGTTCAAGCCCCATGAACAACAACAAAATAAAAACAGTTACAAGTTCCTATGATTTGGGTATACAATGGACTTCACAGGCTCATTTGTTGAACACTTAGCCCCAACTGGTGTACTATTTGGGGAGGAGATGGATCCTGAAGGGCTTAGCTGGAGGAAGAGAATCACTGAGGGGCATGATGTGGAAAGTTAGAACCTAGTCCCTAGTTTTCCTCCTTGCTCTTTGAATTCTGTCCATCACCGGGTGGAGAGTCTCTTCTACCACATGCTCCTGCTGCCATAAATGTTCTGTGCAGAGTCAATGGAGCCAAAGGACTTTGGGCTGAATTATCTGAAATCCTAAACCAAAATAAACCCTCCCTTCACTTGTCAGATAAAAATTTTGGCACAGTGACACATAAGCCTGATACATGTACAAGCTTAAATGGAAGTGTTGTTACAAGGAGCTTTAAGGGTCTTCCTGTGGGAGGAGCTTCCACTTCATGGAGGAATTAATCTCCTCATCAAAATCATCCAGTTCCTGTTCTTTGGCGAGCTCCAGGAAAACCTGTGGTGGGAAGAACAAATGGAAGGGAAGGACGTCATTTTTCCTTCTGAAGCTGCCACAGAGCGCACAGGGTAGGAGTAGGTTATGTACTCTTATTCAATGGATGATGTAAAATCACTTGAACTGACCTACCTGTTCCAGAGTAGACTGTGAAAGACTGTACTCCTCCAAGCTGAAGTTCTGCTTAACTGTGTAAGGATGAATGTACATTAGAGGTTCATATGGTTTTTATTCAGGGCACTTGGGAGAACATTCAATCAAAAAAATCTAAGGAATTGACAAATGTTTTTTTTCCCATGATATGAGTATAATACTACAATTCAGTATTTGTGCATGTTGCACTGTTGAATTGGATTTTTCCTTGTTTCTCAATACTGTCTAAACCATCACTTACCTAGCTCCAATTTGAAGAAAGTCTGTGATAAAGGTCGAACATCCTCAATGGGCAATTTATAGACCATCAAGGAGGAATACCTGAGAAGAGGAGAAAGTAAGACTGACCTCCAAGTTTCAAGGTTATGACCTTGAATGGGTCCCTGTCTGAAAAGAAGCAACAGTCTTGTCTAGTATTTGTTTCAATACACATATCAATCTGGTCTTGGAGATAGCCATGGGGTAAATATTCTTTGATCAACAAAATGTCAGTCCACTAAGTAGATAGGAACGCAAGGAAGGAAATCAACAGCATTATGCCTTATGAAGGGAAAAAAATAGATTATTCTTCCTCTTTCTCAATGAGAAGAATATTTAAGCCAAAAAATAAAGCCCAACAACAGCCAAGTTCAACGTGGCTCTACCACAGTTACTTGGTGCCATCTGATCTACCTAAGCCTAAAATGCTGTTATGATAATAATGACAGTCTGAGACACCATTCAATAAACTTTGAGGGATGGCTGGTACTGTGCTTAGATTTAATTTGTGGGTTCTCCTTTACCAGAGGATGGTTTTACCCTTTAGAAAGGGCCACTGAGATGACCTTCGATCAAATATATACTACCTGAGCCACACCATAGAGCCACCAGAAATGCTAATACCCTTCTAAGAGTCAACTTCCAAATAGCATTTGGTTATCCCACTTCTATATTATGGCAGCACTTGGAACAGAGCCTTTCTCCAGTAATGTATGTACTCAATAACTCTCTTCATCAGTGAAAAGGTAAAAGCTGTTATTACTTCACCACTCCAATAGAAACACTGACACAAAAGACCTATGCTTACCTTTCCTGCCGAGCAGCCTGAGGGAAAAGTCTTAGGATCTCTGCATGGAGGGGCTCCACCTGTGAGAGGCTCTTCACCTTCATCTCCAGCAGGTAATCTTTGCCGAACTTGCTTTTCAGGTGTTGGGTGGAACCAAGACATCTGGAGACAGGAGGAGGATGAAGTCAAGCAAGACTTGGCTAGAATCAGTGAGTCATTCAGCCCTGGGGGCCACAGAGGCACAAAGAGCTGGGATTGGCCTCTCCAGCTTCTCACAATGGGTAACACCCTTCTATCAGAGCAGGTAACCTAGGGATCAAATGCACGCCTAGGTATGCACTCACCTCAGCCTTCCAGACACCATGATGGCCACGCGGTCACACACGGCTTCGGCTTCTACCATGTAGTGGGTGGCCAGGAGGGCACCCCCATTCATGTTTTTAATGGTGGCCCGGATCGCCTGCCTAGAGTTCAATCAAGAGAAGAGGTCAAATAAAGGGAAAGTTCATGATATTGTGGAATTTTTTTTAATAAAGAGTTTCAAAACCAGATGTGATTTCAGACTAGACCCAAACCAGAATTTTTGTAGGGGTAACAGTCATGAAACCAAACAATTAGTTAGATGACATAATTTAGAAAATGGATTGGCCGAACATAGAGAATGATATTGGGTGCAAGGATTGTTTAAAAAAACCAACAACAAAACACAAAATTGCTATTTCAGAAGTACTTGTGAGAGTGCAAAGGGATGAAAGATAGAAAATGAGAATTTGTTTTAAAGTGATAATTTTGACATGAGCTATCAAGATATAAAATATCAGATTATAGAAATTTTCATATTAAAGAAGTTTCCTTGTTGGAATGCTTCTTTTATCCTTCACAAGAATTACATGCTAAGTGATTTAAAGCTTAATAATTCATCTCACAAGTATGCCTCATATATATTAGAAGGTCCAAAAGGAAAGAAAACTCCTCAGAATGTGTTTTAGGTTGAGAAACACACTTTCCTTCTCAATGAGAACTGTTCATTGTGATATGAAGTGGCTATTTCTTTTTCTTTTTTGTAGGTTGTGGGGCTTGAACTCGGGGTCTGGGCGCTGTCCCTGAGCCTGTTTGTGTTCAAGGCTAGTACTCTATTACTTGAGCCACAGTGCCACTTCTGATTTTTGAGTGGTTAATTGGTGGTAAGAGTCTCACAGGGACTTTTCTACCTGGGTTGGCTTTAAACCACAATCCTCTAATCTCAGCCTCCTCAGTAGATAGGATTACAGGCATGAGCCACTGGCACCCGGCTTATTTCTTTTTTCTTAACGTTGATTTTTCTGTTGATGGGTGAGTATCTTTTTGTTTCTAAGTGAACATCAGTGTTGAAGGTGTGTTGCTACAGGATCTGTATGTCCACACAAGGATAATTCGGGATAACACCTCACCACATTTGCTGCTGCCCCTCAGGGTCCATCCCTGTCGATGGCTCATCCAGAAGCAGCACTGATGGGTTCCCCAGGATGCTCAGCACAAAGCACAGCTGGAAGGAGAGGCATCACTCATTAGACTAGTTATGGGATGCTCAGAGCATCCCCAAGTCCTAGCCATACCTTTCTCTTTACTCCCTCTGCTAACGTCTTCACTGGGGCCTGCAGCTGGTCCTGCAGCTTAAATGCATTCACCAGCCTAAAGGAAATAGAGTGATTTCATTAGCATTATGCATGAGCAATGGAAAAGGCAGGAGGCAGAATAAATGGATCAGAACAAACACACTAGTGGAGAATTCTGAAGAATCATTGAATGACTTTGAAAACCGCTATAGTCTAGATGTGGTTTGTCCCCACAGGGTTGATATGTGGGATGTTTTGTCCCCAGGGGGTTGCTGTTAGGAGATGGTAGAACCATTAAGGAGTGGGGCTTGGTGGGAGGTCCTCAACTGAATTGAAAGTGTAGTATCAGAAGGGATTGTGGGATCTCTGCTTTGCTCTGGCTTCCTGTGTGGCCATATGATTGTTCTTTCTCGTACACATCCCTGCCTTGAAGTAACTGGCTGTCTGGCCCTCACCAGAGGCTGCCCAATCTTGGATTGTCCACCTCAGAATCTGTAAGTGAAATAAATCTCTTTCTTTGAATGTAGCTGGCCTTAGGTGGTTCATTATAATGTTAACTTGAGCAATACAGATAGTCTCACCATCATCCCACTATAGTTTCATTTATTTCTTTCCAGATAAGAAAATCTGGTAGGGCTGGGAATGTGGCTTAGTGGTAGAGTGCTTTCCAAGCATGCATAAAGTCCTGGGTTCGATTCTTCAATATTACATACAGAGAAAAAGCCAGAAGTGGTGCTGTGGTTCATGTGGTAGAGTGTTAGCCTTGAGCAAAAGCAGCTCAGGGTCAGTGCTCAGGCACTAAGTTCAAGCCCCAAAACTGCACCTCCCCCCACCCCCAAAAAATGAATAACTGGTAAGCTTTTGTCTCCAGGCTTAAAATGAGAGAAAACAACTCTGACTGGAGTTCTAGATGACCACGTCTCCTCCCACAAGCAAGGGGTCATGATCTAGAAGCTCGCTTCTTTGCTTTTGTGTGATATATCCCTAGCAGGGAAGGGGTGTGGGTTGCTCATTTACCGTGCAATGGTGATTGAAGCGTGCTTTCTCCTCAGCCCTTTCACTGCAGCATACACCTCTAGGTGTTCCCTCACTGTCAGGACTGGCCACAGTAAGTTTTCCTGAGGACAATACCCCAGGAACCCCTGGGTATCCTCTTCACTGCTCGGCTTCAAAATCACCTACACAAAACAATGCATTGTCAGATTCTGCTCAAAGTTATGTATATAGAATAGAGAAGTCCGTACGGAGGTTCATCAAAAAACAGAACTGGCCTAAGATCCTGCAATAGCACCTTGGGCATTTATCCAAGACAACAACAACAGCAAAATGGAAGTCAGGATGCAATAAAGGCACCCACACACTCAAGCTCATTACAGAACTATTCACCAGAGCTGAGTTATGGAATCAGCCCAGCAGCTTTACAGCTGATAAAGGGGTTAAGAAAATATGTATATCTATCCACACATATGTATGTATGTATGTAAATATATGCACACATACACACATTTTTAAACTATCAGGAATAATGAAATTATTATCCATTTGTAGGGAAATGAACATAGTTGAATAAAGTCAGACTCAGAAACTTAAAGGGCACATGCTTTATCTCATACATGGATGTTAGACCTAAAATATAAATATATATGTATATGTGTACATAACATCCATATACATGAATGTTAGACCTAAATATCCATGTATGTGAATGCATATGTATATGTATATTTATGAATGTTAGATGATCAAGTTGGTATATGGAGACATGAGATTCTGTAGTGGTTCCCCTTTGAAAATTAACAGTTTGACAAGATAAATATCAGGAAACTGAAACATGTCTTGACCTAAGGAGGGTGGATATTTAAGAGAAGGAGTGGACAAAGGGAAAGAGCAATGGTGAGTGAATAGTTTATAGTTTAGATGTTGTTACTGATTTGCTAATGATTAGTTATTACTAATCATTGGAGTTGAATTTGAGATTGTTTATTTGGTTGTCCATTGATTGACTTCATTCACTGGTCTACACCTTCAACAGAGATCATTGGAAAGGATTCTGTTTCGCCAGTGATAAAAAAAAAAAAAACTTATAACTATAGGCTGTATTCCACAATAAAGCAATAAAGTTCTCAGTCAGGAGCAATCATCCTGTCAGAGTAGATTTATATTTATGTGAAGACATACTTGGTTGTCTGTGGTAGGAAAGGTAGTACTGGCATCTAGTGGGTAGAGAACAAGGATGCTACTAAGCATCCTACCACACACAAAAAATTTGCCCAATCCAAAAAGCCATTAGTTTTAAGGATAGGAAATCCTCCACTAGATAATGTATAAACATAAATAATAAATCCTGAACTGCTACATTGGAAACCAATACATTCATGGCAACATTTGTTATTTTGAGGAGTTAGACAGTATTAAAATAACTGTATATCTCCTGTGCTGGAATCTCAGCATTTGTGATGGTTTGAGTTACATTATCTTTACAGAAACCCTATATTTGGTACGTAGTTTTAGCATTACATTTGCAAAAAAAGAAAAACACATGCTCAGATGAAGAAATGTGTACAAGATCACAGAAGGGAAACTTGGGACCTGAGACTGAGATCACCCTTTAGACCAAGCCTGGACTTTCATACTATAATGTCTCTCTCCCATACAAAAGAGTTAGGAAACAAGTTAACTGGACCCCTTGGGTGACATTGTCCAAAAGAAAACGTGCTCTTTGCTTGACTTATATAATTTAACCCCTCTGGGTTTTTTTTTTTTTTTTTAGCATTTTCAAATTTAAAAAAATCTTTCATTTGAAAGAGAGAAACAGAAAGAGAGCAAGTAAATACACAAGGGATATAGTTAAAGCCTTTGTTCAATGTATTAAAGGAAGTAAGTGTGCCTGAGAATGACGTAGAAGATTTAATATGGCAAACAATCAAGGAAAGGTCTTTTTAGAAGGCATGTTTTCTAGTAATGAGAAGATAACCACGCACCAATGGCTACTCTATCCACAGGGAGCTCAAACCCCAAGACCCTACAGTGAAAGGGTCAGTAAAGGCCAATCTAAGGAGGGGTGGAGGATAGGTTAACAGAGCCCACATCATGTCAAGCCTTTTGCAGCCAAGGTAAAGGTTTTGATCCATTAATTATAAGTGAGAATTTGTCACTGGGAGAGTGATGGGATATCTTTTACATATGATTTTATTTTGGGCCAGTATCAGGGCTAAAACACAGATCCTGGGTGCTTTTCCTTAGTTTTTGCTTTGAAGGATAGCACTTTACCACTTAAGCCACTCTTCTACTTCTGGCTTTTTGCTGGTTAATTGGAGATAAGGGTCTCATAAACTTTTCCTGCCTGGGATGACTTCAAACCACAATCCTCAGAGGATCTCAGCCTCCTGAGTAGCTAGGACTATAGGCACGAGCCACTGGCACCTGACATTCACGTATTTTTCAGATGAACCTCCACACTCACCGTAAAATGTTTGTCCTAGGTAGCATTAAAATGGACTTCTCTCTGTGGGCTTTACTGACCTGACCGGCAGTCGGTTTTGTGTCTCCTGTTATCATCTTAATCATTGTACTTTTACCCGCTCCATTGTGTCCTAAAAGTCCTATAATTTCACCTGAAAGAAAAAAAAAAAAAACAGGTGTACTCAAAAATGTGCAAATAGTTACAACAGAAATCAAAGCACATACCATTTGAAGACTATGTCAAGCACTACGCACAATGTGCTCTGCACATTGCATTTCTTTTTTTTTTTTTTTTTTGGGGGGGGGGTCCGGTCGTGGGGCCTGAACTCTGGGCCTGAGCACTGTCCTTCAGCTCTTCAGCTCAAGGCTAGCACTCTACCACTTGAGCCACAGCACTACTTCCGGCTTTTTTCTTTTTGCTTATGTGGTGCTGAGGAATCGAACCCAGGGCCTCATGCATGCAAGGCAAGCGCTCTACCACTGAGCCACCTTCCCAGCCCCTGCACATTGCATTTAAACCAATGGATAGCATACTGTTTGTCAGATGGGCTGCTATGCTTCAGTTAGATTTTACCCATAATGACATTATGTTGCTTTAAAATCTCTCCCAGGGATGAAGACACAATTTAGTGGTAGGCTGTTTACCTACTATGTGTGAGGTCCTGGATTGTATTCAAAACTGCATAAATAAGTATCAAGTAAATAAATGTATTTTTAATATAGAAAACAAAACCTGTGCCACTATTTTTAATGGAAAGACTGCATATTTGCTGCTACTATTTTAGTTGCTGTTTATTGCTTAATAGAATCTAGATCACTGTCTTCTGATACAAAGGAAAACTGTAACGCTAATAACCTAGGCTTATAAACCCAAAGGAGCTAGTGAACAACCTGTGTTTCATATTCAGCAACACAAAGCTTTGATTCAGATACTCTTTACTGACAAGCATTCGACCTCTATTAGAGGTCAAGATGGCTGTACTAACAGAGCTATTGTTTCCAACCTTTTTTAACACAGAAAGAAACATTTCTTGTGGCGATTGTTTTCTTCTGTTTGGAAAAGCAATTTTTCCTTCTGCATGCATATTCCTTCCGGAGACAGTTGGCAATGATAACTGGTTTCTGTAAGGACAAGTGAGTAGCAATGTGGCATTATTCCACCTTCCACTGAGAGAGTGCTCTGTCCTCTCATCTTTCATTTCCCAGTATGGACTCAAGAATTGAACCCTTCCCTTACAAGCTCTCCTTTTCATGTGAACTCCTCTAACTCTATAATTTGCAGGGTCATTAGGCAATTTGTAATTGCCCATCTTTAGACAGCCTGAATAAAGCCAGTCACTGAATCAACGGCTTTGTTAAAACATACACTCACATATACGCATCCACAAGCACTTCTGAATTGCTTAGAATAAGCTTTCCTTGGGTTATCAAACTCACAAAATACTACTGAGGTTTTAAAATGTCTGACTATACTTATCAAGACTGTGACCCTGAAAAATAAGTTAATTAACCTGTGTGTGTATTTCCTTTGCTTTCTTAGCCTTTTGTGCCTTGCATATTGACCACTACCTGTACAAGGCTCAAAGAACCTTAGGAATTTTTCAGAAAAGCTGAGATTAGAATGATGTTTGCTTTATCTGACAGACAAAATGATTTGCTAAGGACCCTTTTTTGAGTTCTACCTCATCCATTTCTAGGACAGCCACGGCATTTGATGCTCTTGTTCTTTCCATCTGTACATCTTCATCTTCTCCTTCAGGTTCTTCTGGGTTTGGGAAAACATCACTGCTTCTTGGAGAAATTCTGAAATCCAAACAGATTTCCAGTTGAAAACTTGTAGCAAAAGAAAATTTCATTTCTCCATACACCGCCGTCAGTTATCAGAACAAAATAACCAGGAGAACCATGTAATTTCCTTTCTTCAGCCATCATCTTGCCTTTCAAATGGCCTACTTCCTTTCTGTCATGAGTCAAAAGATACTATTCTTATATTGTCTTGACTTTTGATTTAAGTATAGTCTTTAGGGGCCATGACTGTTTTTCAAATGATAAAGCAGCAAACACCCTTTAGCAAAGAATTTGGAGGCAGGGTTGTGTGAGAAAAAGAATCTAGAAGCTCATTTTGATCTATACATTCTAGAACTTAAACTTTTTCAACCTGAAAACAGGGTCCTTTCTCAATGACTTCTTCCCAAAGTGCCTCTCCAGACATCGCAGAACAAAAAGAAAGATAAAAAAGTGGAGGTAAGACTAGGGGAAAAGAAAGGTAAACAAAATTAGTATAGCATCGTCATATAAACAATGATTTCAATATGCAATGGATTAAGGTTTAGTTATCTATAAATTGATTCCTGTTGCATAACTATAAAATTAAAATATTAATTGAGCTTTCTTAGATATAAAATTGCATTTGACAATGTTTTCAAAAGGCATGAAGGGCAATAGAGTGAATATTCCATAAAATTCAAAATTAGTGTTTCTGCTCTTCAAAGAAAGTATAACATAAGATAACAGTATGAAGTCGATACCAGTAAAACTCTTTCGGGTTGGCTTCACTCTTGGCCTCAAATGGTCCTTGATATTAGTGTTCAGATTAAAAAAACCATTACATGTGTGAATGTATATGTGTGTGTGCAAGTGTATGTCTACATATTGCTGCAGATGTTCAAAATATCTAGATACTTTTTTTAAACTTGTTGCAAGTCAAAGAAACTCAAGCCATACAAATTGTGCATTCCCTTGTGTGAGAGCATTGAAAGGAAATGTCTTCTTACTGTTAGCAATGCCAAGAACAGGACATGAGATTCTGAAGCTCCTAAGTAATCAGCAGAGTCAGGAGAAAACTGTGAAATGAGGAGAAAGTGTGTTTGAGTGAGTCATCCTCTTCTGTTAATGAACTTATCCTACTTACAATAAATCCATGTCCTTAAAGTGGCCTTGCTACCATTCTACAGGATTTCCCCCTGTCTATCAGGTAAAGCTGATTGCTGGCTATGATGATGTCTTTCTTGTTTCCAAAGGTGTCTGAGCAAACTGTCAGTCTGGGCATGTGTACAGGCGAGGTCTTTCATAAACTGTATCAGCAAACCTTTTGTTAGTAGGTCCTGTCAGAACCCACGAAAGCCATAGGTGAGTCTACCCAAACCCTTCTTCCTGTCTACACCTCCACCTCCACCCCTACCTCCACTTGCACCTCCACCTCCACCTCCACCTCCACCTTCATCTAAACCTACCTTACACCTTCACCTCCACCTTCATCTAAACCTACCTTACACCTTCCTTTTTTTTGTCATTCATTTGGCTTGAACTCTGGGCCTTGGTGCTGTCCCTGCTCAAGGGAAGCACTGTACCACTTGAGCCACAGCACCACTTCTGGTTTTCTGGTGGTTAATTGGATATAAGAATTTCTCAGCCGTTCCTGCCCAGGATGGCTTTGAACCACGATCCTCAGATCTCAGCCTCCTAAGTAATTAGGATTGCAGGGATGAACCACCAGTGCCCGGCTACCTTCATCTTTTTATTTGGACCCTTTCCACTGAGAAACCTGGGATGATACTGTTTTTGTTCTCCCACATCCTCCTCTTTTTTGACATAATCATAACCATTGTGCAAGTCAAAGACAAAATTCCTTTCTCTTTCCTGCCTGGATTGACATCAAACCATGATCCTCAGACCCTAGCCTCTAAGTAGCTGGGAGTACAGGCATGAGTGTCTGGTACCTGGTTGCCTCATTCTTAAGGTCCTCCTTGTTTATAAATGCGGTTCCCTTTGTCAGATGCACTGAGCACATTTCTAACTCTACTTGTCAAGAAGTGCCTGGGAAGACTTTAAGAAAAATGCCTCACTCCTCTGATTTCACTTGAAAATCAGGGAGAAGTATCTTTTTGTAGGTCTATCGGTCCTTCTGATACACTCCTTCAGATTCTTTTTCATATCTGTACTTCTGTTCCTCCAAGCTCCTTTTTAGGTTGTGTTAGCCTTGCAACTATCACCTGTACCCTGTTAAGTCCAATTGGCTCTTTTCAGTTAGCATCTTTCAGGTTCTCTTAACAACATCTGATGGCATAATTACACCGTCTTTTAAAAATATTCTCTTTTATTTTGTAGTCCTGGGATTTTGAACTCAGGGCTTTGCATTTGCTAGGAAAGATTCTAGCAGAGTAGTTAAGCCATTCTTCCAGGTTTTTCTGCTTTGGTTATTTTTTAAGGTAAGGTCTTGTGCTTTTTAACTATGATCTTCTTATTCATGCTTCCCACCATAGCTGGGAAGCATGTATCACCACACCCTACTCTTTCCATTGAGGGTGGGATCTCATGAACTATAGTTTGAAACATACTTTATTGCCAGCTGGCATGCTCTTATAGATAGTTAAATGTTTAAAAGAGTTTCTGAGAGAAGATGCTAGAACATACTAGTCTGCCATTTTTTCTTGTGTCTCCCTAATTCCTTTTCAAACTGATTGACTGAATCCTCAGCCTCTAAACTTTGGATTTCAAGGTCAAGTGCTTGGCCCAGTTTCATGACTATCTGTCCTTGCTCTGTAGGTTGTAGTATCCAATTCTATGGATTCTTAAGAATACCTATAACTGCTAAACCTCAAAGGTTTGCTGTGGTTTCCTTCTCCCCCACATGACGGTGCTAAACCTGCTGCTTGACATAGGTCTTCATGTGTCAGGATTGTTAAATTTAGTATGTTCAAAGTTTAACAGAAGAAGGAATCTCTTTGTCACCCAGTACAGAACTATAAAATGCTACTACACTGGATTTCCCTCGACCCTTCATGAATGAAGGCTGGGCTTCCATGCCATGAGATCAAGTGTCTTGTTTATGGCAAAAGAATTCATTTCTGAAAACAGACTTAAAAGTTTTGCACATTTAGATGGCATCTACCGACATGTTTGTAATATTCTAAGCTTTCTCCAATGGCCACACATTTACCTTTGTGAGGACGGGACTAAAATTACTTACCCCAGAATAAATGAATAAGGAGCCGAACAGTGTGAAGGGCGGAATTAATATGGTGCAGAAAAATAGTGTGAGAAACCGGTAGTTATTTAAATCACTGACAACTAACAAGAAATTGGTGACCTAAAATAAAAGCACAGCATAATGACACCAAACTTATTAACTACTTTTAACAATTGAGCAGCAATATGATGCTTTCTATTTGCATCTCTGAAGCCTGAGTTCATGGAGTTTTCTGATTGTAGTCCTTTATAAATATTCAAGTGACAAGATAAAATCACTCTTAGAAGTAGGAGTCTCTAACTCAGGGAATTTTAGCTCTGGAGACAGGTTTGAGAGTCATCCATTACAGATGGTAGACACCTACATGTACTCTATATTTTATATGTGTCTATGATTGTCTTAGGCAACTAGAACTTTCTAGAGAGAAATATTAACTTACCATTCTGTTCAGCCCAAAGATTAAAATATATGCTCCTAGATTTGTTCAAAATGGTCTATAAATAAAATAATAGGTCCCATCTGAATACTTACAATGAAGAAGATAACTGACCAAAGGCTACTGTTTTTTCTGATATTGTGAAAAATGAATGAGATCACGTATGTCAAGAAAATGAGAGATGATGCATATCCAATATTACAAAGGATCTGGAATACAAATACAAATACTTAGGTTACATAAGATAAATAGGATTTAGGAACACATCTATACTTAGCCCCCAACTTTCCAAAACTATAGAACAGATAATTTGAAGTTCTTGGGTTTAGGATTAGTAATATTACTCTATTCATACAAATTAGTCTAATGAAACAAAACTTAAAGACTCTCTCTCTCTCTCTCTCTTTCTCTCTCCCTCTCTTTTGGTTATGGGGCTTGAACTCTGGGCCTGGGTGCTGTCCTTCAGCTTTTTAGCTCAAGGCAAGCACTCTACCACTTGAGCCACAATGCCATTTCTGGTTTTCTGGTGGTTTAGTGGATATAAGAGTCCCACAGACTTTCCCGCCTGGGCTGGCTTTGAACTGTGATCCTCAGATCTTAGCCTCCTGAATAGCTAGGATTACAGGCATGAGCCACTGGTGCCCGGCCAAAACTTAAAGACTTCTTAACGTTTTACCACCTACCTGAATTAAAAGGTATTGAAGGATAACTGTAATCTCCTCTGGGTTAAATACATAGTCCATCATTTGTATTAGAAGAAGAATCAAGAAATACAGGGGCAAATCCACCAAGGCTTGTCCAAACCAGTAAGCAGAAGGGAAGAGACCAGAAATCCATAGCTGGGAATGAACTTTTCTCTGATAAAGAAGCAGAGCAATGAAGAGAAGGCAGGACAAGCTGAGACTTGGGAAATCCTATATAATCAGAATTTTGTTGTAGCTCTTGAATAATTATTATTCTAGTTTGATAAATGGAAGTGCCACTTGCCACACCCCAGAAATATTAATACTGCAAATTAACACACATAGAATGTCTCACCTCTCCCTCCAGGTATTTGGGAAGGAGTTAAACATTGTTAAATACTATTTTAAAATATTTATGTTAATAACTGTCCTTTACTATAAGCACTCCTGTAGTAAACCATCTGTGTACGCATGATTGATAACAACAATAGGACAAAACTAGTGAACGAAGTAAATGGTGAATAGAATGCTATGTTTGCCAAAGACAAAGACAATTTAAGAGAAGAATATGTGGAAATTAATTCAAGCCCATGAAATACACTTCCTGAACATTCAGAAGGTTCAGTATCACTAAATAACCGGTGAAAATCTCAAAGGCGGAAAGATAGAATAAAGTTCTTTAATAGGTACTGGAAGTGCTGTAGAGAGACAGGAAGTATCTTCCACATTCTTGAATTTTATATAAAAGTGAGTTATCAGCAGATAAAAAAGGAATAGTATAGCAAACAAAGTAGAGACTAGAAATAGCACCAAGATCTGGGCACATGCTGTGTGCCATTGTCCTGAAGTTGCAGTTAACAAAATGGACCAACTCCTTTGTACAGTGGCCAAGAGTTCTCAATAGACCCCAACAAGGATTCTTCTCAACTCTAAAGGTTAGCCAGAGGTCTCATCTACATCTCCTTATGCCTGTGGTTTCCTGCATGCACCTTCCCTCAATATCCCTTCTTGGGGGACTGGGAAGGTGGCTCAGTGGTAGAGTACTTGCTTTGCATGCACGATGCCCTGGGTTCAATTCCTCAGCACCGCATCATAAGCAGAAAAGGCTGGAAATGGCTCTGTGGCTCAAGTGGTAGAGCGCTAGCCTTGAGCTGAAGAGCTGAGTGATAGTGCCCAGGCCCAGAGTTCAGGCCCCATGGCCAACAAAAAAATCCCTTCTTGGCTTTAAGAAGACTTTTTAGGGAAACTATTCCCCTTTCCCCAGTTCTTGTAAAAGCTTTCATATTTCATAGATTTCACCACAATTATGTACATACTCTTAGCATCATTGAAGCTTGTCCATAAAAGTGACAGAGACCTAAAGCTCAGTGTACTCAGCCACTTTTTTCAATTGCCTGCCCTCCTCCTGTCTAGGGAGTATACTATTGCCTTCCTCTTGCTTTTGCTTAAACAAATCCATGTGTTCACTTCTGTATTCCTTCTTCAGCATGACTAAGAACCTGCCATTCATCTCCACTGACAAGAACATCACAAAACTGAAGCCTAATGGGACAGTCTTTTGTCCTGTGAAGTAAAAGTACTGTGGTAAATTGGTCAATGTGTACAACTGAGTTAACTTCCCCACAAGGAAAAGTGAAAACCATCATTAAGAGAGTAGATACAATTGTTAGTGGCAAAAGTCTATAAATAAAACCCAAAATGATGCACAGTGAAAAGTTGCTGTTCCCTGTTGGTGCTATTTCCTGAGATACTCATTTGTTTAGGAAAAGACGCCCTTCACATTCTGACAAGCTATTATTTGACAAGCTGTTTTGACAAGCTATTTGCATGAAGCACATAAATGAGATGGTTTGCGGGAGAGTTGTCTGATTACTTGATAACTCTTCTTACTTTGAAGTCACCAATGCTGCTCATAGCAATGTAAGGAGGGAGGCAGGCGGCCACTGCGCTGAAGAAGAGGTTGCTCAGGAGTGGGTTGAGTAGGTATCCGTGCTCGTAGTACAAATACTCCTGCAATTATGCAGAACATGCTGAGCAGCTGCCAATGGGGCATCTGGTTCATTTGTACTATCCTAATCAGCCAGATGTATGCACAAAGCACTCAAAACCCTTCCACTCAAAACCCTTCCACTCAAAACCCTTCCCGCTATCATTGATTTCCATTCCTGTGTTGCAATAAGTGGGACATTGAAACACAAGAGGAAAGCTCAACCCCATGATATGAACTGGCTAAGCCCCCACACTTAATGCCTATGGAACAGCATGCAAGCTTTGCTCTCTGACTTTGTGATTACGGCATTACAAACCAGTGGTTACCACATACATCAAAGTGGATGTCATAGAAATGACAGATTGTGAACCATCAGTCCAAGTGCAATTTTGCTACTCTCAGAAATGACTGCCCACAACAGTTTGGTTCAATGTTTATGAAGACTCATTCCCCTGGTTCAGCATTATGCAGAGGAAGCAAATTAAAATATGTTCCAAGACCTAGTAGATAGAAGTTAACAAGTAAGAGCATTTAGAAAACAGCAATGATGACTCAGGGTGAGGAAGATAATGTTATACTTACACCAAATGATGTACTTCTCTCAGTCTGAATGTGTTTTGAAGAATTAAAAACTCCAAGGAGCCCATTGCTAATAACATCCATGAGCACAGGAAAGCAACTTAGCCTTTTGGTATTACATGCTATAGAAAATCTACGATCCTAAAACATAATGAATACTTTTCTAAGGTCTCAGAAAAAATGCAAAATTGAATAAATGAATATGGTAGGAAAATCATTAAACTTATTGGTACAAGGGCTTATACGAATACTTATTGATTACAGAGACAAAAAACACAATTAATCAATTAATTAATTAACAGCACTGACTATATTATTGAATGAATTCCTGGTATACTTAAAGGAATCCAGGTCTTCAGTTTTTATTTGCCATAGAGCATTGGCCATGTGGTTATTGATGCCTAAAATCTCACAAAATATCTCAAGTGATTTTTGGCATGCTACAAAACTGAATAATAATGCAACTTCACTTGGACATGACCATAGACTTGTTTCCAAATGTGCTTGATTTGTTTTATAAATAAAGAATATGTGGATACTTAGGAAACAAGAGGTAGCAGGTGATTTTAATGAAGCATACATTTGCACAAATAGCAACCTATCATTTAAATCTCTTGTAAAATGGTATATAATATCATATGAGTCCCAAACATGTCACTATTCACACTACTCAGAGTTCTGAAATAATCACATGTGTAATTATTTCTTCCTCAAATAAAAAAAATTATCTATATTGCACAAAGTACAGAAAAGCAATGATAATTTATTTTTGTAATCACAAATCAAGTATATTGCATCTAGCTTAATTACTTAGTGTTTATCGAGAACAAATGTGCCATTTTTGGGGGGGGTCCGGTCATGGGGCCTGAACTCTGGGCCTGGGCACTGCCCCTCAGCTCTTCAGCTCAAGGCTAGCGCTCTACCACTTGAGCCACAGCGCCACTTCCGGCTTTTTTCTTTTTGCTTATGTGGTGCTGAGAAATGGAACCCAGGGCCTCAGGCATGCAAGGCAAGTGCTCTACCACTGAGCCACCTTCCCAGCCCCAAATGTGCCATTTTTAAAATTTATTCTTCTGAGCACATGGAAATGAACTCAAGATCTATCAGAGGTTAGGTGTGAGGTAATTTCTTTTTCTATTTTGTGCAGGAGGGAGGGTAGGTAAGACAGGCCTTGCTATGTAGCTAAAGATTAGCCTTGAATTCCCAATCTTCTCGTCTCAGAAGTAGTTTTTCATTTTCTTGTTGGCTTAGAAAAAATTAACTCTGGAAAGGTCCAAATGGTCAAGTTTATGGTGCCTACCCAAGGTGATTCAGCCATTAGATTTAATTGTCTCATCTTTTGCTATTTGTCTACCACTGGGATCCTTAACTGTCTTGCCTATACCCAAGATATAAGCAAGTAAGACAGAAATTACTACAACAAACTACAGAATGAAAATCAAGTGTAAATTGAGCATTGAATGAGAATAAGGTTTAAATCTATTATTGGGCTGGAACCCAACTGGTAAGACTAAATTACTGTAGAGCCATATAACTTCCAGTTATACAGGAAGCTTTCAGAAACTGATGATTGTGCAGCTTCCATAAAGAAAATGAGAAATACCTCATTTCTGTCAAATTAGCCTTTGGCATCAGCTGATTTGAATGACTTAACTTTCATAGTCTGTCTTTGGTAAAACCCAGCCTGAGCCCAACTTACCTGTTCATTCTCTGACACAATGATAGCACCATTGTATGATGGTTCATCCGTGCCGTTTCTAGTTCCAAAGGCATCCACTTCCAAAGCTATGTTCTGCTGTTTCAGTGAATGTAAAAAGTCTTCGATGCTTGACCCTACCAAAGGTAAAGATCAAATGAAGCAAAGACGGACCAAAACAAAAACAAAGTATTATGAAAAGTAAACTACAAGGTGAATACTGTCATAATATTTAATATCTGTATGTAAAAATGGAAACAGTTAACTTAAGATGGGTGAGGTTATTTAGATCAAGATGTATTGTACTAAAAATATTGACATGTTGAATTGAAACCTGCCTATACACCAACTTAAATAATAAGAGAAAAGAATTTTAACTTGTTAAATGTAAAAATGAAGTTTAAAAAATAATTCACAAGGAAACTAAATGACATCACCCAAAGTATTCCATAATGTGAGTTGTTTACAGATTTTCTTAAAATCAGAACTAGAGCAATGGCACCAAAATACATTTTGATATCATGGGTATAATAAAGTTTTCTCACCTTTACTTATAACTTCTATTTGTGAAAAAATGTAAATTACTGGGTTGGTGATGTGTCTTAATGGCATGCCTGCCTAGCATGGGCAAAGCCTTGGGTTTGATATTAGCACCACAAACTAATAACAATGACAAATATGGATGACTAATTACTTTGGTAATATTTAAAACTACTAATTAATCTGTCATATTCTTTTCTGTACTGGTTCTGGAGCTTGAACTCAGGGCCTGGGCACTGTGCTTGAGCTTTTGTGCTCAAGGCTAGCACTTTACCACTTGAGTCACAGCTTCACTTCTGTCTTTTCTGGTGGTTAACTGGAGATGAGTCTCATAGACTTCCTGCCTGGGCTGGCTTTGAACCATGATCCTCAGATATCAGCTTCCTGCATAGTTAGGATGATAGGCATGAGCCATCAGCATGTGGCTGAGATTTATTTTTTTTTTACAGGCCCATCAATACAGACACTAACGAAACTGACACAGGACAACCTCAAACGTCAGTCACTGATTTGTTCTCCCAAATACCCTTCAGTTGCTTTGTGAAATGGCTTAAGCGGCTTAAGGTTTAAATCAAATTCAAAATGAGTTTCTAAAGTCAACTCTCCAATCTTGTATATTTAGTTTTAAATCAATGTTCTGTATGGCCTCCTGTTTTCGAAAATGCACAGAACTGATTCTTTTCCTCGTGTTTTATGTTTTCTGGGGAATCTCCCAACAAGAACACTTACAAGCTGCATTTCATCCCCATGTGTACCTGTTTTGTTGATGACCAGTAGCGGGGGTAAGAGGGTCCTCAGGCTGTTGTCCTGGTGAAAGGAAGTACATATTTGGGGACAGTCCCCAAGAACTATTTTTTTTATATAACTCAAGGAATAGATTATCCAGAAGTTCAGGGAAAAAGCTAATTCCCCAAAGCAGTAACCTATATAGAGGGAAATAGAACAGAAAATTAATTTAAAGCCACTTAAGGTTTATTAGAGGGAAGTAGATAATGAGCTCGTAAAATAAATGGAAAGTACTAAGTTAACATTTGAATCACGACTTTTCTTCCTTTTTCTTCTTTCTAAATGAGATAGTGCCTATGTACCTATCTTTGCTCTTTTTTTCCCCTCTGTTTACTTCTTTGGACACTTCATTCTGGCCTCTGACGCCTCCTGATTGTCACTCCTCCTGATTGTCACTTATCTCTCTCTAGTGCCCACTTCTTTGCTCTATTTCAGCCCTACACATCTTCCTTCAGCTGCACTATGCCAATGTTGCATATCACCAATACCCAAACCCTCCACACCCTCAACCTTTTCCCATGATCCCAAATGATCATGCTCTACCACTGAGCTATACTCCAGGTTTTCTATATGATAAGGTCTAGTAATTATTTTTACTTTTTTACACATTCTGTCTGGTGATTACCTGAGGTTAGTAACACTTCTTTAGATTCCTCTGATATTCTCATATTTAGTATCACTCCTACCCGATCACCCACCCCTCTTACTCTCTTTAGTTCCATGAGACCCATTCTCCTTCAACAAGCTCAAATTCTGACTGAGCTCTTTCTTTGCTGTCCGTATTTTCACTTAAGCGCTTCCTACGAGTTGCCATAGTTTGCACATCTCTATTATACCTTTAAAAAATTCATTTCTCATCACACATGTGGGCTGCTGCTATAGTTTGCAAGTTGAATGTCTCCCAGAGGTCTGTATGTTAAAGACCTGGCCACAAGAGTGGTGCCACTGGGAAGTGGTGGACTATTACTGGATGACAGCTTATGCTCCATCCTCTGGTCACTGAGCACATGCCCTTGAAGAGGATTGTGGGAGCTCAGTCTCTTATTCTTCCTCTCCACTGATGCCTTCATGATGGAGGTGTTTGCTTCATCATGAACTTTTGCCACAATGTGGCATCCTCAGTGAAGGTCCATGATCTTGGACTGAGATTTCCACAACGGTAAGCCAACATATACTTTTCCTGCTTATAAGTTAACTGCTTCAAGTATTTCATGATAGTAATGGAAAGCTGCTCAATATAACTACAATACCAGATTTGAATTTAATATCTGTACATACATTTAACAATAGGGAATATTATTGTGTGCTGATGATAGGTTTTAGATGAATAGGTGTGTGTTCTACACAGAGCTGGGCTTATGCATAGAGGTGATATTCAGCAATGATGCTTCAGGGGTAGGTGTGAACCTTACAATGGGCTCCAGATGCAACATGGAGCTAAGCAGAATGCACAGAACCTTGAGACTGCAATATTGAAATTCTGTCTTAATCTGTTGCCTGCAACACTGACTCTGACTTGTGTTTCCAGGTTGCTGACTTGCCCTATGTATTTCAGACTTGCCACTTGCCATCATAGTAGGAGCCAATTCCTTAAAATGAATCTCTCTCTCTCTCTCTCTCTCTCTCTCTATACATACATGTATATGCATACAGATAGGCATGAGTGTACATGTAAGTATATGTCTGCACGTACAGGTATGTGTATATACCTGAATTCATGTGCATTTACACATAGCTCTCCAAATACTTATATGCATGCATATCTTTTATATATGTGTATATATTGATACATGCATCACACATACCAAAAGGATATATAAATATATACATAGACCAACATTTATATATATTGACACTTACATACATATTTATAGGCTCCATTTCTCTGGAGAGTGCTGAGACAGATTTTTGCATTTTGTGGAAAGAGGGAATGGGGTCTTGTAATGGAACCTATGTGCGAACCTCCACCTGCTTGCAAAGAGCTAACTTTCGCTCGTTAGTAAAAGAAAATCCGTGTGAAATTTAAACACTTCCAACTTTGATGTTTTTATTACATGCCCACATGAGCAATGATCAGTTTTTTTTTTATGTTATTGTTTCAAAGGCCACCCACAATTCCTGGGATTTCTTTCATCGAGTGCTGTTCCCGCATGTTTTTGTTCCCGCACATTTACTTTGCGTGTAACAGGGTGCAGAACTCTGAAGCACTCACATACTCACATGGCCAGCAGCTTTTTCTTTCCACGCTTTAGCTTGAGGAAGCGAACTTTTGCCATGGCACAGAGCTGCTGTCTCCAGAGCGCCATGCTGCTGACGGTGTTTCTTGTTTCACTGAGGGAAGACAAAACTTGTTCCAGCTCCACAAAATCCCCGGTGTCTTTGGTTCCATCACTTCGTAACTGTCCCCAAATTCCAAGATCTAAAACATAGGAGCAGTCATTTGTAAGGTGGTATCTGACAGTATATTTTAGCTTTTCTGGGAGCAAAGGTTCCAGGATTAACATTCTGGTCAAACATGCAAGTAATCTACTTTGTAGTAGTAGAGCAACTACTGAGGAAATGGGAGAGAAGCAAAATAATAATTTATACAATGAAAGGAGATCATGTATTTTCTGGAAAACAAGTTCTCCTTAGCGCTACAGAATACTTGAGAAATCAATGGAAACCAGTTCAATCACAAAACAAAAGCTAGTTCTAATCTGTTTGCAATAAACATGGATATATAAGGGTTGTTGTTATTTCCTGTCATGCCAACATTGGATAAGTTCTGATTTCACAGCAATATCTGGAAATATCCTGGAAGCACTGAAAAAAATCCTTTAAAATGCGACAAGAAAGGCAATCCTCTGCATAAATTCTACTTTTACTCTCTCTTTAGCATTTATATTCAGGTAACACAGTACTACACATTTATTGTCTGCTTCCTGAGGACATGGAATCTACATTCCTGTATTCAACAGTTACCTTCCTTCTCTGAAACTAGCACCAGCAAAGGCCATAACATCATTAATCAAAGCATTTTACCTGGTTCATCAACAATTGATTCCCTTTCTAATTTCAGGAACACCTCATTCAAAGTAGTCATGGACACACCATAATCTTCAATGCCTTGATGAGAGCATCTGTCAAGGTCCCTGTAAAGATCTGAAGGTAATCACAGAAACAGATCAACAGAAAGTACTCTAATGAATGATAATAATTACATTTTTATAAGGTATAATATTGGTGATGGGCCAAATGTAGTTTTATGAGAGACAAGATACTTGTGTCTACAATACATCTATGAGTTTTCGTGTCTTTTTGAGTATCAAAGTCTAATCTAAACATTTATTTTAGAAGAGGGCATGATGGTGAAGGTCTATGATCCCAGCTACTTGATAGGTTGAGACAGGAAAATTGGAAGTCCAAGGCCACCTCCAAGATCCTGAGAAATAACATATAAAACCAAAGGGTTTGGAGTATGGCAGAATGCTTCTCTAGCATGGTGGGTTCAATCTCCAGCACTATCTATCTATCTATCTATCTATCTATCTATCTATCTATCTATCTATCTATCTATCTATCTATCTAATTATCTAATATATATATATATATAATTTTCCATTCTATTTTAGGGAGTGCTTAATTCTAAACTCTAATTAAAGACTATTTCCCAGAAAATAAAGACTCATATTTTCATGTTAAGATTATAATAAAGATATAAAAGAGCTAGTACTTACACATATAAGTAATTGCCACAGAATATTTCCCAGTTAATATATAATATGGAGGAGGTATGCACTGTGTAACTTGTACATGAATTGTGAACATTTTCTCCATCTGTTTCTCGCTTTTTCTCTCTCTATATATGTTAGTTTTAGCTCTATCTATCTACCTATCTATTAGTTTTATATCATGGTATAAATTATATAATAGCTCCAAATAGAGTAGGTCCTTATTAGGGATTAACAGGTGCTTTTCTAATGAATTCTTAAATCTACTCAAGTTATTTCTTTTTTATTCTTTTGTCACACTGCTCATCCTCTCTGAAATGTGTTTAAGAAGCAATCAGGTAAAACTTCATGTATTAAACACTCCATTCATTCCCCCAAACAAATTTCCCTAATAACCCTAATTTTAGCTTTATTCTACCCTGTACCTCATAAAGATACATGCCAAAACGTGAACGTATAATCATTTATGATGTACTCCTAAGTGACTTGGGGACCATCATACTAGAAGTGACCTTGGGTTGGGAATATAGAATAGTTCATAGTGCCATGTGCTGAGCAAGTATGAAAGCTAGACATCATTTTCATTATTTCAATTCATTCTGTGGTCTCTCTTGGATGTTACCTGGAAATTTGTTTGTCCTTTCAAAAGGCAAAATATAGACAAGTTTTCCCTCATTTTGGGATGTTAACTTGGCATCTGGGATGTGCTGCTTAACCAGTGTTGTTACACTTTCTGGGTCACACATTTCATTCAGATGCAAACTAACATTGAGAACAAGATAAAGATATTATTATCCAACATTGCCTTTAGAAACAGCCTCCTAATGATATAGTATATATTTGCCACTCATTTATATCTAGGAGACAAAAATGTATAATACACTGGTATCAACAACATGACATACACTAATAAAGTCCAAATACTTTAAACACATGTCAGAGAAAGGAGTAAAAGGGAGGATAACAGTTAGATGACTTAGGTGGGGGGAATGGGGGAGGAGGATTTGGTGGGGGGGGGCAGGGAGAGGATGGGAAGGGATGGAAGGGGAAACAAAGAAGGAGGCTACAATGCTTGATAAGAAATGAACTCATTATCTTGCCCATGTTATTGTAACCCCTCTGTACAGTATTTTCACACACAAAAAAAGAGTTAGATGACTTAGGAACTGTCATTTGGAGGGAAAAAAAATTAGCCAGCCAGATGTTGATAAAAGATGTTGGTAAAAAAGAAGAAAGAAATGTCCAAGCATGTCAACATTTATTAGAAAACTCAACCTCAGAAGTTGTCTGTAAGTTCTAGAGTTAAATATGGTAAAATGGAAATGGAAGTAATTTATACAGCTGTTAAGGCTGTGGTTAAAATACCATACTAATGCAGGCTTTAGAACTGAGGCAATTTGATGATCATCTCTGGGTATCACTTTAATAATACCCAGATCTCAAAAGAACTTCTAAAGGCAGAATAAAACAGTTCATATGAAGTAGCCCAAGGCCTTCCACCAAGTAAATGCTCAGGACTTGTTATGTAATTTTACCATTTTACTGAGAAGTTTATTCAAGTGAAAGCTGTTATCTTTTGATAAAACCATGTAAAGTTTCCTATGGAATTGTTGGAATTTAGAAACCCCATTATTGTTCATATCTACTAAAATGAGCTTTGGTGATAGAATGATGTGGACATCATAACTGCTGATGACCTGAAACCAAAGTCTACTTGATGCTTACAAGACTCTACGCCCATCATTATCAAAGATACCTAAGGGGCATAATATGAGTGCCTTCCCAAAGACGCTTATTAAATATTGGTAGTACAAAGCACCCACTACAGATGAATAAAGGAAGAGGGAAGTTGAGTTAACTCCGTGAAGTTCTTTGTACCTTACCAAGCATTCACTCATTCAATTTTTGTTAGGGGCTCCAGGAAAATATTCTTATGATGGAGAAACTATTCTGAAACAACCCTCTAGAAAGGATAAGATTGAGACATGGTTTAAGGGGATGGAGGAGGACACGATGAATAGAAACAAAACTATGGAATAGACCTAGAGACCATCTAGTGAATCCTGCAAGTTGAAGGGCATTGATTCAAGTCAATTGTAATAAGCAAAAAATGATAGAAAGGTAGATCCCATCAGGATAAGTAATAGAGGAGTAAATAATAGAGGCAATCTAGATTAGTTTTTAAGACTTATTAACATGTTAGTGGGAATACAACCTATGGTTCACACCATGGATTGTATCTCCATCCAGACTCTATCCATTATATGCATGTACATTACCCTAAAATTGTGTGAAAGGAAGGCAGAAGAGGAAGGGGAATTGAGAAAGACTGCTATGGAGAGAGTAAAATAAAAACTTTCTGATAGGTACTACTCTCCATTGTCAAAAAAGGAAAATGATAGCATCTTCCTAGGATTCTTTGAAGGAAGGCTAAAACATTGGAGGTGTTTTCTATATGTAAATGTCATAGTAAGTCTGCAAAACATAGTCAACATTTCGTAAGTGATAGATAGACATTACTTAACAATGGTAATGATGATTATTAGCACCAAGAGAAGGAGGTAGAAAAGGATGGTGGGAGAAAATTAATTCAGGGAGAATAAAGGGTATTTTTTTTAATTTTTTAAATTTTAATAGAAGTTTTTCAACTAAACAAGTCACATTATGAGTTACAATGCACCTGGAGCATTCCAACATCTACCTCATCTTTCTCATACCCATCCAAGGTTTTTTTTAATTGTTCAAACAAACTATACAGTAAAATTCCAATATAGGATATGAGAAAAGATTGAAGTACTAATAAATTTAGCAAGCCACAGGCTACAAAAAATTTTTCCAAATGTTTTATTTGAACCTAAATTAAGCACACTTAGATCCCTACTGTCCACCATTTCAGATAATCTATAGTCTAGCTAAGAAAGTGATTGAGACATTGTTCCAATGCAACTTTCCTGAATGAGCTTAGGAGTTGTGACCTACTGTGATACAATGGTGCTGACTACAACTGCCACCAGCATTTTCAACAAGCCCCAACATGAAGAGCTGTACCTTAAATGGTAGCCAATACCCCATTTCTTCTTCAGGAATAGAGAAGAGCCTGCACACTTCAGCCTCCCATTGGATATAAACACCTTCCTATCTGGTCAGGAAGAACCAGATGATATATTAAGGAATTATTTCTTCACTGTTCACAAAAGAGCAAATCCATTTACATAAATTGTATTGTAGAAACATGACACACTAGAATAGATAGATCCTAATCCTGCCTATTACCTATTTGGGAAAGTTGTCCAGTATCTTTTTGTCAAGCCATTGACATTCATACTGAATGAAACACTACATCCTCTGCTGTTCTGAATCAGAATGCTTCCACAAGACAAAGTTCTCTGGCACGCAAATTGTGTGAAATTCCCATCTGAACAGCTGGCAGTCACTAATGAGAGACAGTCATAGAGCCAATCCATGCAGAATTTACACATGCCTCTAATAATTCCCCACGAGGATACATGAAATAAAACTGCAAATTACCAGCCAGGATATCAGCCTCGTCCATGAAATGGGTACTGAAGAGAATTACCCGGTCTGATTTTCTCTCTTTCAGGAGATTCCATACACAGTGCCTTGAAACAGGATCCAATCCAGCAGTCGGTTCATCTAACAGCAAAACCTGGACAGTAGAAAAGATTGGGAAATATTCTGTCCCTTTAAGGCAAAATTCTTCTAGCAAGCACTATGATACAACAGAACTGAGGGAGAATCATATCAATACTTATCTTGTAAAAATGTCTTCACATTCATGATTTGCAAATTGCTGGACCTTATGTAATTAGTTTGATGTGCCCCATAGGATTTTCACTGATCATTTTACTTCAAGTTACCTGTGGATCTCCTAAAATGGCAATTCCCAAAGTCAGTTTTCTTTTTTGTCCACCACTTAAGTTCTCAGCAAGAGTACCTTGGATATTTTCCATCTCTAAGTTCTGTAGAATTTGTTGTACCTACGCAAATAAAAAATACAGCATTAGTTCCAAACTCAAGATGTTTATTTTTAGTGGCGCTGTAGCTCAAGTGATAGAGCGCTGGCCTTGAGCTGAAGAGCTGAGGGACAGTGCTCAGGCCCAGAGTTCAAGCCCCACGACTGACAAAAAAAAAAAAGAGATGTTTATTTTTAAGACACCATAATTTTTATGTCTTTATGAAGAGCCATTTTTGCCTAAACTTTAATTGTGTACAAGTAACAACACAAATAGAGGTAGGGTTTTTTAGGTAATGCAGTTCCCATGTTTTATAGTTGTGTAACAGCTAACATGCTTGTATACCTCTTTTTCCACTTCATGTGGCAGAATCCCTTTTATTTTAGCAAACAGCCTGAGATTTTCTCTCACAGTAAGAAACCCAAATTGTATGTTGGATTGTGGACAAACTCCAGTGAGCTGGCTTATAGTTTCAAAGTCAGCCACTTCTGAAAGTGTCTGATTATAGATGGTGACAGAGCCTATAAAAACAAGGTAATGAGTTACTATCAAGACAAAGTACAATATCGCACTTAATATACTTTAAAACATAAATCAATATCTGTAAATTACTAATCTTATTGTAAGTAATACAAAGGTGACTATGTGCTTGATGTTCAGAATAATAGCTGATCTAGCAGGAATATCAACTAATAACTGAATAATCATAAAGCTATTTATGAGCTATTTAGAACACATTTTTCTAAATAAATACAATTATATACAAGAACAACTTAAGCTTCTAAAATTTGTTTTACTTTCTAAGCTGATAATAAAACATAAAAATTATACATATTAATGGGATTTACTACAGTATTATAATGGTTTAATACATATAAGTACAACAATCACTACAACATCTCAGGATATATTCATATTGTAACATTTAAGAAAACTCTAGAATAGTTATCATAAGAAAACAATTGAAGCAAAATGACAGAATGCAAATTAACTCATTTGTCTTTGAGCTTGTCCTTGGATAATTGCCTCTTACCTGATGTTGGTGGCAACAGTCCACTAAGAGTATTTAGCAGTGTGGTTTTCCCAGCTCCACTGTGACCCAGGAGGGCTGTGATCTGACCTTCATATATGTCAAATACCAGGCCTGGCAGTATTTCAAGGAAATGACACTCAGAGCTACACAGTAACTTCATAGATTCTTTCATTTTTATAACTTCTCACAGCATGAGTGTTTTTGGCTACCAATATTCAAAATTAAATCCATCTTAAAGTTTTTCCTTTCAAAATTATATCTGATATGATATATTCTATAGCTATATCATAACAAATGATGATCATTAACATATTGATTAACAAACTGCAGTATAAAATGGAGGTTAGCTATAATAAAGATAACTAACTGTCGGACTAGATCATATGATGAGTTGAAAATAATGGATCTTTCAAATCCATGTATCTAAATAGTACTCACTTCATGTTAAATTTATTATACTATTAATTGATTAGAAGGAAAAATAATGCGTTGAAATAAAACGGAGTCATGATACCTGGACTATCTTGGTCTTAATTCCTACCAGTGTGCTACAAAAGAGGCATGCCCCCTAAATCAGACCACCATGTTATATATAATTTTATATTATTACCTCTTAAAGCTTCTACCTTTCCATACTTTCCTGTATATTCTTTCTTAAGATTTTTGATTCTGCAAAAAAAAAGAAGAAAATATCTTTGAGGAAATGGTGGAGCTGGAGGGAGGCTTGATAAATCCCCATAGGTCTTTGAGAGGCTATGAGATATGGGTATTCTTTGACATGGATAGTAGTTGAAGCATCTAGGTCATCTCGCTAGAAGCTGCCTCTCTGATCATCCTAACTGCAATAGGTTCTGGATGGCGGGGTACCTAGCATGTGGGAGCATGTTGCTATGAGGACTTGGACAGAAGGTTAGAGGAGAGCTGAAGAGGGAATCAATGGTTATGAGGTGCCTACCAAAGAGAAAAGAAAGAAATCAGCACACCCTAATAGAAAGATGAGGGTGCCGCAGCCACCTCACTCTGGGTGAAGTCTCCTTCATGTCACTTACTAGCTCTGTTTCAACCACTGTGTTCTCAACAGTCACTGAACTGTGCCCTTAAGCACTAAAATAAAGATGATAGTGTTATCACGCAGGGCTGATTTACAGAGGACCTAAGATTAAAAATGTAGAATTCAAAATGCTGGAGATATAAGAAAGTTCAAACAAGATAGAAAGGAAGAAGACAAGAGGAAAAAATTAAAATGAAGACATTTTTAAAAGAATACATAGAAAAATATTTCAAGTGAGTTAAAGGCCTAATATAAGCCAGGCCCTGTGTATTTTAATTGCATCATGTTCATATATTAACAAAAAAAAACAAATGTATTAGTCTGCACAATGTGCTATAACAGATGCCATAGACTAGGGAGCTAAATATCAGCCATTTATGTCATGGTTCTGGAGGACAGAAAGCCTCAGATCAAGACACCATCTCATTTGGTGACTGGTGAAGGGTCCCTTCTGACTTGTCTTCAAGGTCGCCTTCTTCTGGGTCTTCACAAAGTGGACATCCATCTCTGAGTCTCCACTTATAAATGTACTAATCCCACCATGAAAGCTTCCATGTTAATGATTTCATCCAACCCTAACTTACTTTCCCAAGGCCTCACTTTCAAGTTTGCTTAAGGGTTAGTATTTCTTTGGGGGATGGTGGTCGGGGGCCTCAACTCTGGGCCTGGGCACTGTCCCTCAGTTCTTCAGCTCAAGGCTAGCACCCTACCACTTGAGCCACAGCGCCATGTCCAGCTTTTTCTGCTTATGTGATGCTGAGGAATTGAACCCAGGACCTCACGCAAAGCAAGCATTCTACCACTGAGCCCCAGGGGTTAATAGTTCAATACGTAATTTTATATTGAGACAGCTTCTCTAGGAAAGCAAGAGGAAAGGGACAAAGTGAATCACAGAGTAAGGAAATGATGGCATTGTCTATCACCAACAGAGTAGCAAAGGGAGAGCAATGTGTGAAGAGGAAAAACAAGAAAGACAGTAAAAAAAAAAATGGAAGTACAGTTTTTGTTATCTGAAAGCTGTTGCCAATGGCATATGACATTAGTCTATGCAAATGTTGAGGATGTGAGAGAATGCAGAGCTACTCAGAATGAGGGTAGCCTTTCCTGGGTGCAACAGGCCGGGCTCGGTGGGGACGGAGGGTCACGGAGGGTGGTCCGTGTTTTATCTGACAGTTCCCTGCTCTCTGATCTCTCTCCAGTATCTTTCCATGTGATGTATTTGTTACCTGATGGCTTCTTTCCCCTGGAACTCTGGAAGCACGGGTTCGAAAGAGTCATCCAATGAAGGATCCGAATCCACTTCATTCTCAAGAAGTACATGCTTAGGTTTTTGGTGTTGAAACCAAAGAGAAGACTTCAGGAAAAACAAGGGAGAGTGATGGCGTCCATACTTGGCTACAAGAGCAGAAAGCAACAACAGGTTGGTCAGCCACCATTTCAAGGGCTACAGACACCTTCAGTCAGTATGTCCATACTACTCCTCTGCCATGAACCAGAGCCTCATGATCACCTCAAAGAGTTACTGTTCCCTACATGTGCTTCGACAAATGCAGAACAACATGGAACAAACAACAGACAAATTACCATCTAGTGTGATATTTCTAATATGATGAGGAGGTAGCATAGTAATCTCAACAACAAGTGGTCATAGTGTAGTAACATATTTCAGGAGGAATTTCCATCTCACATTAAAAACGAGTTTCTCTTCCATTAGAGGATTATTTGAATATGGTGAAAAATAGACCTCATGTTATGACACTGGCAGTATTTTATCAATCCCATAAATGACTGGTGAATATGAAGGTTCAGATCTTAGAGGAGACAATAAAATTGGGTACAACTCTTCGTGTGTGTGTGTGTGTGTGTGTGTGTGTGTGTGTGTGTGTGTATGTGTGTGCCGATCCCAAGGCTTGAAACTCAGGGAATAGGCACTGTCCCTAAGCTTTTGTGCTCAAGGCTAGCATGCTACCATTTGAGCCAAAACTCCATTTCCAGCTTTTTTTAACTTGGAGATAAGAGTCTCAAGGACTTTCCTGACAGAGATGGATTGGAACCAGGATTAGCAGATTTTAGCCTCCTGAATAGGTAGGATTACCATGAGCTACCAGCACCCAGCAGGTACAACTTTTTAAATGTAAAACAAATGGTGGCACAAATGTATATTAATAAAGCAGAGGCAAAGGACTTCCTTGCAGTGATTACCATCAGCAGCATTAGAATACCTTCTAGTTTTTTTCTATTCTATTTTTTATAAGATTAATGATTAATAATAGAGTCTTGTGGATTTTCTGTCAGAGCTTATCTGAACTATGAGCCTCCCAATTTCATACTTTCACACAGCTTAGTATAACAGGTATGTGCCACTGCACCTAGCTAGGAGCTGAGAGGGAGTCTCATGAACTTTTTTGCCTCAGGCTATTCTTGAACTACAATTCTCCCATTCTCAGACTCCCAAATAGCTAAGAGCATGCTCCACACTGGTGCCTAGCTGATTACAAATATTTCTGAGTTTATTTTTATGTAGTTCAAAAGTGGATGCTATGCATTGCTGGTTTCATCGTTTTTGAGGGAAGGAAGAAGAACATACATATTTTAAACATATTTATACCCTAGATGTGTCCATTTAGGGTATAACTTCATATACATTACCTCAACTTTATGTCTAGAATAGAATTTTATTGTAAGAATATATATATACAATATTATTTTCAGATTTTTATTTTCCAAATTTGTTTCACTTACAGAACTTTTATCACACTATACCTAATTCTATATATTATTATTCTGTTTCCATAACACATCTTAAAACTTTTAATCCTCTTCATTAAAGTGTTTTTGCATTCGATCTGTAAGTCTTTAAGCATAGCTGTTTTAAAATAGTTTTATCATTCTTGAGCAGGCTATGTATTTTCTATTTTTTAAGCCAGAAAAACTTATTTATTAGTACTTGTAGAAATGGAATATTATGAAGTATTAATTTCATGGTTTAAGATAGTGGTGTGATTTCCTTTAACATGTTAATGTGATAAATTATCTTCCTGTAGTAGAGTCCACTCAGTTATTGTTTAGCAAATGCATGAGTCCTGGTTAGAATAGACTTGTTTTTGCTCATTTAGATTTTAAAATCATGTGCAAATATGAGATCAGTCTAAGCATTTCTTTTCTTTGTTAAATTTTATTTTATTGTAAAGATGCTGTACAGAGGGGTTACATGAGTAAAGTGATGAGTACATTTCTCGTTGAACATTGTTACCCCCTCCTTTGTTTCTGTCAGTGTAAGTCCTCCAAAATAAAGTGGGTTCTTTTATATAACCTAATTTCTCTGTGGGCTTCATACTCCTTTGTCAAGTTAGCAAACAGAGTCATTTTATGATTTTCTTCGCTCAGATTAGACAAGGTTCATACTCCAAGTAGGATGGAAAATATTGTAGCAATAATGATAACCCCCCAAATATCTTACTTAAAGCAAATATCAGATATCAGTTCTTTCAGAAACATGATAAACAGTATTTGAAAGACATTTTCCTTCCTTTCATCTCCCCATCTCTCCTTCTTCCTCTTTGTAGCATTTATGAACCAAAAAGTGACAGGGAAACTCCAGAGATGCACCAGAGGAAAACGTTGCTTCCCCATAGGAGAGGTTGTGATTCAGCATGCCAGGACAATAGTGTGCAGTCATGGTGGCCACTATCTACCCAGTGAGTTCCATCATATATGACGAGTCTTAAGATAAACAACAGAAACTGGCATTTATCATGTAACTCTGAGATTATTAACCATATGAGTACCCACAATATCTTTTTTTAAAAAGAAGTTGAATAAAGTATTAAGATAGAGTCAAGTCTTAGAAAGTGAATCTATACACAAAGCTCAGAATGTTGCAAAACTTGTGTTTGCTATGCTGAAAATGCTAGCTAATTTATACTTGGTATCATTTTAAACAAATACAGTTAATACAGTTATGTTGAATTCCGATCATGCTACTACTTACAGGGAAGAATTTTGTCAAAATACAATGCCAGTACCAAATAGAGCAAAGCATCCACAGCCAACACAAAAAGAATAGCTATTATTAGGTATGAATTGTTTGAAGAATCCAAGTGAACATTAGAATTCATGTCATAGTCCAAATGTATAAGCTGGGGAAAAGAAAGAGACACACAAATTATAAAAGGTTAGTTAGTACAGTATTAAGAATTTTACTGTCTCATTTCTGCTACACACTGGATTGCAAAGATGAATAAAACATAATTTGTATCTTTACAGATCTACTGGAATGCTAGATGAATTTATCTGACTACAAACCACAGATGACTTCTGTCTCCTAGAAGGAGGTAATCAGTTATTCAAAGGAGGTGATAACTGACCTAAACTACTGCAAGACTCATCAGGATCAACATGGAGAGAAAGAGAGGGGTTTCCATTTCACATAGCAAATATGGAGTGGTAATGTTAATCCAGTAGTTGGGCAGCAGACAGAATGATTTCATACTGAACAAGAAGAAGATATTGTGAGTTGACATGTAAATTTCATTTAGCAGGTTTATGGTTTTAGTGTCATCACTAGAACTCCCTTCAGAGTAGAAATTCCATTTCATGTGGAAATGTCCAATTCAAAACTTAAAAATCTACTTTTCCCAAACTCTTGGTTTTGTACTACTTGTGATAATACCGAGTTGTATTTCTTGAACCTTCAAATGAGACAAGTATTCACAGGCACAATCAATTAGAAGTAGAAGCTGAACTATGTGAATCATCCTGTATTTACTGACAAGTACACTCAGAGAGAAAAACTTCTATCCAATGTGTTTATCTATTTTCACTCTCTGTCTTAAAGGACTGAAATCTCCAAGACACTGAGCTAAAGACAAAGGTGGATAGACATTTCAGTGATTATTGTAAGTTTTATGAATTAGCAAAGAAATTTATTTAGAATATTTTGGGAAAAAAATAGTAATATAGCCGGTCACTGGTGGCTCCAGTCTTTAATCCTAGCTGCTTAAGAGGCTGAGATCGGAGAATTATGGTTTGAAGCCAGCCCAGGCAGAAAAAGTCTGTGAGACTCTTATCTCCAATTAACCAACAAAAAGCCAGACATAGATGGATGTCTCAAATGGGCAGAGAGCCAGGCTTGAGTGAGAAAGCCAAGTAGGAATGTGAGGACCTGAATTCAAGGCGGAGTATAGGTAATAAGCAAACAATGTGACAAGATAATAATAAAAAAGTAAGATATTTATAAAAATAGTAATAATGTAGTTACGTTAACCCTTACCTGCGCCATTCCGGCAGTAAAGGCGAAAGGGCTAAGAACACACAAGGTCCATTCCCAAAAGGCAGGAAGATGTCTGTACAATGTCGTTAATCCCAGACTTCCCCAGAAGACGGTAAGGACAAAGATCGCCAAGCCAGCCAGGAAAGGTTTTCTTATCAAAACACTCATCAGGAAAGCTAAAGATATCTGACAGGAGAAAATATTCAGCTGGCATACCATTCTGAGCCCCACTGGTAACACAATAATGAAGTTCATGTTTCCTCTGATTCAGATCAATGTCTCCCAAAGCTTAGGTGTACTGAATGCTCTGTCTGTGGTTTGATTGGGAAATGTTGGATCTTTTTATAGGCAGAGTCTACTGAGAGGTCTTCTAGTCTTTGGGGGTTTATCCTTAAAGGGGGTTGGGTTGTTGGACCTCAACTCCTTCCTTCTTCCTGTCATTACTGTATCCTAGCATACAGTGAGCACTTTTGGTTTACCTCGTACTTCTGCTATGCCACACTGCCGGGATACAGGCCCCAAGGCAGTAAGGCTGACCAACTATTTTCACTCATTGCCTTAAAAATACAACTGAGCTAAAAATACAACTTTTCATTTTCTTTTCCTTTGCTTATTTTTCTTAAATTGTGTTTGTTGTACTTGAGGTTGAACCCAGGACCTCCTCTGAACCACCCCAAAGCCTCGCATCCACCCCTCCCCACCAACTCTTTGGTTTCAGAGATTGGATCTTGATGACTTGCTTGGGTTGGCCTTGAACATATGATCCTCATGCTTCTGCCTCTGGATTATTTAGGATTATTGGCATATGCCACCATGCTGAACTAAACCTTTCCTTCTTATGACTTGATTATCTCAGATATTATAGCGATAGAAAGTTTATTAACATAATCTTCTAAAAGTATATTTGGTCAATTTTCAATTAGATATTATCTCATAAAAAACACTCAAACAGACCCAAAAAAAGAAGCTGAAATAGAATCATTAATGTGATTCTATTGGCCATGAGGTGATGGAGGGAGAGAGAGTGAGAGAATTCATCACTTACCAAAGACAGGCCATACAGGAGAAAAAGGATGAAGACAACCATAAAGCCAGTGAGTACGACAATATGGGTGGTTTTTGCAATAATTGTCATCAGAGTGGCCATGAGAAGGACAAAGCCAGCATACATCAAGCCCCAAGAAAGCCTAGCCAAAAACAAACATGGATCCAAAGTTCTGTTAACTTTGTCATGAATGTAATCATTCATTTGTTCAGCCAATGACTGATGAAGTTGACAACTTATTAAGGGTTTAAAAACTGCAAAAGCTAGCAAATGGGAATACTCACTTGCCCTGAACCTCATATCCCATAAAGAAAAACAAATAATCAGCACATCAACAGATAAGATAGATTCCTTGTTGTGCAACACAAAAGCAAAACATTAGGTGATGTAAGAGGAGTCATTGGGAGAGGTTTCTAAGAAGAGCTTTTAAGGAAGAACACGATCTAGCAAATAAGGACAACTTCTTCCCATAAAATATCATAGAAACAACACAGGCAAGAAATAGATGATGCAACATGGGATCAGTAGGCCTTCTGTGAGACCGTGTGGTTACCATATTTCCTTCTATATCAAGATGCATATTTTTAATTCAAAGAAAAAAAGAGTAGAAGCTCCTATTGTAGGGCAAATCAGCAATCCACTTAATATACTTCTCCATTCAATATACTTATATACTCAATACCTCTTTATACCTAATACCTCACTATAGTTAATACTTCATTAGAAAACAAAAGTAATAAAACAGTATAAATCAGTAACATGAAAAATATGTCATCTGATAGATGCCAATGGCTCAGACCTATAATCTTAACTATGTAGGAGGCTGAGATCTGAAGATCACAGTTTGAAGGCAGCTGGGCAGGAGAGTTCCTGAGTCTCTTATCTGCAGTTATCCAGCAAAAAGCTAGAAATGGAACTGTGCCTGAAGTGGTACAGCACGAGCCTTGAGGAAAAGAAAGCCCGGGGGACTGACATACAGACACACACACACACACACACACACACACACACACACACACAGAGGTAGTCTTCCTACTTGATAGTATGGAATTCTCTTTTAAAGATTATTTAGCATATGTCTAGAACTATTCATGCATCCTCCATTTCTTGTGTAACATTGAGAATGCTATCATAATGTGTAAAAAGGCAAATTCAACATCAAAAATCATTGCTTTCTGAACTCTAGGATGGATGTTTTTACCAATACTTGTCTCCAAAACATCACTTGCCTCCACTCAATATAAAATGTGGTTACTATTATTGAAAGCTTGCTTTCCTAGCCTACTCCTAGTGTAGCTAAGGTCTATTAACTGTTCTATCATAGTCAGTGTTTAATCTAGCTTGAGTTCTATGTAAAGCATTTAAAATACAATTTCTTTAATTCTTATCTCCAGTGAGGAGTAGATGTCATCATTATTTTTTAATTACTTTATTGTTATTATAAAGGTATTGTACAGAGGGATTACAATTACTCGAGCCAGGTAGTGTGTACATTTCCATCCATACAGTGTCTTCTATTCCCTCAGTCTCTCCCAGTTCCTCCCTCCTGTCTCCACCCATGAGTTATTATTGTTCACTTTTATCTGGACACCATTATTCTTGATGCACTACAAAAACAATGAGATTTAAAAGGCTTAAGTAACTCACCCCAGGTGGTCTCTACTAAGTGCTGAGGTAGAGAAGGCCTATGGCTTCTCACCTCCGGGCCTGTGTTCTTACCCCTCTGCTACCCTATGTCCACTAAGGAAAGCTCAATACCCAACAAGCAGAATGTTCTTTTCTCAATGTCATAAAAATGACAGCTCATTCAACAACAAAGTCAAAACTGATCATGGCTTCTAATATAGTCCCTGAAATAGACATTCCATTGTCCATCAGAAACCTCAGCTTCTCCTGACAGGGTAAGTGATTATTTTGAATTGTGCTCTGTGTTCGAAGGGCCTGCGGAGTAGTACTCATCTACAGAGCCAGGTTTTCCTCAAGTCAGAGAAAGGAAGGAAGATCCAGTGAAATCTCTATCTGTTTCATCCATTTGTAATGCATTACTTTGTGAATACACCAAAGTAATCTAAATGGGACACTTTCTAGGTCTAGGAATTCCAGCCAGCCAAGTTGTTCAGTTCATGTCTGCACCTTGTAAATTAAAAAACAAAATGTTACTTACCAAAATGCAGACTCTCGGAGTCCCATCATAATCATCAATGACTTCATGTTTTGCCTTTCTTGTGCAACATTGATGGACACATAGTATATGAAGGAAGAGAAAGAAATAATGCACACAAAGATGAAAAAATCTGTGGTAACTCCTCCTTGGGCAATGAAAGGCAGAATCCTCATATTTATGCCAGTGACTGACATCAGCTCCTCCATAACTGAGCGATTTGTTGTGATCTACAGAAGAATATCAATAAACTCATCATTAATCTAATTACAACCTCATTAATCTAAACCCCAAGGAACCATGAACATTTTATATTTAAGTAGATGTACCACAGAGGTTCTCAGGATCTGCTGGTTTGTTCTTAGATTGCCTCAGGTTTTGCAATCCAAGAACAAACAATTCCTTAGGGAATCTCTGCTTGCCATGTTCCCTGGAAATAATTCTGTTCATGTTTTGAGACTAGCTGGAATGACACATCAATAGCTCCATAGTTCAGCTGAGTTTGGAATTTGAGCCTTGTATTTATCAGGCAAGGGCTGGCTCTTCCTCATGAGATATATCCCTAGTCCTTTGTTAGTTCAGTTATTCTGCAGATATAGTCCCATATTTTTTGTCCAATGCCTTATATGGACCATGTCCCTCCTACCCAGACCTACGATCTCCCATGTAGCTGGGATCCCACATACATGCAGCCTATGTCTGGCATATTGGCTGAGATGTAGTCTGAATAACTTTTTGCCTTGGCATGATCTGGAACTACAATCCTCTACCAATTGCTCCCTCCCAAGTGGCTGGGATTATAGGTCTGAGCTACCATGCTTGCTTCAGATATTTCTTATCAGAGCATCTGCTTCATTGTTTGCTTAGCATACCACTTATACTCCGATAAAAGAACCTAACCATTTATGGCTGTACATTACTATTTCTATCTCCCTGATTGCTCGGATCTCTTGATAAAAGTACCTGTGTTGTGCTTGTTTTCTGAACCCCAGTACTTCATACAACAGGGTAACATTGAACTTGTGTTGTTTGTCATGCTTAATAAAGTGAATACATGATTTAAAAAATAGGAACATCTATATTTCCATGCATTATTTAGTTTATAATGCAATTAGTCACTTGGTACTCACTTCTATGATAGCAGCATTAATAGCTGCTTGAAGAGGTACAAAGCCTTTCTCCCAGAAGACTGAACTTTCACATGTGATATTTGGGCCCACTACTTGACAATGAGCTTTAAGAAAATAAGAACATGCCCATTATTACGTGGTAGGACAGTTTTGTCTAGAAAAGAAACCATAATTTCTAATGTTCCCAAATGTATTCAATAATACAATATACAGCACATAGTACAATTTCTCAACTGAAGTCTATAAAGCAAACACGAGGGTCTGTTGAAAATTGCTTTGTTAATGTTTTTAATTCCCACAACTTCAGAATATTGTGGTAATTTTTCCTTTGGTTGTGCCCCCCAAAAGAACATTAAATTATATTTAAAAATTGGGGAATTATTAAGCAACAGTCTCCCCTTGAAGTTTTATTTAGATAAGTCATATAGAATAACAAATATAAATTCTTAATAAAACATATTAAAGACTATCTGTTTTATTACATAAGAATTAATCAATATCTTGTGTTCAGAAATCAATATGTGTTTGTATAATTTCACCTCTTGTGTTTAATATCTTTAGACATACATATATACATACATACATACATACATGCATACACACACACATGGGTGGATGGATGGATGAATAGATGGATATATTTTTGGATGGATATATATATATATGTGCATATATATATAAACACATGTGTGGGAAGAAAGAAGGAAGACAGGAAGAAGGGAAAATGAAGGAAGAACACATACAGACATAAATGGGTAGGTGGGTGGAAAAAAGTGTAAGATGTGGGGGAGGGTCTTTATTAAACTAGGAGTTACCTGAATGGTCTATATGTTCTTTCCTACTAGGGATTCTATTTCTCCAAGGAAATTTCAGATTATATGAAAACATATCCTTAAAGATGATTTTCACTGGGTCTACAGAAAGATTAAAATCCAACTCATTCATCCTTTGTTCATCAGGCCATCCCATGATTGATATTCCTGCCATGTAAATAAAATTGTTGAGTAAGATTCCAATGTGGCACAAAGACAGAAAGCCAGCTTCAATTATGATGAAATTATTTATGGTACAGCTATTTCCTCCCTACACTTAGAGGTGAAGGGGCAGTAGGATTTCAAATGTTCTAGATAAAATTGGAAATTATATAGCAAAAAAAATCCATAAGTTCTTTCCAAATAATTTAACCAATAACTTAAATCATGCTTGAAGTGATATCAATACCAGTCGATCCATTTAAATTCATATTCCAATAGACCTATTTAACGGCAAAATTTGTATTATTTTCATTTGGCATCGGTGCCATTATGGCCAAATTTCCAAAGATAGCATACAATTGTCAAGTTTATATACTGTTTTCTTTCTTGATAATGGTTCATTCTAAAATACATAATGTATGTATTACAGCCTGGACTATTTAATCCATAGTCCGGATTTTGTTAACTTCATACTCCTGATAAAATCCAACATTTAACTTAGTTCTACAATATATTTTCTGCAAACTTTTAGTCAGATATTGATTTATTTATTTATTGCTAGACTGTAGGTGGTGGTGTTTGTCAGAAGCTCCCATTTCTAGTTGACATTTCTTTTAAGATTCTAGCAGACATTAATGCTGAAGGCCTAGATCTGTGACTTTAATGTAGATTTCAAAATGTTAATGTTTTATTTATATCATTTCTTTTCATTTATAGGTAGAGTACATTTACCTTCATAGTTTTGACTGATTATTTGATTAAGCAATAGCATGGCTCACAGAAGATGAATATAGAGGTCTTTTCCCCTTCACTTATAAAAGTTCACAGTAAGAACTAATTTGGTATCTTCTAATGCAAAAGAAAAGTCAGTTAAGTTTTTGTCTGTTAGTCTCAATCTCCAGTCATGAAACACTTCACCATATAATAAATACCTTAAAATACTGCTTGTAGTGTTTGGTACTGCATCTAGTTTCTCTCTTGATTTTTATGTATATGAAGAGATTAAAAAGTCATGCTACCATGATCTTCTAATATTTCCAAATCTTCTCAAAAATACATCATTAAATAATCCCAGACTACCTATAACAAGATAATTATCTTTTTGTGTGTGCTGGCACTGTAACTAGAACTCAGGGCATTGTCCCTTGACTTTCTGCTCAAGACTGACACTCTATCACTTGAGCCACAGCTCCACTCCTGGCTTCTTTAAGTTAAAGGTCAGAGTTTCACAGACTTTCCTGCTTGGCTGGCTTTGAACCATGATCCTCAGATCTCAGTAGCTAGGATTACAGGAGTGACCCACTGACATTGGGCAATACTCATAATCTTAACATTAAATTTCTTATATAGGACATTAGTTATATAATAGAAAAGCCTCCATGATCATGGAAAGGAATTTACATTAATGATGTGAATAAATGAAGGATTAACATTTATCATTGTATATCAAGGAAATTTTTGTGTGTGTCAATCATGGGGCTTGAACTCTTGGCCTAGGCTCTGTCCCTCAGCTCTTCAGCTCAAGGCTAGTGCTTTACCACAGTGCCACTTTCGGTTTTCTGATGGTTTATTGGAGATAAGAGTCTCATGGACTCATGCTCAGGCTGGCTTCCAACTGTGATCCTCAGATCTCAGCCTCTTGAGTAGCTAGGACTACAGGTGTGATCCCTGCTCAAGGAGATCTTAAAGTGAGTGTGGTTTTTGGAAATAAAGAAATGAACTTCCAGGAAAGATACCTTTCATAAATGGGGCTGAAGCTACCTTGTTCATTATCTCCTGGGTAGTGTTAGATTCAGGTGAAAAATGAACAGCAAAATCAGAATCATTAAAATTATCTACACGTCCCAGATTCACAGCAGACATATGAGGAGAGTCATTAACTTGATGCAAATTGGAGGAAAACAGGCATGCAAACAGCAGCAGAAGAAATGAGAAAAACCATTCCTAGGAACAAAGAAAGAAAAAGGGAGTTAATAGGTAGTCTACTAAAAACCATTATAACCACTTCCTGTTGTTACAAAAATTGCTTCTACTAGTCTTCTCTCATGTATATTTTTAAATATCTTGAGTTTTCTTTTGTCCTTCAATATTTGCTTTCTGAAATAGCATTATCCACCAGTACAGAGTTGTGACATCAGTTCCAAGAATCTTAAACTGAAATCCCACAGATTGGGAGAAAATCTTCACTACCCATATGAAAGACAAGGGCCTCATATCTTAGAACTCAAAAAAACTAAATCCCCTCCCTCAAAACAAATCCTCAAAGAAACAACCACCCCATTAATAAGTGGGCTAAAGACTTAAAGAGAGACTTCTCTGAAGAGGAAATAAGAATGGCCAATAGACAGAAGAAGAAATGCTCAACTTCTCTAGCTATAAAAGAAATGCAAGTCAAAACATCATTGAGATTCCACCTCAACCCAGTTAGAATGGCTGTAATCAAGAAATCTAATAACAACAGATGCTGGAGGGAATGTGGCCAAAAGGGACCCCTATTACATGGTTGGTGGGAGTGTAAATGTGTTCAACCATTCTGGAAAGTTTTGTCATTCTTAATGGCAGGTCTAGGTTGCTTCATGAATAGCCCAAGGGTATCCAGAGATCTGATAAAGGCAGGAGCCATGCAAGTAGATCCTCTTGTTGGAGCAAGGTTGTGTTTCCACCTTCTGCTGCCTGCATGTGAATGGACGGAAAGAAGTCCCAAATACAGCTTGTAAAAAGAAAATTTAAATTCTTTGTGACTACGACCGAGTTCAGAAATTGGGAACACAACAGAATTCATTTCAATCTGAGTAATAAAAACCCATGTTACAACTTTCACTATAATCCTAAAACATAGGCCTTTCCAAGAAGAAAACAGAATATTTTCAGCACTGATAATACTGACATAAATGAGCAAATGAACAAACTGTGTATTAATAAAAGCTAAAAGTTTGGAGTAAACCAATTATTTAGAGAAGGATCTCAATTTTAACATTCATATGGATAATTACCCTTCTTCCATGCAGAGAATGTGGTGGGCTGTATTCACTGAGAAACCAAACAATGAGTATTTGTTGGATAAACACTCACAGATACAATGTTTATGAGCTAAGGTATTGCTTTTTGTGAATGATTTTTAAGGTATTTACTTTGTTTTTCAGTATTTATTGAACTTTCTGTATAAAGAATATATGATCACTCTTATGCCCAGAAGGGTACCATTTTCATAGAAGCAAAAGTTCAAAATGTCATTTTCTTTTCTTGCTTTTTTTGAATGCACATAATTTCTTTTAAATTGATGTTTTCTATACCCGAAGTGCAATTATTTAGAAGCAGTACAGTTTGTCATTTTTCTTATTCTGATTGACACATAATATTTGATTGACACACAATATTTGCATAAATTTACCAGGCACAGTGAGATTCTTTGATTCATGTTCACAGGCTAGTTGGCATACTCAACATCTTATGCTCTTGTTAGTTCTTCAATATGAGTACATTCTTTTGATTGCTTTTTCAATTTTGGAATACTTTTATCAGTTAATTCTATATTGAAGCTTGCCTCTTGGGCAGAAATTCTGTGCCTGTGACTTTATAAAATTCAAATAAGCTTAGATGTTCATTTCTACCTTGGTTGTACAAACTTATGATTTCATTTTTCAAGAAGTTTCTGAAGGAGCTCCAGTGGCGCAATCGGTTAGTGCGCAGTACTTATAAGAAGTTTCTGAAAATGGATTCTTTAATTTTTTTTCCTGTGGTAAAACATAATGATTATATATTTTAACTTTGAAAAAAAATCAAAGTCCAGGACTTGAAAATTGAATTTTTTGAAATTGTCGTTAATGAAAATCAGGATGTATATGATGCATTGATTAATGACTATAAACATGTACTGCGGAGAAGAGAAGACACAGACTGAACCCTTACCAGTGAGGTCTCTCTTTTCATCCTTCGCTTTCTCAGACAGTTTTTGCAGAGGAGGGCCCAGGTTTGCTGACCCATGCTTAAATGTCTCTTGCTCATTTTGACCTGTTTATTTTAAAAAGAGGAAGAAGATGAAATATACATGGAAGTCTGAAGCATTGTGCAATCAAACAGAGAAGAAACATTTTAACAGCTGTTTCCAATTGCATGCTTGAAGAAGAAAGATGCCAAAAGGCAGAGAGAAAGAGAGAGCTGGGGGGGGGAGGGAGAAGAAGAGGGAGAGGGCAAGAACAGAGGAAGGAGGAAGGGAGGGAGAGGAAAAGGGAGGAAACAGGAGGAGGAGTAGAGAGAAGGAAGAAGGGAAGGAAGGAGAAAGAAGTTGAGGAGAGAGGAAGCTGAGAAAAAGCATAGGGAGGGAGAGAAAGGGAGGGAGAGATTTGCAAAACTCAGTATTGAAAGAAGTTAAAATTAAAATATTTATGAAAGATCCTCTTTGCCTTGTTGAACTGAAACAGTTTAGAGAATTTAATGTTATGGAGAGTTATTGTCCATACTACTTCACGGTTAAATTGTCTATTGGCGGTAAAGGAGCTTTACTTAACTACTAGTGGAGTATGAACCTACCCAGTTATTTAGATGACTCATTACTGATTTATTGCTACGTGGTAGTACACTCCTGGTTGCTAAAATTGTTTGGTGTGTTCTGAGGGAACCTGGGCACTGATACCCTTCAGGGTGTAGTTTATTGTGACATGGGGCTGTAAAACAAATTGGTGGCTACTGAACAAATATTACTATGCAAGTTTGGAGCATCGATTGCTACCTGTTATTCACATGAAGAAGTTTTAAAGTCACAGTGTCAATTTAAAAAGAGGGCAGAAAAATAGGAATTATATTATCTGTATGATTTATATAAGTTTACACTATATGCCATATACATTTTCCAACAATATTCTGGAACTAAGGAATCATCATAAAATGCAATTAAGAAGAAACTCTTTTGCAGTGGGAAATGGGGAAATCATGTCACAGATTTGAGTATGATTATAACTGAACTTTTTATGAAGCTTTGTGGGTAGAATCTAAAAAATTCTGGAACAAATCTCTCTCTCTCTTTCTCTCTCTCTCTCTCTCTCTCTCTCTCTCTCTCTCTCTCACACACACACACACACACACACACACACACACACTCAAGTCCAACTAGTATCAAATCTCAAGAATTTCTGTGTGTCCATTATAGCTGGACTGGGCAGCTACTCATCCAAGGGCTGTCTTTCCAACTAAGAAATCAGTGCTGTGGTGAGCCCTGGGTATCTAAAAGAATTCAATATATTCCCCCAAGTGATTAATTTCTGTCATTTATTACATTTGCATCTAAGAACAATTATTTAATCTAAGTATTGTCAATGTGGTTATTTATTTCTGGCTGTTAAGCCTATTTTTTTCCACTCCATATCTTGATGTAACTATCAGGAAAGAAAAAAAGCTGGCCAATATAGTAACACAAAAAACATCCAGTTTGTTTTAGTTACTCTGCATAGGAAATCATGTTAACTAGAAATAATAAATTGATTATCAAATCCCAGTCTTTTCCCAATATAAGAAACAAGATTAGTAAAGAATTTCTCTTGAAAATATTCTCAATGAGGTTAACAAAAAACAATTGAAAACTCAGTAAAGCTTGTGTTCTACACTACTTAAAATTCTTCTGGCAATAAAATGGAAAACAAGTACCAAAAAAGGAAATATTTTCTACTCATAAGAAGAGAGCATAAAGGTACCCTTCTTTCCTGAGAAATCTAGCAGCTATTTTTGCAAATATGCTGTAATCAAAAAGTAAAATGGAAAAAAAACCTATTTCTCCAATTGGTCCTCTAGCCATGCAATATAAAATACACAGACTGATTTGAAAAACAAAACAAAACAAAACAAAAGGACTCACTAAATAACACAGTGTTCAAACATTTGGCTTTTGCATTGCTAGTCTTACTTTATATTTCTAAACACAAATAACCACAGTTCTGAAAGTTAACTTACTCTGGAGAAAGTGGAAGCAAAAATCTAGAAAACAGTTCATCCACGGGTCTCTGTGGTGTCCTGAAGAAGAATTCACATTCCACTAGTACATCACGGTTTTAATTTCCTGATTATTAGCAATAGTTCTGTTCTAGACCTGTTTCCGAAGAGAATGATGGATTCAGTTTATACAGACTGCCAAATGGTGACTCCTGGATCGTTCGCTATTTCTCTCTCTCCTGCCAGTTCCTCAGCAGGGAGTTCGTAGTTGCAGATGGTTGGCTGTACATATCCAAACACTAGGAAATCCCAAACCAACAAGAATTTACTCCTTTCTCAACTGTTGTTTTGCTTTGTTTTGCATTTTCTGCGCTGATGGGAAAGTTGACCCTTAATGTGATCTTTTGAACCAAGATAAGGGGGAAAAAACAATTCAGAGATGGCAGAGCAAGAGCAAAGCAGAAAGTTGGGTTGTTTTTTTGTTGTTATTGGTTTTGTGTTGTTGTTTTAATGATGGGTGGAAATATACAACTTGGATTAGAAACTAGCTGAACAACCGGCTGTAAATTTTTAAGGCTTGAATTAGGAGAATGGTAATGAGGGAGTTAACTTCATCTGCAGCTCAGATGCACTGCTATCATGCTAACTACAGCATCTTTCTCTTGGGAAGAGAAATCAGAAAAATATTTGGGCAATGTCATCCCTCTGCAATCCCAAAGCCTACAGACTTGTTATTTCTACAATAAATTCGAGGAAGCAAACTACTTTCTCTGGAGGTATTCTCTGGATTTTTAAAATGTCTTGATTTCCAGTGTTACCAACCAATTTTAACAGGTCACAGCTATCATTCTTGTGTGTGTTCATGACAGTCTTGGGGCTTGCGCACAAGGACTGGGTGCTGTCCCTTAGCTTTTTTTACTCAGTGCTAGTACTCTATCACTTGAGCCACAGCACCTCTTCTGTTTTAGGGGTGGTTAACTGGAAGTAAGAGTCTCAAGGGTGTTCCTGCCCCAGAATCCTCAGATCTCACACTCCTGGATAATAGGCATGAGACATCAGTGCCTGGGTACCACTCTTTTGTAAACATTTCATGTATAGAAGATAAAGTATCACATGAATTGCTTTCCAAGATTCATTCAATCATATATATTTGTTTGCTAATTACATGAAATCTAGAAGTTGCTCAGCAAACAGCTAGTAGAAGTAGACTGAACTAATTTATCTTGTGTTTAAGAGTTAGAATTCTGGCTCTAGTTAACTTCTTGTCCCGAACTCTACTTTTCCTCCAATATGTTGGCCTCTTCTGTCATATTTACTATAATGTGTAATTTTGGTGATGTTATCTCAGAGCATTAATTAATCATCAATTTTATTTCCAGTGTTTTCTGATTGAGTCAGATGTGTTTACTTCACTAAATAAGCATTAGAACTTCTTGCCAATCAAAAAACAAACAACAACAATAAAACTCCATCCAGAAGCTAGTGGCTTATGCCTATAATCTTTGCTGCATGAGAAACTGAGATCTAGAATTTACAGTTCAAGGTCAGCCTAGTCAGAAAAATCCATGACACTCCATTTCCAAAATAACCAACAAAAAGCTGGGCTGGCAGTGTGGTTCAAGTGATAGAGCACTAATAGAGCAAACAAGCCAAGAAAAACAAGAGCTATCCTGTGAGGTCAAACCCCAATATCACCCCCCCACACACACACACACCCAATAAAGAAAGATCCAAATCTCCAGTACCATCAAAAATGATAAAAAAAATTCCAAAAGTTGAACGGCACTGATTTGATAGTAGAAATATTTATTTAGAAATCATTCACAGAACCTACTATGCTTAAGATATGCTGAAAGGATTTCCAGGGACTATTGCAGGCTGGACAAATGTTCTAATACTGCCAGGATCTGGTGGCTCATGTCCGTAATCCAAAATATAAAGTAGGCTGGGATCTGAGGATCTAGTTCAAACAAAAAATGTTCTACCACTGAATCAAACCCCTACCTCCACACTTCAAAAATCCACTCATGTACAGATGAAAGAAAATAAGCTTTACAGTATGAGTAACCTGTCCAAACTCATACTGATGAGAAGTAACAGAACCCCAGCCCAGCTTAGGATGTATGAGCTAAACTCACACATGCTATGTTGTCTGCCTTGTTTGTGTGTCTCTGTTCGTTAGATTCTGCTCACTTGTGTGTACACATTTTACAATATTCTTAGCCTTTTGTTTCATTTTTCAGCAATATTCTCCAGTGCTAGAAATTATATAAATTTGATGTGATGTACAACATATTATACTAAGAAAAAAATTCCTCTTAAGATCCTAGCTGGCTGTTTCTGTGGAGTACTTGTCACCCTGGCACAGTACACACATGTGCACTTCTAACATTTGGTGCCAAAGCCAAAGTTGATTTACAAGGAGAGGAGAAGGAAGCAGCCCCGCTGCCTGGGGAGGAAACTGAGATATGCTTGTATCCCGAGGGCTTTTCTCTTCTTGTTTTTCCTTCTTCCTCCATCTCAGCTGCACTGCTTGCATGTGGGTTTTTGTCAGATACTTTCCATAATTTTCTTTCTTAAAATAATTGTAATGAATTCTACTTGTAAATGAATGAATTTTTGGCTTGAAACATCCGTTTAAGATATATTCGAACATTATTTGCAAATCCACTTCTTGGGTATATTTTGGCCTCTCTCTCCTACCTGCCTATACCATGCCTTGTTTTAAGCGGTGTAGTCAGGTGCCAGTGGCTCACACCTGTAACCCTAGCTACTCACAAGGCTGAGATCTCAGGATCCTGGTTTGAAGGCAGCTGGGACAGGAAAAACCTATAAGACTTTTATCTCTATTTAGCCACAGAAAAGCCAGCAGTTTTTGCTGTGGCTCAAATGGTAGAGTGCTATACTTAAGGGGAAAAAACTAAAGAAAAGCTCAGGGAAAGTGTGCAGGATATAAGTTCAAACCCCGGGACTGGCACACACACACACACACACACACACACACACAAGTAGAGTTGTATTTGTGCTTATTCCCAGTTTTCTAGTTTCCACCAAGGAAATGTAAATATTTAGCATAACGTTTTATTTTAGTCTTCTCTTTAAGCAATCCTGTTGTTTTCCATTTCTATACTGATACTTTGTTCCTTTGCTTTTCAAGTCCCCCTCCCTCCCTTTTTAAATCCCAGTTCTTGTTTAGAAAATTCCAGATCTTAATTTTCATCTACTAGTGATTGTTCTTAAATGGTAACAAACACATATGAACCTATATGAATTTGGTAGGGTGAAAACTCAGCCTCTATATCTCTACCTCTTTATGCATACTTCTTGTACTTCACAAGGATGTTTTTAGCATATTTCAACTTGAACTTGGTCCACTTCTTACTAAGATAGCAGCAGAACTTTAGTTTTCTTCATCTGAGAGATCCACAGAAAGTACTGGCATCCTAGAATTTAAAAGTGTAGACCTTGAGAGAAAGAGAGGATGTGGCATCTTTAGGCCAGTACCTAGCAGTGAGGGACTGCTCGGTGAATGTTAGTCTATAGTCTTGCCAAAACTAGACAACTTGAGTTTTGCTGGTCTAATTGGTAAAAAAAAAAAATATTGCCAACAACTTACATACATTTTTAATTATTGTGATATCAAGCATGTTTTTGTATAATTGTTGGTCATTTAAAATGTGGGAAGTGGGCTGGGAAGTTGGCTCAGTGATAGAGCGCTTGCCTTGCATGCCTGAGGCCCTGGGTTCGATTCCTCAGCATCACATAAGCAAAAAGAAAAAAGCCGGAAGTGGCGCTGTGGCTCAAGTGGTAGAGTGCTAGCCTTGAGTTGAAGAGCTGAGGGACAACGCCCAGGCCCAGAGTTCAGGCCAACGACCGTACCCAAAAAAATAAATAAAATAAAATAAAATTTGGGAAGTATAATAAATCTGTCCCTGCCCTAGAAGTCATATCTTTGTCTCCTGAATAACTGGAAGTACAGGTGAGCTCTACCCTGCCCCGCTTTCCATAAACATACTTTTCTCTACCTACATATATTTTTTGTTGGTGGTGTTATTCAGTCATACTACTCTTCTTTTTGGTCTTGTCTGAGAGTGTCTTACTTTTTTTAACAGTCCTTGGGCTTGAACTCTGGGCTTGGGTACTGTTATTAAGCTTCTTTTCTTCAAAGCTTGCTCTCTACCACTGAAGCCACAGCTCCACTTCCAGATTTTCTGAGTAGTTTATTGGAGATAGAGAGTTGCACAGACTTTCTTGCCTGGACTGGCTTTTAACCATGCTCCTCAGATTTCAGCCTCCTGAGTAGCTAGGATTACAGGTGTGAGCCATCAGAGCCTAGTTTCTTTCTTTCTTTCTTTTAGACATCTTTTATTGTTACAAAGTATCATCTTGTACAAGAAGTTTCTTTTTTTTTTTGGTCCAGTCGTGGGCCTGAACTCTGGGCCTGGGCGCTGTCCCTCAGCTCTTCAGCTCAAGGCTAGCGCTCTACCACTTGAGCCACAGCGCCACTTCCGGCTTTTTTTTTCTGCTTATGTGGTGTTGAGGAATCAAACCCAGGGCCTCATGCATGCAAGGCAAGTGCTCTACCACTGAGCCACCTTCCCAGCCAAGAAGTTTCTTTTAAAAATAACACTTAAACATTTTATTTGTGTTTAATAGGGATACAGGTTGACCCATTGTAACAATGAGATGTACAAGACACTGTGAACTTCACAATTTAGAGGCGAGGGTAGTTGTGGAAGTGGGAGGGAAGGGATAGTACAGGATAAACAAAGGAGGAGGCAACAATGCTTGATAAGAAATGTACCCATTACCTTGCTCATGTAACTGTAACCCCTCTGTACAGTATTTTCATAATAAACATACACATACACACACACAAACACACACACACACACACACACACACACACACACACATTAAGAACCCTGACATTTGAAGCAGATACTCTTTCACTTCCAAGTATAATCAATTCACACATATATCTGTACCTAGAGGTGACTGCCCTCAGACTCATATGAACATCTTTAAAATAAAAACACTGAACCTTGGGGAAAAAAAAACACTTAATTGGCTTGTCTCACATCTATTTTTACTGATAAGAATGCTTGTATAGCTTTGGCGCTGATTTGAGGTATTTTGTTTTACTCACTACACTATATTAGGGTTCTTCTTTAACTACAAGATATGAAATTCATCACAATATATTCAGGTCTAAGTGTTGCTTTGGCTTTTCTCCTGTATAACACTTTGTGATCAACTGTAATGAAAGAGATTGAGACTTAAAAAAAATTATTGTAAAGATGCTGTACAGGGGGGTTAATAAAAAAATTATTGTAAAGATGCTGTACAGAGGGGTTACAGTTACACGAGTAAGGCAGTGAGTACATTTCTTGTCGAGCATTGTCACCCCGTGCCTTGTTGCTCTTCCACTTCCCTTCTTCAGAGACTTTTTTAAGCTCTGGAATATTTTCAGTTAATACTTCTGTTAGATAGTAAATATCCTAATCTTCCTCTTTTTTTCTCTCCTGGAAGTATATTGGATAATGGCCATGTTGGGTAAGTATCTTTTGCTTGTGTGCCATTTTGAAATGAGAAAATTGTCCTATTTCATATCACATATAAGCAATCTTTTTGATCATTTTTCTTACTTTCCCTCATTGCTCTTTGAACAGTATCTAGTTTGCTTCAAGGAAGTGTAAGCGTCCTTCTCACCTGGTCTCAGCTCTTTTTCCATTGATCTCTTGCTCCATTCATGGTCCCATCTCTAAAGCCAGCCATTGCTTAGACATGGATTTTTTAAAGCCAATTCCCTGCCCCTCTGCTCCCATTTGCCTGTCTTTCCTCTCCTAGAAGGAATCCCAACCCTGAAATTCCCTTCCCTGAATGACGTATTTTATTGTCCAAGTTCCTACAGGATCTTCAGACTTCAGCTCTGACCTCTACTTTCCCCAGAATCCTTCCTCATGTTATTCTCTAGGTCCTTCCATCCCATACACCCCACTGCATTTCAAACTAGCTATACTTCTCTCTCATCCATCACATTATGCAAACAGCCAATAGAAAAGTGCTCCTGAGCTCCTCATAGAGCCTGAAACATAAAAGATGCTCAATGCACACGTTCTGGGTTTTAACTGTACAATAATAATCTGGGCTGGAGAAAGAAGCAAAAGAAAAAAAAACATTATTTATTTTTCTCTGGGAACTAGAGAGTAAAATTACATGGTAGCCAAATGAGTTGCTTGGCCAAGAGGTTTGTTATTTTTCTTTTGTTGTGATGACTTTTAGAAGGGGAAGTGAGAAAGGAAATGTTGAAAGCCCAAGATTAACCAAACAACAGATGGAGTGCTGCTTTTTTTGAAATGGGTGAGGATAAGAAGGGCTTGAATCAAAAAGGAGTATATCCTTGAGAAGGAGAAAGGATAGTTTTGTTCTGCCAGGAGAGAGATAATAGTGCCAGTGAAATCTGGAAAGTTTAAATGGAGTGAGATTTAAAGCCAAAGTTTTACCTTTGACAGTATTTATACATGTGTGAATAAGAACCTCAAGATAGGGACACAGAGGGGTCTTTTTCTTTGTTGCTGTTGTTTTTAATGTACCATGTGATTATTTTTTGTTTCTTTTGAATGTTCTTCCCCCATGGTAAATCCCTGTTGTCACTGTATTTGATTCTGGTGCCCTGCATCTTGTATATACATTTTCCTAATTTGGGGAGTGCAAGGGAAATAACAAAATGCTGAAACAAGGATATGACAATGAGACTTACAAGACACTATGTTGAAAATGAACTTTACAACTTGGAGGGGGGAGGGAGGAGTTGGGAAAGTGGGAAGGGAAGGGATAGTAGGGGAAAAACAAAAGAGGGTGTAACAATGCTCAATGGGAAATGTACTCATTACCTTACTCATGTAACTGTAACCCCTCTGTACAGTATCTTTACAATAAAAAAAATAAAAAATGAATTTTAAAGAGTAGCTCATCAACACATGTGCTAAACAACTGAAACAGTGTTAAGATTCTAAAAGAGAAAAAAGGAGAATGAAGAATTTCCTTAGGTCAGGAACTTTCAAGTCTTGCTGATGTACGTAATGCTACTTATAGCCAATGGAAATTTTTTGAAGTTTATCTCTGAATTTGATGGCTCAAAATAACATTTTAAAAAGTCATTTGCCATTCATTAATTGAAATCATTAATGGAGTAGAATCATTAAGGCATCAGTATCTACTGAAGCCAATAACAAATGAAAGATTTAAATACTTGGTAAAAAAAAATGACTAAAATGAGGTGATGTAGACTCAGTGAACTATGTTCACTGCAGAATTATTTACCATACCCAAGACATGGAATTAACCCAGATACCCCTCAGTGGAAGAATGAATCAAGAAAATGTGGCATATATACACAATGGAATTCCATGCTTCCATCAGAAAGAATGACATCTCCCCATTCATAAGGAAATGGAAAGACTTGAGAAAAAAATCATGTTAAGTGAAGCAAGCCAGACCCAAAGAAACACAGGCTGCCTAGTTTCCCTCATTTCTAATAATTAGTATATGTCTAGGATAGTTCTAGCAGAGGATCACAGTAGTTTAATAGCTATGTACATATGACCTGATAAAATGATGCTAATTGAAATGGACTATAAGAAGTTTTGTTCTTAGTATACCATATTCAGTTACTTCTTTTTCCTTTGGTTTACCCTCTGTTGTCACTGTTGTTTATTTCAGTACTCTTTGTAATGTATATAAGTTTATCTGTTTGGGGGATGGGGAGGAGGAACGGGAATCACAGAAATGGTGAGACAAAGGGTAAAGGGTGAACCAATACAATCGTGATACTCACAAGACACTATGTTGGAAATGAACTTTACAACTTTGAGGGGAGGGGAGTCAGGGCAGGAGGATAGCAGAAGAGAATGAAGGAGGGGTTAAAAATGTTCGACAAGAATTATACTCATTTCCTTACTTCTATAGTTATAACCCCTTTGTATATCACCTTCACAGTTAAAACGAAAAGTTTTCAATCATACCACACCTTGACTCACACCTTCAGTCCTAGCCACTTAGGAGGGATCTGAGAATCAAAGGTTTAAGCAAGCTTAGATAGACAAATCTGTAGGTCTCTTATCTCCAATAAACTAACCAAAAAAAAAAAAAAAAACAGAACCAGGTGTGGTTCAACTGATAAAATATTACATGAGTATAAAAAGCCAAGTATGAATGAATATATGGCCCTGAGTTCAAACCTCGTTACTGCCTCCCTCTGAATTTTTTTTGAATATTGGAGTACAGATTTCAAAACTAAAATATTTGAAAATTTAGATTCACTTTGTTAAATTTGTTGTCAAATTGTACTCAATTTGTGTATCTACAATATACAGTTAAATAATCATAGAAAAAGCTTATAAGAAGTTAAAAAAAAACAATTCATGAACAAAAAATACAAATAAAAGAAAATCTAAACATCTAATGCAGCAATCTTACAAGAGATTGAAAGTACATTAAAATAATTCTATGTCAATATATACATGTAAAACTGCAAAAATGAATTAAAGTGATTTTTATTTAATTTTATTTTTTAACATTAAACAAATATTCTGTAGTCAACATAAAAAGGTTTGGGGGAATTTTGTTTTTGTTTGGTTGTTCTATGTTTGGGTTTTTTTTTATGCCAGCACTGGGGACCTTACACTGTCCCATAGCTTTTTCCAACAAGGATGGTGCTCTACCACTTGAGATATAGCTCTGCCTCTGGCTTTTTGTTAGTTAATTGGAGATAGGAATCACTGGTGTTTGTCTGCCTGGGTTGGCTTTGAACCTTAATCCTCAGATCTCAGCCTCCTGAGAAACTAAGATCACAGGTGTGAGTCATCAACGTCTGGATCATAAAAGGTCTCCTTAAGTAATAAAGCATTTAAGAAACAAATGGAGAAGGAATCTTCTTGTAAAGTTGCTGGTGATACTCTAAATGAAATAGTTAATTTTTAAGGAAAGAATAACAAAATCAAATGGTCATAACAAAAGGCATGTATGTATACCATATACACAAATAAACACACAAATATTAGGGGCATAATCTTAAAATAGTAGCAACAGAAAATCATTGATGAGGAGATGGGGAGCATAAGAACTTAATATCAGAATTCAAAACTTTTTAATCCTAACAAACATTACTGTGACCTCCTTCATTTCCAAAAGATTTATTTGCTCTTCTTTTCCCAGAGATGTGCCTGTGCATTGGTGAGTCCAAAGGCCTCCTGACCCTCTGGATGCCAGCACAATCTCTGGCAAGCTCTCAGGGAGAGAATTTTGAGTTGTACTTGTATATCAAAGAAAACCCTCATATGCAATGGTATAAAGTAGCTGCATGGCCTCTGGTTATTGAATATGTTTGTCCTCATGTATTTCAGCAAATGAATTTTTTGTTAAGCGATTAGAAAAAATGATATTTCAAAAAAAGAGTCTAAACTTGTAGTTTTTTTCATAATGATCAATGTCTGGCTTTATTGGTTAAACCTAAAATATATGTTTGATATTAATGTTAGCTGATCTATTTAATTATACACACTTCAAGGTTACATAAATGTAATTTTATAGGAACAAAAAATTATTTGGCTTGAGGTTTTAAGGTTCATCTGAATGAGAAAGGTGTTTCCATCTCATGGTTTTATCAGGTTCTTCAATACTTTCCAGCTCTTGCTCCTTAGAAAGTTCTAAGAATACCTAAGTAGGAGGAAAAGAAGGAGGAAAATAATTATCAGCGCTTTGGATGTCTTCCAAATGAACAAGAGAAAATGCACCAGTTGCCTTCAGGTAAAATTTTCAAGAATGATACAAAGTCAAACAAGCTGACTTACCTTTTCCAGTGTGCACTGAGAGAGGCTATATTCTTCCAGGTTAAAATTTTGTTTCACTGGGAGAAAAAGAGTAGGTGCATATGCTCATGATTCATTACCAAGCATTTTTTCAGTCATATAAACTAAGAACGCAAATCATTAGTATAATATAAACAGAAGTTCAATTTAATAAAAACAAATGCTGGTCAGACAGAAAAATAAAATAGTCATAGAAAATTAACATAAATATATTAAATTCATATTGACATTAGGATTTTCTCACTATATTTTGATAACGTGCTGTGCTATTTGGTGTGTGTCAGGGAGATATATTTCTTCCATAAGGAACTGTACCAACAATTTTAATATTCTTATTTATTTATTTTGGTTGGTCGTGGGGCTTGAAGTCTGGGCTTGGGCGCTGTCCCTGCACTCTTCAGCTCAAGGAGAGCGCTCTACTGCTTGAGCCACATCGCCACTTCTAGTGGTTAATTGGAGATAAGAGTCTCATGGACTTTCCTGCCCCGGCTGGCTTTGAACTCTGATCCTCAGATCTCAGCCTCCTGAGTAGCTAGGATTACAGGTGTGAGCCACCGGCGCCCAGCTTAATTTTAATATTCTTATGCATGAGGAAGATTTCAGTCTCATTTCATGTTCTTTCTTATTACTTTCAGCAGATTCATGGGTGGGTTTTGATAATAGGGCTTGTTTTTAAAGCAGCCAATAGGAAACTGTGGACTACAGAACTTGAAGATGGCAGAATACACTGATTTTAAATCAAAGCCTGCCTGACAACTAAATGGGAGGAAAGGGTTACAAAAGAATGAGAAGATAAGGATGGGACAGAAAATCTTTGGCATCACAAACTTACAGGAATCAGAAAAGAGACCCACCAATCAGAAAGCCATCCAATTCTCACTAACCCAAGGTCAAGTGCTGTAAGGAATGACAGCCAAGAAAGATGAGATGGGCTAAAGTGCTATTTCCTATGGTACATCTGTGCCATGTGCTCTCTTTCTCTGCCATATTTCTCTTCTAACATCTTTATTTATGTTGGTATCTTGCCTGAATTTTTCTCTTGCCAGACACAAGGAACAAGGTTGTTTAGCCACCCTAAATTTTCACGTAAAATATTTGTTATATTGGCTGGGAAGTTGGAGATTATCTCCTGGTATGGACTCATGGAAAGGGTATAGTATCCAGGCTCTGATGGGCATTCCCACAAGGATATTTGCATGACCTTTATAATTAGATTCTCATTTTCCATTTATACACTGAATCTCCTATGTGGAAGGACCTCTTAAATACTAGGGATAGAATATCAGCAAAGGAACTGCCAATAGCTTCAACCTTTGTGTCCACATTACAGAGGAAAAAAATGGGCATCAACTCTGTAATCACTTAAATATATAATAAGGGAAATACCAACAGTGGCTATAGAGAGAAAAATAAAGCATGTAGAAATGAGTTCCTCCCCCCACCTCTATCTAGTCAAGGTAATGGTAATAAGGGGATGTTTGAACAACAACCTAAAATATTGAACAAATAGAACAAGTAGGCTGTCTGTTTTGGAAGATTTTCAGAAATCTTTGCAAGTGCAAAGTCTGAGACAGGGACTTGTGGGTCTTGAGAAATTTGGGGAAAACCAGGAAGTTAACTGGCTAGAGTAGAAGGAGCAAAGCAAAGACTACATACTATTTCAAAACTCCTGGGCAAGGCACTGTTCTGGACACTTGACAATTTTAACCCTTTAATTCTCCTAGTAATTTGACCAAGACGACACTGATACTATCCCTCATTGCAGAAAGGTGGCATCTAGATATTCCGGGATTAGGTAACCAGCTAGTGTGCAGCAACGCTGGAGTAGGAACAAAATAAGATTGGCTCTAAAGCCTGAGCTCTTCACTACCACATGGGGCTGAAAAAATACTCATTGATGGAGGGATGATCCAGATGAAAGCAGAAAGATGCTGACCAAAGAGAGAGTGGACAATTTCAGGTAGCAAGCAGAGTTATGCACAAGCAGAGAATGGCCTTAATTATCACTTAAAATAACAGGAAAGCCAAATACACTGGCACAGATACTAGAAGATTGAAGGATAAGCAGAAGTTATTTCTATTGTTTTTTTATTTTACTAGTAAATATAAAGTGATATCAACTGATGGAGGAAGTGGGAAGGAGGTAGACATGTAAGGGAAGAATAGGAGGAGCAGAGTCATATTTCAAGGTTCACTCGCCTTGAGCTGAAGAGCTGAGGGACAGCGCCAGGCCCAGAGTTCAAGCCCCACGACCAACCAATATATATATGTATATATATATATATATATATTAGGCAGTTATGTCCCATTAAATGATTTATCCAAATACAAACTGACACCTCAAAAGTTTTGTTTAAAATAGTCATCCTTACCTGCTTCTAATTTGTGAAAGGCCTTAGATAAAGGGTAAACATCAGCTACAGGCAGCTTATAGGTCAATAAACAGGGGTACCTAGAAACAGAAGCATGTCATACTCAACTCTGCATTTCCCAGGGTGAAGATGAGCATAAAAATAAATATGACAATATCAATTGCCTTTTTAAAATAAAATTTGATACAAACTAATGTATAGCTTAAATATGAGACCAAATTATCCACTAGTGGAAAACATATTACAAGACTTTTGGTTACTAGTTGTCTCAGACGTTTCTAGCAATGATATAGTGTGAGTACTTTTAAGTTCAGCTTGTGCAAACCATTTACTTATTGTAAACAGACATTGTATACGATTCTCTTTGATTAGCTCAAATTTGATTAGTTCTAATTAGTTCAGAATTGAACTAATCTCAAATAAGAATTCAATCTTGAGAGAAAAAAGCTAATTTGTAAGAGATATGAGGTGAGGGGGATGGGAAAAAACAATAGAGGAAGAACTTGGAAGACTTAAAAAACTTCTCTGGCTCTAAGAGCCAGAAGTATTGATTTATAAATCTCATTTGCCTGTGCTACTTCTGCCTGTACCAATTCATGCTCTATTCTTATATCAATCCAAATAATAGCTCTTCCAGGTGGCCATAAGACTAATCAGAGCTGCAAGACTGGCTTCTCTTCAGAGCAGGATTGTGTTTTGTGTACTGACATATACCATAGATATCTATTAAATTTATATTGTGCTAAAATAGAAATAGTAATCTTTATGCCTCATTTTGCTGATGTACTTATCCTTCTAAGGAATTGTAAAGTCAGTACATGTTTCCATCTTCTTGCTCTCCCTCTGGTAATGCAGACTTATATAAATGAACACATATTGTGTACACACACACACGGACACACACACAAGTCCTTGTTATGCCCCATTTGAAGCAGGTGAATTCCATTAAGTGGAGACCCTTTATCTCAATTGATGTTTGTTTCCTGTATTGGTGGGACAGGGGTGAGATCATAGCTTTTTGGGTAGCTCACAAATTCCTTATAATCTAGAGAAATCAACAACTCACTTTTTGAGGTCGGAAGTATTTTTCACAGAACAAAGGAGAATCCACAATGTGTCAAAGCATCCTTCCCTCTCTGCAGTCAAAAGTTCTTTTTACCTTTCTTGTTTTGCAGCCTGTGGGAAAAGCTTCACAATCTCCATGTGGACTGATGGTACTTGAGTAGCCTCCTTCACTTTTACTTCTAGAATGTACTCCTTGCCAAATTTCCTTTTCAGGTGTGGGATGGTGCCGATGCATCTATGAGCAAGATGAAGAACATGAAAGAAAAAAATACTGTCCTTAATATTTGTTTTGGCAGTACTGAGGTTTTTTTTTATGAACTTAAGACCTCAAACTTGCTAGGCAGGCTCTCTAGCACTTCAGCCACAACCCCAACCCTTTAAGCTCTTCATATTTTTCAAATTGGGTCTCAAGTTTTGTGTAGGTGGCCTGGATTATAACCCTCTTGTTTATATTTCCTGAATAGTTGGGATGGTAGGGACTTGTCACCAAGCCTAGTTTTTAATTGGTAGAAATGAAATCTTGTGAACTCTTTGCCAAGGCTGGCTTTGAACCATCATCCTTCTGATGTCCACCTCCCACATAGCTAAGATTATTGGTGTGAATCACCACTCCTGGCTTCTCCTTACTTTTTTTGGTACTATTCTTTAATTTCCAAGGAGGTAGGAGAGTATCAGTAAAGAAGCCAAAAAAAAAAAAAAAGGTGCTAGATGCTCATAGTGAGTTGCTTTTTCCTCCAGAGTTTCATTTTTGGTGCAACATAAGCATTCTGGAGAGACACCCACCTCAGCTTTCCAGAAACCATGATGGCCACCCGGTCACAGAGAGCCTCAGCCTCAGTCAGGTTGTGGGTAGTCAGGAGAATACATTGTTCTGTGGTTTTAACAGCTGTCCGAATAGTCTGCCTGAAGTGAGTTGAGAAATGAATAGCATGCAAAATAAAAAAGTGCAGAACAACAATAAGAGAGGGGGGTGGGAATTTCATATATAAAATAATTTGTGAGTCATGTACAGACTTTAATTCAAAAATCAAAGACTTTTTGGTAATGTGAAAAAAGGTTCCAGTATTTTTCAGATGAACGAATGGCACTGTATTTGGTTAAGTAGACGCTTTTGGAAATATTCATTGAAATATGTATTTCCTTCAAAACAATTAGAAAACAAGAAAGGAAGTGGATGGAGATATAGATATGGATGGTCTTCTTAGTGATGGCTCTTAGAACTAAGTGATGAGCATAATGAATTAATAAATGATCTTTCTATTTTTACATGAACTTCCACAACAAAGATTCTCTTTAAACTGGAAAAAACACTGAATGGTCACTAATTCACAACTGGATTTAAGATGTTATTAGTCCAAAGAGTAATTCAGACATAAGAATTTGGAATCTGTTGAATTGGGTAAATATTTTTGGCAAATAAAAGGGGGAGAAAGAAATTGGGATGTTACATCAGCAAGTTAACATTCTTTAGGAATACAAGAAGAAAATGAAGAGTTGTAGATATCTCAGTCACAAAAGAAGCAAAGTTAATACCTAAAATACCTAAAAAATTCCTGCAAAATCCTTAAGAGTAGTTTTTAAACCTAAGTACTAGAGGAATGTGATAAGGATTAGATCATTATCTGTTAAATTTTTGTTTAATATTAATTACTTCAACTATAGTCTGGATCTTAATATCTCCTAAAGACCCATGTGTTAAAAGACTTGGTCTCTAGGGTGGTGGTTCTTTTAAGAGGTGGGTCCTAATGGGAGGTCTTTAGGTCACTTTGGGGCAGATGCTACAAGACTGTGGGACCACGAGTCCTCACTAGTTTGATCTCTGGCTTATGAAGGGACCTGTTTTGCTCTGCTGTGTGCTGCTGCCATGATGTGCTTGCCTTGCCACAGGCTCAAAACAACAGCACCATTGAACATGAACTAAATGAACCTTTCCTCTTTGTAAGTTGATGGTCTCAGTGATTTGTTATACCAGTAGCTGATGGAATGACTGTCACAGTGACAAGATATCCGTAAGAATCAACCTAAAAGAAGGAATACTTTATTTTGGCCCATAATTCTAGAGGCTAAAGGACATGGTTAGTTGATTACATCACATGGGCTGTGTTAAAGCAGAACTCCATGTTGGCGAGCATGTGGGTGATAGCCAAGAAACAAGAAGAAAGAGAAGAGGACCCAGAATCCCAATATCCTTCAAGGGTTATCTCTCCATCTGACCTCACTTCCCCACACTAGGCCCCAAACTTTCTACCATCACTCAAAAGCACCACATTCTAGGGATAGTCAAAAACCAACTAGAGCAGCTGATTAACACAATCTGTACTGAATCAAGAACCAATGGGTTTGATGACTGGTATTCCAAAATCAGTTTATGGATGTAACTTCCCATAATGTTGATACTCAAGGGTCTGAGGATTCCTACAATACTCACCACATTTGTTGCTGCTCTGTTAGATCTATGCCAATTGAAGGTTCATCCAGAAGCAGGATAGGTGAATCTCCCAAGATACTCAGCACAAAACACAGCTGTAATGAACAGAAATGCCCCTGTTTGCTTCAGGGGCATTTCTGAGGCCAGCCTTCAGACAAGTATCAAGTAGAACACATACCTTTCTTGCGGCCCCAGTAGCCAATTTCTGCACTGGAACATTCAGCTGATCATGTAGCCTGAAATCATTCACTAATCTGATTTTTTTAAAAAAATAACAGGATGAGAATACCAGGTTAATAGAGGATTTTTTGTAAATGCAAGCATATATAACTATAACAGCACCGAAAGGAAGCTTGGAAGTATTTTCCCAAATTCTATGTCATGACGAAAGAAAAATAACTATTTTGTAACACGACATATTTTTCATCTAATAGAAAGGTTTTAAAGAAGCTAGGCACTGGTGGCTCATGCCTTTATTCCTAGCTACTCCGGAGGCCAAGATATGAGGGGATCACTGTACAAAGCCAATCAGGGCAAGAAAGTTCATGAGACTCTTCACTCAAACTAACTACCAGAAAACTGGAAGTGTAGCTGTGGGTCAGTGGTTTTGTGTATCCAGCCAGACTCTCAGTTCAAGTCTCATGACCAACAACAACAAAAAAGCTTCCAAGAAAAGTCTGAATTCTGAATTAGAAAGTGAAAATGGTGATTCCATTTCCAGATAATCTTTCACTAGAAAAAATAAATGATTATTCATTCATAATTATATTCTCTTATTCCTTGTCAGCTATTTTAAACATTAACTCTGTAAGCCTCCTCATCCAGGATGCTGTTCTACCATCCATGTTCTACCACTAATGTTCCCTTCTCAGCCTCCCATTCACAGAGATTCATCATCAATCGAACAAGGCACCCTGCTTCTGCACACAAAGGGACTACAGGACCTCCCTGCCATACCGTGAAATGGCAATGGCAGCCTCCCCTTTCTGCAGTCCTTTTACAGCGGCATACACCTCCAGGTGATCTTTCGTCGTCAGGAGTGGCCACAGCACGTTCTCCTGAGGACAGTAGCCCAGGAAGCTGACTGTGTTATTTCCCTGGTCACCTGCGACGGACCTGAATCCTTTCAGTTCCACCTACAAAATGAAAAGGCTTTAGAAAGATGTTTGACCTTTTCTCCAGATGCACAATTTATCATGAAACTGACCTGCAGCTGGTAAGTACCTCAATGTTACATCAAAAGCACAGGCTGGAAATTGCTGTATATTTATTACAGAAGACAATGTAATCTACTGATATAGGGTTTCTCCCTTCAAGTAGTTCCTGAAAAGATCTGATGAACAAAAGGTACTTGGCATCTGATGACATTTCAACTCCTTTTATCAACGATTACATGCCCAGCAAAATCAATAAAAGAGGAAAAACATTTGTATAAAGACCAAAGGAAGTACAACCTTATACAGATGGATAGTCTTTGTATTTATCATGAATTTCTACTTGAGAAATGGAAGCCCTTTGTTTTCTTTTTATTACCTCTCCAGCTGTTGGCTTTGTGATCCCAGCAATCATCCTAATGGAGGAAGATTTACCAGCCCCATTGGGTCCTAGCAATCCCAAAATTTCACCTGAAAGGAAAAAAATCAGAATCTCAGTATTACAAGTAAAAATACTGATTTACATAAATTTACTTCTTGCATGGAATCTGAAGATTTCTTCTCTGTGCCCATGTCTGAGAATGTCATTTTCAAATTCATAATGTGTAATGGACTTCATGTCATGGAAATATATTCTTAAGTCTTTATAACTTAATAAAATACTGGCAAAAGACATACAAATTTGATGCCAAGAGATCATGAGATTTCTTGCTTCATCTAGAAATGTACCCATGTTTTCTCTAGTAGGCGACTCCTGCACTGAATATATAAGTAAGTGATCCTGAACTTCAGAAATCAGAAACATTCACCCCCAGATTCAACCACCTGTGCTAAAACTACTATGACTTTTCACCTAACTGATATAACCGACCCCCTTTCCAAATTCATGAGTAGCCAATGTGTGATCTTTTCAAAATCTTAGCTAAAAGATGTCACAAGTCCTCTACTCCCAATGGCATTCCACCACCTTGGTATATAAACTATGTATTTTTTATTGTTTAAAATTGTTTAAATCTGTATATAATCTAGCCTGCCTTCCTCTTTGGTTTTATCCATTCCATTCAAAGGCACATCCATTAGACTCTTTTTTTTTTTGAGATCCAAATACTCCAGAAGTGTTGCTATGCTCACTGAGATTCCTCCTTGAGTGCCCTTGATTCTTAGGGTGCTCATGTAGCTAGCACTTTATTTTCACCCACATCTAGACTTCTATGGCACTGTTCAAAAACACCCTGTCTAGACTCTGACCAAACAGCTGCAAGTCATTTATGTCACTTCTTATATTTCAATGCTTAATGACTTATATAATACTTGATACATTTTTATAATTTATCATATTCACAGGACCCCTCCTGGAATGTAAAATACAAAAATAAAACTAGGAAATTGTCCAAATTCCTTCATTATTAGAGTCTCAGAGTCCAAACCAGTTCCTAACACACTCAAAAAAACATATGCTGGGTGAAGAAATGAATGAAGGCTTCAACAAGCAAAATGATGCCTAAGGCATAAATATTCCATGAGTACTTCTGAAAATGAAAGTTTATTTTTTAAAAAAGATTATTTTATAAACAATCACTCCAAACCTTTGTTAACACAGAAAGAGATATTTCTGGTTGCTATTTTCTTCTTTGACTTTGTAAAGCATCTTTTCTTCTGAACTGCATACGCTTTATGTAGACTGCTGGCAATTATGATTGGCTTCTAGAAAAGATGACAGCATGGTTTTCCTCTAAAGTTTTGAACACAGAGGTGGCATTGATATCAACAGGAGAAAGCAGCCTGGTTTCATGGAAGGCAGATCCCTGCCAGAATAGCAGTGTCTAACCTCAACATTAATCACAGCATTAGTGTTAAATAAAATAAGAACTCTTAAAATCTTAATCTCTGCTCAACACTGTATATCAAATCTCATTCAAATTCTTCAGCTCATGAGGTCTTGTTTAGACTGAAAATTGTAGCACTCATTATAAAACCTCAAAAAAAAAAAAAGAAGATAACCATTATGTCTTGTGTCCTTTTAGTTTCTAGGACACTCCCAAAGAAGTGTATGTGTATTTAAAGAATAAAAACATACCAAACTGCCAGGCTTGAGTCTGTAATCCCAACTACTAAGAAGGCTGAGATCTAATGATTGTGTTTCAAACCCAGCTGGCTGAGGAAAGTCCCTATGAGTCATCTCCACCACAAAGGCAGAAGCAGCCAGGTGCTGGTGGCTCACTCCTGTAATCCTAGCTACTTAGGAGGCCGAGATCTGAAGATCACAGTTCAAAGCCAGCCTGGGCAGGAAAGGCCGTGAAAATCTTATCTCCAATAAACCACAAGAAAATCAGAAATGGCGCTGTGGCTCAAGTGGTAGAGGGCTAGCCTTGAGCTGAAGAGCTGAGGGACAGCGCTCAGGCCCAGAGTTCAAACCCCATAACTGACAAAAAAAAAAAAGGCAGAAGCAGAGCTGAAGTTCAAGTGGTTGTGCAGTAGCCTTGAGGGCAAAAGCTTAGGGACAGCACCCAGTCTGAGTTCATATCCCAAGATCATCTCTCTTACACACACAGACACAAACACACAGACACACGCACACAGACACACACACACACACACACACACACACACACACACACACACACACACACACGAAGCAAACTTAAAACAATCTATCAAGGGCTGGGAAGGTGGCTCAGTGGTAGAGAGTTTGCCTTACATGCATGAGGGCCTGGGTTCGATTCCTTAGCACCACATAAGCAGAAAAAGCTGGAAGTGGCGCTGTGGCTCAAATGGGAGAGCACTAGCCTTGAGCTGAAGAGCTGAGGGACAGTGCCCAGACCCAGAGTTCAGGCCCCATGACCAACAAAAGAAAAAAAAAAAACCACCAATCTATCAAACTCTATTTTGGGAAATTCTTGGATATTTCTAGTAGCACCTATTTTACATTTGCTTTTCTACCTCATTTAAGTTTGAAACTGTCAGGGCAGTTGATGTCCTTGTTCTTTCTGCTTGAACATCTTCATCTTCATCCACAATTTCTTCTGGATTTGGGTGAACATCTCGACTTTGGGGAGCAATTCTGTGGAAAAAATGGAATATGCTGCATGTCAATTTTTAGTTGTCAAGTAAACTTGTTCAACCACTTTGGAAAGGAGTATGGAGGTTCCTCAAAAGATTCCACATAGAGCTCCCCTACGACCCAGCAATCCCACTTTTGGGCATTTACCCAAATGTTTACAAACAAGACCACACTAAAGCTACCAGCACGACTATGTTGATTGCAGCATTATTTACTATAGCTAAGATATGGAACCAACCTAGATGCCCCTCAGTACATGAATGGATCAAGAAAATGTGGCAAATGGAATTCTATGCCTCCATCAGAAAGAATGACATTACCCTATTTGTTAGGAAATTGAAAGACTTGGAAAAAATTATATTAAGTGAAGTAAGCCAGGCCCAAAGAAACATAGGTCCCCTGGTTTCCCTTATTTACAATATCTAGTATATGTATGAGTCAAGCGGAAAAGGTCAGATAAGATGATGTTAGGAAAATGAACCCTAAGATATGTATTCAAATTTTTTTTTTCTTTCATGTGATTGTTTCTAACGCATTTATAAGATTATTTCTTTGTTGCTTTGTATGTCCCTCCCCCACAGTATAACCCTTGCTTTCACTGTATTTGATGTTGGTATAATTTGTGGAGGGGAAGGGGAAAAACAAATCGTTTAAATAGGGATACAGGTGGACCCATTGCAACAATGAGATATACAAGTCGTTATGTTGAAAACAAACTTTACAACTTTGTTGCGGGGGTGGGGGGGAAGGGGGGGAATGGAGAGGATTGGGTGGGGGGGCAGGAGGAGGATGGGAAGGGATGGGAAGGGGAAACAAAGGAGTAGGCTACAATGCTTGATAAGAAATGTACTCATTATCTTGCCCATGTAATTGTAACCACTCTGTATAGTATTTTCATAATAAAAAAAATAAAAAAAAAATTTAGTTGTCAAAAGTATATCAAAAGTCAGTGTCCATGTGATTTTACCATGTCCTCTCCCTCAATAAATAACTCCTGATTATGGCTATATCAATGTTGCTTAGGCTTTTGAGAATAACTTCCATCCTGCTAGCTAGAAATCCCTTCTTGGTGTTTCTGTCATTCTTCTTGTAAGCATCTCAAACTCTTTTGAGCTTATTACAAGTACTGCTACTTCCTATTGAAAATTCAACTCATTTTCATTTCCTTTGCCTATCTTAAGTCAAACTTAATCACATCAGAAATTTGTTTTGTTGTGCACTCTTTCCAGAATCCCTCTCTGTGAAATACTCTGAACTCTGTAGCTAAGCCAAATCTCTTCTGTTTAAGGGCATATACTACCTTGGATGGGAGAATAGCACATTCAGTTAGATACCATTTTTGAGAAACTAAAACTTTCCCTCAGCAGCTTAGTGACACTAATATTTTTGAGAGTTCTATTTCTTGGCTGTAAGAAAAAAACCCACTGATACCCATAATACCTAGTATCACACAATCTACATTGTAAATATCAATCCATATTGATAAGTCAATCATACACTATCTAGGAATATTCAACTATGACATTAAATATGGAATTAAGTATTATTGCTACCTGAAAATAGGATCCTTTCGTATTACTTTCTTTCCATATTTTAGTTCCATCCATCTTAGTACAAAAATAAATACCAAAGTCTGGAAGAAAGGCTAGGAGAAAAGAGAAACAGCTTTAAGTGTAAATTTACAAATATAATTTAAACACTTGAGGGAAAACTGGTGATGTTTTGATTGTCCTCAGATAAAATAGCAGTCATGAATTGGTATAAACTGAATAAGAAAACTAGCTATCCAATCACAATCGAACTTAGTTGAACTTGTTTCTTTACTTTCGGCTCAAAACCCACATACAGTCTTGCTAGTAAATTCTATATACTCCATCTTCAAAATTACCCATAACTTAAGTATTTCCAACCTTTACCCAAGTTCTGGATATTATATCACATCTAGATTATGGCAACACATTCCTACCTGGTTATGATATTTATGTCCTATACATCTACTTTCATTGCAGTAACCACAACTAATCTTCCCATATATAGGTCTGATCATGTCACTTTGTTTAGCATTGCAATGCATCCTTCATCCCTCAAAGTTGTATAAGGTGACCCAGACTTTATTACTCTTAACTATCTTTCCTATTACCTTCCTCTTGCTCACTGCTAAATCATACCGGGATGACCTTGAACAAGCCAAGCTCACTCTTGCTGCTTCCTAACAGAATGTTCTTCTCCAAGCGCTTCTTAACAATCCATTTAACACAATGTATTTACATTGTATTTACTTAATTTAATATCTATGTTCATCAGAACATAAAGTCTCCAAGGGTAAGGATTTCAGTCTATGCTAGTTATTATGACTAGCACAATATTTACACAACTTAAAGGTAGTTGCTTTCTTTGGCCTAAATACGTCATTGTTAGAAGTCACCTTTTGCCTTTTCATCTACAAGGTAAAATTTTAATATCTATTGCAGTTGCACTTTCTATAAGCTCTCTCAAATTTAGGAGTAAGCAGTAAACAAGATAAGTAAACAAAAAATTCGGTATCAAATTCTGGATGTGTATATGTGTGTGTGTGAGAGAGAGACTTTGACATTTAAAATTATGTCTGATAGTCATCATTTTATCTGATACCATATTTACATTTGACCTTATTAGATTTTAATTATAATTATTACTCCTTATTGTTAAGTAATTGTACAAAGGAGTTTCAACTCAACAAAGCAACTTATGAGTAAAGTGCATTCTGATTAATGTTATTCCTAAGACTAATATTTAAAATACTTTGAGAGTGGGCTTACTTCAGACAAGATCAAAAAGTTGTAATAAATTATATCTACCCCAAAAGATAATAGATAATAATATAATATATAGATAGATATTATATAACAACATATTATATTATTGCAATATAATTACAATTCTATAACATAGAATAATTATTATATAATAATATAATAGAGATATAGAAAAAATTTCTTACTATTAGGCAGATTAGCAAATCAGTTCCTCTAACGTCAGATACTACTTCAGAAAGTTCTCTGGAGTAATAGTAGGATCTCTGAAAACACCGAAAAGATGGCTACGTGAAAATTGTATCAGCTTTATGATGAACATTTAAGTAATATGATATTTAACATTTTTCTTCATTAAGTTTAATTTTGCTGGGTGTATGGAGGCAATTTTCCTTCAAGAAAGAAATCCTCCTGTTCAGTTCTGTTTCTTGATGAGCAAGTAACACATGTCTGTCTGTTCTATTCCAATTTTCAAAAAGTCCTTGGGTTTAAAACCAAAACATTTGCTGAAAATCAATTGAAATATTTAAATGTTTAAAATATTTGTCCCAAATATCCATACAAGATAATTTGTAAAGACTAGTCTTTCCCCAATGCTAAGCACTCATAAGTAATTTCTTATGTTATTCCTTTTTCATCAGTCAACTCAATTTTTTAAAAAACCCACCTCATTCCTTCGATATTAGATGTGGAAGTTCTACCTAAATTTATTTCAACTTGCATGTACACTTAGGTCTTAAAAAGCAAACACTTTTACCATGGGGATAAGTTTATAATCAATAATTCCTGTTATTGCTAAACTCAGAGGAACGTATTTTGACAGATGGAAGGCCTTCCCAGTTCCTCTACAACACAAATAATGTTACCTCATACATTCTTTAGAACTATTTCGTGTAGGCTAGTGCAGGGTCCCCAAAAGTGTGTTCTTGATTTCAGCTATCCTGCCCTGGCTTCTTGTATACTTCTCTCCACTTTGACCACATTCAGTCTCCCTAACAATTTTTGATTTGTTTTCAAATCTAATGCTTTTGTTTACTTCTGTAGAATGCATTTACCGCCTGTTTCACTCTCCCACTACTTATTTGTTACCCATCCTTTAGGAATGTATTTAAACGTCACTTTCCATAATTGACTTCAAAATGCATCTGCAACACTTTGCATGTTCTCCCTTGGTACTTTGCCTTTCCCCTTTGTTAGTGTTGTGTTCAATTAGAAGCTATATTCATTTGAATGAATAGTATTTAACAGTGTCTGTATTTTACATAAACAGGACAAAGCTTTTAAAAAAAAACTGTAGGAGGGCTGGGAATGTGGCTCAGTGGTAGAGTGCTTGCCTAGCATGCACAAAGCCCCAGTTTGATTCCTCAGTACCACATAAACAGAAAAAAAAAAAAAAAAAAAACACCTGAAGTTGTGCTGTAGCTCAAGTGGTAGGGCACTAGCCTTGAGCCAAAGAAAGTCAGAGACAGTGGCCAGGCCTTGAGTTCAAGCCTCATGACAGGCAAAAAATAAACAATAACAACAACAAAACAAAAAACAAAAAACAAAAACACCACCACCAAAAAATTGTACTAAAACTCAATTTCATGGCACAAAATTTATTCATTTTAAGTCTACAACATCAGGACGTTTTATAATTTGCTATGTAATCATTACTACAGTTCAACTTCAAAATATTTTAGTCATCCCAAAGAAATCCCACATGCCCTTTTATAGGTATTCCCTATTCCCACAGATGATAGCATCCCTTACCTCTGCCACAAAGAACAGATATCCACACAAGGAAGCGGTAGGAACCAATATCATGCTGGGAATGAGTATACTTAGGTCCAAGTAAAAGACTGTCCAGAAGTAGACGGTGATTATAAAGAACTACAAAGAAAGTCCACACATATTACTTCAGACATAGTGAAGTTCAGGTTTGAGTTTCTTCTATTTGGAATACTTGACCCAGAAATGTTTTAGATTTTAGACTTTTTTTGAGATTTTGGAATATTTCATGTGATGCATTGGAATGGAACCAAAGTCAACACAAAACTGATTTGTTTCATATATACTATATATGTGTGGGTATATACATATATATTACATAATATGATTTTTATATAGTGCTACCTGTGTGTGAATATGTATAGCATTCCACGGTCTACTGGGAACACTGAATAAATTGTAGTATATATCTTCATTTGAATACAACCCATTACAAGTCAGGTGTGACATTTTTCATTTGTGGTACCATGTCAGCTCTCAAAAATTTCTGGATTTTACATTTGAGATATTGGAGTTCAAAGTATATCAAATTTTCCCACATCTCAAAGCAAACGTGTATATATTCCACTGAAAGTTTAAAATCACCATCTTCTACACATATGTGTGGACTTACAATACAAAAGCAAAGTGACCAGAGGCTGCTGTTTTTCTTCCTCTTGCAAAATGTAAATGATATCACATATGTCAAGGAGATCAGAGAAGCTGAATAACCAAAAGAATAAGCAACCTAAAGATAATTCAAATAGTATCTCAGTCAAAAAATGAAATATTGTTTGAGGGATAACTTAAAATTACAAACATTCAAAGATAGTTTATTGTACATGTATTTTGCATTTTTGTGTATGAAGACATCAGCTCAATTATACAAACTAGCAATATTAACATTTATTTTCAGTTAGTTTATATAATATGCCTTACCGTAGCAAATACAACTCGACTTGTAATGGAAGAACCCTTCATTTTTGTTACGTAGAAGATTACATATGTTAACATGATAATGAAATTGAACAGGGTAACATCTATCACTGCCTGCCCAAACCAATAAGCAGAATGGTAAAGGCCTGAAATCCATAGCTGAGCATCAGCTTTTTTCTGGTGAGGAAACACAGATGTACATAGGTTCAGTGAAAATGGAAATGTCTTTAAAAGCACATTAAAATAATTTTTAGAATAAATATAATCTCTTAATGGTATTAAAAATTATACTCTCTAGAAACCTACTATCTCTAGATCCAGTTCTAAAATAGTTGTCCATTGTGTTTAAAATACATTTTTATTTGGTAGATTTGATTCACAATACCTCTTTAACATGTGACTAATAAATAGAAAAGAAGACCTCATAATGATCATTGAAGCACTTTCAAAAAGAAATACTATTGTAGTACCTACAGGACAATGTTGTGACCTAAAAATACAGAATACCTTTTCTTTGTCTGAACATTTTCTCAAGGAGTTACTGTCTCTGTATGTTTAAAGCACACATCTAAATCTGCTGTTAATGTTTCTGTGGATAATATGCATAAACACAATGTAATACAAAATTAAATTTCCAGTGTGAAAATGAAATCCAAGTCTTCAATTTCAACACTAATATTTTCTCCTTGGAGTTAGGAAATAATTCAATCTATCTATCTATCTATCTATCTATCTATCTATCTATCTATCTATCTATCTATCTATCTATCTATCTATCTTATTCCCCTTTGAAGACTTAGATTAAGTCTGAAAAAAATATTTGTGGGGCTGGGAAGGTGGCTCAGTGGTAGAGCGCTTGCCTTGCATGCATGAGGCCCTGGGTTTGATTCCTCAGCACCACATAAGCAGCAGGAAGTGAGGCTGAGGCTCAAGTGGTAGAGCACGAGATTTCAGCTGAAGAGCTGAGGGACAGCGCCTAGGCCTAGAGTTCAGGCCCCACGACCAACCAAAACAAAAAAAAAAAGTGCTTTCTTGTAGCATTAAATCAAAAATCCTTTTGTATTTTAAGGGTGATGGGGGTAGGAGCTCTTTCTACATCACACATAATGGCCTTGATCTGTCTATGCAGTCCAAGTTGGTGTCGAACTTTCAGTCTTCCTGCCTCTGCCCCCCACACCCAAGTGGGATTTCACATTTGACTGACCTACTTTGCATTTTGAAAAGTAAGTTTTCTGGTTTCCTAGAAGCAATGTTTAACTACAGTACCTAAATTACAAATTTATTTCAGTGTCCCCACCAGAGGAAAACATTTTGGACACATACACATTAAAATTACTGAAATTCCTTACTCCCATTCCCCCCACCATCCTTCTTACTTTGTAATCAGTAGCACTGCTCATGGCAATGTAAGGAGAAATACAGGAAACTATTGAAAACAACAACAAGAAGTCTTCGAACCCAAACCAGATGATGATATCGGCCTGCAATATAAAAGGGACTTTAAACTACAGAATATTTTTAATGAAATGTATATTAATAATTACAAAGAACAAACTTTTGGAAATACTGAAAAATTAAAGTATACATGTAGTTCACTGCTACAAAGGAGAGGGAAATGATTTCTTTAATATGAGCTTCAACTCAAAGAACAAAGAGAAGTCAAAAGCTGCTTTTGAGTTTATATCTCAAAGAACTAACAGCAGGATTTTATGCTCATTTAGGTGTTCATAGTACCATTATTCACAAACATTAGAAACAACCTACTAGTAGATGTAAACAAAACATGTTATTTATACCTGCCATAAAATAGTATTCTGCTTTAAAAAGGAAGAAACTCCTGTCACTTGCTTTAACTTGCATAGTATAATACTAAGTGAAATAAAGCAGTCATGAAGTGCTAGCTGAACACCAGCAACTTCCTGCCTATCGTGCTAAGTATATGAGATTGATATTGGGAGGATCATGGATCCAAGCCATCCTAGGAAGAAAAATCTGAACAACGACATCTCAACAGAAAGGAGCTGGATCTGATGGCATGTGCAAAAGGCCTTGTCCCAGTGTCATCTCACACACACACACACACACACACACACACACACACACACACACACACACACAATTTTTTAAAACAAAAGAGTTGAAGTAGTTACCAGAAAAAAAAGACTGGATAAAGAGTCATTTAATGTGTACAGAGTTTGAGATCCACAAAATGAAAACATTCTGGGGACTTAATTCACAACTATGTGAATATACATAACACTAATGAATCTGACACTTAAAATGGTCAATTTCATGTTTTGATCACAATAAAATAACTAGTAATCAGGAACTGTGACCCTTAGTTAAGTGATAATTCAGGCCTATAAAACATATCTTGCTCCAGAAACCAGAGGCTGAGGATGTAGAGTTGAGTAGGTGAGGAATTTATCAACTGGGTAGGTGTGTTGTGTATCACAGGATTAAAAAAGGAAACATGTCACTACCAAACTCATCTCCAAGAAATTTAAATCTTGACTCCAAAATCAGTTTTTCTATAAGGCAGGTCTAATCCCCAAGCCAACTGTAAAACTATCTCATAGGTAAAACAATAAGAAAACAAAAGTTTATCTTGGAATAATTCTGTACTTCTTGGACTTTATTTATAACCTCCAGTTTTTCTCCAAGTGGGAAAATGCAATCCTGTCATCACAGGAGTGATGGGGTTTCACTGAAGGTGGGCTGTGACAAAGAGACTAATCAAAACCTCATGAAACTAAAACTGTCCAATCTACAGCATTAAGTGGTAGCACATATTAGGTGGTCAATAAACAGTAAGTTAAAAAACAAATGTCAGGACTGGTAAGGTGGCTCAGTGGTAGAGTGCTTGCCTTGCAAGCATGAGGCCCTGGGTTTGATTCCTCAGTACCACATAAACTGAAAAAGCTGGAAATGGCACTGTGGTTTAAGTGGTAGAGTGCTGGCTTTGAGCTAAAGAACTGAGGGACAGCACCCAGACCAGAGTTCAAACCTTATGATTGACAAAAAAATAAGTCAAGGATTTGCCTAGTGCATCTAACACATATCTTCTCTATATGGGAGATTGTTCGGAACATTGTTTCCATGATACTATAGTTTTCTCTCATATGCACTGTGCTGCTAACATGTATTATTCATACCTTCTAAAATCAGAACAAAAGTACTTAGAGTTAGCATCATATAAGATCATAATCCTGCCCCAGGTAACAAATCCCCCAATAAATGACCTTTTGGAGAATATATCTACACACCACACACACACACACACACACACACACACACACACACACATTTAACCTAAATGAATAGTCCCCAGATGTATAATAAATATACATTCTATATAATGCATACTCATTTATGATAAATGTCATAACCAAATAAAATTGTTTTCTTATTCTTCTTAATGACCCTGGACTCTCTCATGTGTAACCTACATTTAACTGGTAACATTCTAGGCTACTCATACTAACTGCAATAGGCGGAAGAGCTTGAACTTCAATAAAATGTGCATTAAGTGACTTAGCTAATTTAACTTCATTAATCTTCGCCCCAATAGAACCATCTAAAGCCTTCCGAGCAGCCTATGCTTCATCTACAACACAGACATGCCCCTGTAGGAAGTCAGCACCCACATCATGAGAAAGCCCTCACTACCAAATCATCAAAGAGGGGTAAAGGACAGCATAATTCCCAGGAACAGGCGCTGACTGCATTTACAACTCACTCCACTTCATCATCTGAATCAAAAGTAAGATGAATTTTGAAAAATAAATGTCTCCTCTGATTTTGAAAAATAAATGTCTCCTCTGATCTTTTTATGGAGGGAGGAAAAAAAGTTACTGATCAAACATATATTGTATTTGTAAAATGCTTTTTATTACATGGCGACCCTTTTGTGCAACTACTTAATAATAATTCTTAAAAATAAGTTTTAGAGGAAGTGGCACTGTGGCTCAAGTGGTAGAGTACTTGCCTTGAGCTGAAGAGCTCAAGGACAGCACCTAGGCCCAGAGTTCAACCCTCATGACTACAAAAAAAAAAAATAGAAAAAATTCATTGTTTGAATGGTAACTTATGAAACATTTATGACAAACTAAAGACTTCTTGACTAAAATAAATTTAATTCATTTGTTTCTAATAGGATTAGTAAAAAAAAAAAAAGTGGTAATAGCAATTGATGTTCAGAATTTTACTCCATTGGACTGAATTTTTAAGCTCTTTATGTTATCAACAAAATTTCAATATTTAGTCAAATGTTGTTACACCTGAGATTTTTTTATTTACTCATCTTGGTGCAAATTCAGACTGTGCCCTTACCTATGTTAAGCTGTCTGCCACTAACCTATATCCCTAGTTAAGAAATGCAATATTATGTAATATTATGTAATGTTTATAAATCCTGATCTTTGAGCAACTAAAAAATGAAGCTAAATGATAAAGTAACATGATCTGAAAAAAAAAAGACTTGGTCCATTTTGATCTGGAGTAAACAGGCAACGAAATAAAGAAATGAAAAATCCCAGAGGGGGTATCACACCCAGAGCCGTGCACGTGCTACATACAAAGTGCTCTGCTTCTGAGCTATATCCTCAGCCTATGGTTCCATTTTCTGAAGAGTTGCCTTCAGACAAGATGGTCTTAAACCATCCTGTTCTGTCTCTGATCACATGATTAGTGAAACCTTTGTCAAAAGTTGGACTTCCCTTCTGTCCAGTCCATTGGTAATCCTTACTGTTTTAATAACCTTCTGAAATACTTGGAAGTTCTTTTGTGTGTCAACTACAACCACCTTAAATACTTAAAACATAAATCAATCATGAAAGGTTGCGTGGATGGTCATCCTCTAATAAAGATGATGAGATGGGAAGCCAGTGTCACTCTCTGGCTGAAGACACAAAGAAAAGACATAATGTGACTGGAACCCCTGTGGCAAATCTCTCTGCTGTACGTAACTTCTTCCTCTTGTCTAAATTGTCTACAGCCAGAATCATGAACATGTAGTCTATGTGCATCAGATACCCTTGTTATACAGAGTAGGTAAAGGAATGAATCAGATAGCACCCAACTCAACGACCGCTAAATTCTCCTCTGTATTTGTCCATTTCACCAATGGAAATTCTATTAACAAATTATAGGATGTTTATAAGAGTCTAAAGCAGGATCACAATGCTCCTCATTTCTAATTCAGTGCTTTCTGTCCTTCTCTAATATCCATAATTAAGTATACATATGTATCTTTTCATAATGTCCCCTTATGGGGCCTTGGAAAGTATTTACCCATGAGATTTCTCTACTACCCTAGCAAGAAAAAGAAAGTCCTATTTTATTTGATACAACTTGTTTAAAATATTACTACAAAATAATCATCTTTGGGATCAACGCTAAATTATCAAACATTTAAAAGCTAATGAGTTTGATAACGTTTTTTAATATTTTTATTGTAAGGATACTGTACAGAGGGGTTACGGTTACATGGGTAGGGTAATGAGTACATTTCCTATCAAGCATTGTTACCTCCTCCTTTGTTTTTCTCCTCCTATCCCTTCCCAACTCCCCAACTCCTCCCTCCCCCCTCAATTTTTTTTTTTTGTAGTTCTGAGGTTTTTGTGAATTTAGGGCCTGGTAATTGTTAGACAAGAACTCTACCATTTGAACCATACTTCTTTTTGCTTTAGTTACAATTTTTTAGTAAGTTTTTGTCTGGGATCAGCCTCAGACCACCAATCCTCTACCCATGCCTTTCACATAGCTGGGATCCCAGGCATATACCACCATGGTCTGGTTCATATTTTAAGGTGGGGTCTTGTTAACTGTTGCCTGGGCTTGCCTTGAACTTCAGTCTTTCTATTCTGCACCTCCAAAGTATCGGATACTATAGGTATGAGTCACCACTTCTGGTTTAGTTTTTTCCCTGCATTTTTGTTTATATCATACATTAGTTTCAGAAAGGGGTTGCATTTTGATGTGTTCATATTTGCATACAACATACCTTGATCAGACTCACACTGTCACTTTCTCATCCCCTTCCACATACCAATCCAATCTACACATTTTCATATGTGTACATAGAACATTTCGACCGTATTCACTATTCTTCACCCTCTCTGCTCCCCCTTTCTTCTAATTATTCTCATACCCAGACAGGATCTGTCATTCACTTGTTAGAAGTATCTGTTCAGTATAATTCACACATGCAAACGAACAGTAAATAGAATACTTACAAAAGTAAATAAATTTCTTTTGATTTGAATATGCTGTGTATGGTTGAACATATGAAGTAGTCCATTGCTGATGATATTCATAAGGACAGGAAAACAGTGCAGCCTCTTGGTGTTGCACACAACTGAAAATCTATAATCCTTAATACAAACCAAGACAAATATAGTAAGTAAGAGTCTAAATCTTTGAAGAACAAAGAAAAGGTGCTTTTATAAAGAGCCCAACAGTACCCCTTTTCTGGTGGGTGTCAGGTGACTTTCCTGAGTGTTGGCTTCCTCCTTTCCATGGGCTCTATGGTTTAAATGGCATCACAGCCAGTGGGGAGTACAGAGTCAATATCTACTAAGTACAATTTTTATAAGTATTCCTCATTGCATATTATTTTGTCCCCATTTTGCTTGTGAGGAAACTTCAATGAAAACTGCTTAAAAGTAGCCCAGACAAAAGTTTACCATGAGCAAACAAAATGCCAATCTTCTAGACAGGAGATAAATATGGAATAGATAAGACATCATGGTACCATTGCCACTGAGCCATTTTCTCACTTCCTAAGACATTGTTTATATTCCACATTTATAAAAACACTCATGTATTCAATCATTGTTACTTACATACTATCAGAAGTGCTGTGAAATAAATAACGAGATAAACGAAGTAGTTGTCAAACAAAAGAGTTTCTTAAAGTTAGCACTATGTGACTGAATGTTCACCATTTATTATTTTGGCTTTTATTTCTATTACCCTCCTTTTTGTTTTCTTCCCTTCTTAGTAAGAAAGAAAAGGGTGGTTTCATTTAACTGAACTACTCAATTTCACTGGAATGCAAAGACTCAAGAGTTTCATTCAGGACTGAGATGTGATTTTTGGGGTGTGTGTGTGTGTGTGTGTGTGAAAATACTGTACAGAGGGGTTACAATTACATGGGCAAGATAATGAGTACATTTCTTATCAAGCATTGTAGCCTCCTCCTTTGTTTCCCCTTTCCATCCCTTCCCATCCTCTCCTTGCCCCCACCCAATCCTCCTTCCCCACCCCTTTACAACCAAAGTTGTAAAGTTCGTTTTCGACATAACGACTTGTACATCACATTGTTGCAATGGGTCCACCTGTATCCCTGTTTAAACAATTTGTTTTTTCCCTTCCCCTCCACAAATTATACCGACATCAAATACAGTGAAAGCAGGGCTTATACCGTGGGGTAGGGACATACAAAGCAACAAAGAAATAATCTTATAAATGTGTTAGAAACAATCGCATGAAAGAAAAAAAAAAACATTTGAATACATATCTTAGGGTTCATTTCCCTAACATCAACTTACCTGACCTTTTCTGCTTGACTCAGACATATACTAGTTATTGCAGATAAGGGAAACCATGGGACCTATGTTTCTTTGGGCCTGGCTTACTTCAGTTAATATAATTTTTTCCAAGTCTTTCCATTTCCTAACAAATGGGGCAATGTCATTCTTTCTGATGGAAGCATAGAATTCCATTGTGTATATATACCACATTTTCTTTAGTAGAGTTGCCCATTCATAGATCTGTATATCTTGTACACTTTCATATTCAATTGTTCATTCAACTAGAACATGGATAATACATTCTTCTCAGGGATTTGATGTGTGTCTGTATTTCATTTGTGAATATATTTCTTCATTTTAAAATATCATTCTCATAGCTAAATAATAAATAGAAAGCCTTAACTCATAATTTTATTGGAGGATAATTATAAGAATAGATTTTAAGAGTTGGAAAAATAAAATAAAATTTTGCTATGAAAAACAATCTAATTCAAAACAAACAAAATGTTTCATGCAAAACCTTTAAATATAGGCAATCAAAATGTTTTTCTGACTCAACTGGTTGTATACTAACTAATCTGACTTTCTACAGTGTATAAAACACTTATAATATATCACTATTTTACTGTGTGTATATGTGGTTTCCTTGCCATAAAAACAAATAAGAGATGCAAATGTACCTTTTGTTTTCCAGAAACTATGATGGCTCCATTATAGGAGAGACTTTCAGTGCCATTTCTGTTTTCAAAGTCATCTACTTCCACAAGTATATTTTGTTGCTTTAGTGACTGAATAAAATCTTCAATATTTGAATCTAGTACAGAGTCAACAACAACAGAACACATGAAAGCAATAGAACATGTGTTACATCTTTGTAATGAACATCCATATCTCAATTAAAGCTGATGGTCATAGTATCTGCCTACATACTTCTCAACAATAGCACTGACCCATGAAAGAAAAACCCCATACTACCATTCTCTATTTAGCAAATATTGTTTTTATAATTTTGTTCAGTGTATGTTAACAAATGATCATTAAGACAAGGCAATTTTTTAAATCTTGCCTTAAATAAGCCTGCTCCTCATTTATTGTTTTCTAGAAAGGCACATTTTTCTTTTTTTTTGGTGGGGGGCAAGGGGAGGTCCAGTTGTGGGGCCTGAATCTGGGCCTGGGCGCTATCCTTCAGCTCTTCAGCTCAAGGCTAGTGCTCTACCACTTGAGCCACAGCGCCACTTCTGGCTTTTTTTTCTTTTTGCTTATGTGGTGCTGAGGAATCGAACCCAGGGCCTCATGCATGCAAGGCAAGCGCTCTACCACTGAGCCACCTTCCCAGCCTGAAAGGCACATTTTTCTTCTCCAAAGATTTTCTTTTTCTGGCTGCTATTTTATTTTGGATTTAAATTTGGTTTTTCTATTTACCTGTGTTATTGATGATCAACAGACTGGTGCAGAGATCCTGAGGAACTTGTCCAGGAGACAGGAAATACAATCCCGTCTTAAATTCCAAGTTCTGGTTATTTTGCACAGCCAAAAGTATTAGTTCCACAATCAAAAGTAAAAATGGAATTGCAAGTATGAGTAGCCTATAAAATAAATGAAAAATTACCCTATGAGTCAGCGGTAATTTTCCTTTATTCGGGAAGACATTCTGCAACTATTTTGTTAGGTGTCAAATCTAGTGACACCAACCACAATTTTAATATTCTAGTACATGCACTAAAAGATTTTGCTATATAAACATCAAGGTATCAAACTAGGAAAACTATGTTTCCTGAAGAGCAACCATATCTATGTTCCCATTATCAGGAAAAATCACATGCTACATTTATCTGTCCTCTGGCAGCAATTCTAGGTATTGTGTTCTATTCTGTCATTATCTTCTGGTTTGAACCTTTTAAATTCTTTTTTTGGTGGTGCTGGGTTTTAAAATCAGGGCTTCGTGCTTGCTAGGCAGATGCTCTACCACTTGAGTCAAATTGACAGCCCAAGAACCTCTTAATACTGGTTTTCTAATAAATTCCCAATGCTCTGCTACTTACAAGGCCAAAAGTGACTTCCTCTCACGTTTTAGTTTTAAGAATCGGAGCCAGGCTATCGCGCAGACCTGTGTTCTCCAGAGGCGCAGGTCACTCACTGCCTTCCGCATTTGGAGAAGAGAAGGGCAAGCTTGCTCTGTTTCATTTACGCTCTCTGAGACTCTTGGCATTTCTGAATGTTCAAAATCTATAGCACACACACACATACACACACACTGTTTATTAATACCATCCTGAGGGATCCTGTTTTTTTCTTCTTAAAATTATTAAAAGTTACTTTATTCAGATTTTGTTTTTATAACTGGATTCAAAGGAACTACTTAAATAATGTTGTTCAAGACTGATTAAGTTTATACACCACTGTTGCCTTTAATATTTTCTTTTTGTAGTCATATAGTTTCCCTTATAGATGGTGACATACATTAAATGGACACTTCTTCATAAAAATGTTTTGGAATATTTGTGGTTACCAGGCAAACAATATGAAAAAACATATAATAATGTGCAAGTTCTATAAATTCAAGGGAAAATATATTGAATTTTGTAGATATTAAATATAAGAAGAATTCAGTAAATGGTAGTTTTTGTTCAGCTCAGATTTAAAAAAAAATAATCTCCAATGTATCAATATAAATAAGAGATTTCAAAAAGTCTTGATAGGATAGCCAACCATTATCATCTAATATTCACCACTAAGGTATCACTAACCTAATATTGTAGGGCAAAAGCTCTAAAAAGCTCTAAAAACCCCTGACCTATACAAGAACCCTGAATATAGGATTTACAAGTGGAATGAAATGGGTACTACCTAACTGCTATTAAGGATGATATGCTCATCTAGAAAATGGTGACAAGGATTAGTATAGAAATGTGATGCTATAGGAATATGTTAGTGTATTATCTACACATTGTTTAAAGTATTGGGCATAGCAGGAGTTATAGAAATAATAGTTCTTCTATCACCCACAAAATAGACATAGAGACTTAGAATTTTCTCCATTTAGACTTTTTTGTGTTAAAGTAAGCACAATTTTTATTTTAAAAATATATAGATATGTTCAAATCTCATGCCCATAATGAAGAATTTTCATGTCCTCAAAGTATCCAACACGCTATGGAGATCGGAGAAGACTGCTAAAATGGGAAGTGCATAGTTTCCAAGGAGAATGTAAAAGAATCTATGCTTAGCCTTACTGATGATAATAGAAAACAGTAACAACCTATCACAAACAGAAAAGCCAAATTTGGAACTAGACACTTTCCTTAGAATTTATTATGCAAAAGAATATTAGAAATAACAATTGACCAATCTATTCCAAAATAAATTTGAAAATTTCTGTGAGTTACGCAAATAGTTTTACCTTTTTCGGTAGTGGATTTTCTATTTAGATCCATGAAGACTTCATTCAGAGTTGATATAGAGATGTCACAACTCATTATACCCTGACCAGAATATGCATCTAGATCACTGAGGAGATCTAAGACAATAGACAGAAGTACATACATTGAATAAAACATCAATAGGTAAACCTAGTTAATTAATGCTTGTCAGAAAGACTTTCTACAAATTACTGTGGAATATTACAATAAATAAGACAAAAATCTCATCAGCCTGGTCTTACTATGAAATTACTATATCAGGTTTCTTCAAACTCTTATCTTCATCTTCTCAGATCTTTTTCTAGGGTTAGAAGTATACTAATCCCATATTCACAACAAGACTAGAGGACCATAAAGTTACTGTCCTCAGTTTATCCCTAAATCACTCAAGGACGTGGAGTAGGGAGTGAGAACCTTGGTTTTCAGGCCTCAAGTGGTATAACTCTAGGCATGTTTATTTATTCTTTCATACTCCCAGTGATATTGCACTTCAGTTGTCTGACACAGTAACCTGCTTGGTAATGTAAACTTACCTGGCTTCCTTCCCTCCCCACCTCATCGCTCCATCCCCAGCTGGTGTTTCCAAGAATTCACCAGCAAATAAATTCACCCTCTCAAATCCTCATGTCAAATCCTGCTTCTCAGACAATGCAACCCAAAACAACATTCATATTCGCTAAATGATAAAAAAATGGTGTGAACATGCATTCCAAATTTCATTCCATTATAGTCATCTATACATCCATACATCTATACACCCATACAGTCATCTATATATTACCTGGAAACCTACTCGTCTTTTCCAAAGGCAAAGTGTACACAAGCTTCTCTTTGTTTTCTGTTTTTAATTCGGCCTCAGGGATGTGATGCTTAATAAAGGATGTTATTTTTTCTGGATCATATATTTCATTCCTATGTAAACTAATATTTAGGGAAAAAAGACAAGTAGTTACACTTTCTCTGTGACTACCTCACAAGAATTTTTGTTGAATAATTAGCCTCTGAGCACTATCATACTTGGTTTTAGAAAACAACAAAATGAGCAGATAATAACTATCAGTTTGGAAATGGTATCTGTATAAGGATGATCAATAGATTGAAACAACTGTAAATACATACATAATTATTGTATTTAAGCCAATGTACTGAGTAAACAAAGGGAAATGAGAATATCAGACATAAGAGACTTCATGGGAAACACAAAGACTACATCTAACAGGGTCACTATCAAAAATTATTGGTCAGCAGAGAAATTTGGCCCACTGCAAAGTTTTGCTTGCCACAGGGTTTTTATAAAACAAAAATTAAAAACTCTTTTAGACTGAACAACCAGTTTCTAGTTTAACAAAGAGTTTTTTTCACAACTCTTTGCAAGTAGATTTTTCTCCCTGCTGTTATTGACTTCTGAAAATATTTGCCTTCGAGCTCTTTGAAAAAATGGAAATATAATACTGCATATCAACTGAGTAAAGTGAAGAGTGAGAAGGTAGAAGATCTGGTCTATGAACAGCTACCTGGAAAAGTAGTATAGAAAGTAGCTCTGCTGTAAGCAGATGGTCTAGTTCATAATGTTGCCATTTTTGCCCATCATTAGCCTTACTACAGAGTCAAGGAGGCAGGAAAATAGGCAAAGTAGTTGAACAACACTTACCATGAGATCAATACTCGTTCACACTGTCTCACCTTAGTATTTATACCAGTACATACTAATATAGATCTAATCTTTTCCCAAAGTCTTTACCTTAGGTGATATCCAATGCCCCATTTTCTCTTCAAAAAGATGGAAGAGCCTGCACATTTCAGTTTCCCGTGGGACATTATCACCTTTCTATCTGATTAAAAAGAATCATGAGATAGAAGATATTAGGAGTCATTTTGTCTCTCTCCAAAAATATACTGATAAGGAATCAAAGTTCAGAATTCCAAAGAAATGCTCTAGGAGACAAAACTAAATATGCTAAAATACATCTTTGAAATCAAAACAGATACATTTGGAGCTCATCCAACACCAATCTAATTCAGTATCCTCCACTACTTCTTAAAGAAAGACATCACAAATTACATATGGGTGTATTTTCACCCAGCACTAAAGAATGCTTAGATATTTTTCAAACAGATATATATTAAATAAGATTTTTACATTTAATTAAATGTAGTTCTGATGTGGTCACAACCTAGCACCTGCATGGCAATAAGAAACTGTTCTCTAGCTGTGGAATATAGGCACATCCCGATATTCACAGTTCTTACCCAAGAGTACGCATCACATCTAAAGCCCTATTGTCATTGTGGTACTGAGATAAAAACAATTACCAGCAAGGCTGTCTGCCTCATCCACATACTTGGTACTGAAGAGGATCACCCGATTTGCTCTATGTTCCTTCAGGAAGCTCCACACCTGCTGCCTTGAAAAGGGATCCAGCCCAACAGTTGGTTCATCTAAGATCAAAATCTACAGGGGGTAAAGATACACAAAATATGCCTCTTTTCCATGTTAACTATCTCAGTAATTGACATAATGGGCAATAATCCATAAAACAAACAAATAAATAAATAAATAGCCCATAATTGTGTCCAATATACTTACTCACAGCTAAGCAAAGTGGGTTCCCAGTTGAAACACTGCAATGAAAGCACTACCATTTTAAACACCAGGAGGAATCTGGTACTTGAAAGTGGGGGGTTAAAGGGAAGGGAGCATATAAATGAAGAGGAAAAGGGTGGGAAATTCAGTCAAAATATCAATGTATGTCCTACAAAATTAAGGTAAGCAGGGAAGCGGTTGGGTATGGATGGGTGAGAATGTTGAAAGGGGTGATGTTGATCCAGATGCACTGTATTCATAAACTGCTTTGTTGAATGGCAACTCCTTTGTACAGCTACTTAAAGATAATAAAAACATATTTTTTTAAAGGATGGCTTTCCCTGACAATCTGCTTTCCTCCCCAGGCACAACCTTACTTACTTGAGGATCTCCTAAAATGGCAGTCCCAAAGGTCAGCTTTCTTTTCTGTCCTTCACTTAAATTTTCAACACGGTCATCCTGAATAGTTTGCATGTCAAACTCCAATAAAATTTGTTGTACCTGTACATATATATATATATATTTAGCCTAAAGTCCAAAATGACTCATTTTAACAATTGCAACTACCGGGCGCTGGTGGCTCACGCCTGTAATCTTAGCTACTGAGGAGGCTGAGATCTGAGGATCATGGTTCAAAGCCAGCCCAGGCAGGAAAGTCCGTGAGACTCTGATCTCCAATAAACCACTAGAAAACTGGAAATGGCGCTATAGCTCAAGTGGTAGAGTGCTCGCCTTGAGCTGAAGAGCTGAGGGACAGCGCCCAAGCCCAGAGTTCAAGCCACGACCAACAAAGAAAAATAAAAAACAATTCTAACAATGCAATTTAACTTTGATTAAAGTAGTAGATGCTATTGGAGATTCTTTATTGACTAAATTTCATTCATAGCTAGATAAGTAAAGCAGGGATGAGAATTCTTTGGCCATGATTAAACTTGGTACACGATTGCCAGTTCATTCATTTGAGCATGCCCACCAACCTCTTGTTCCACTTCCTGTGGATGGATCCCTTTTATTATAGCAAACAGCCTGAGGTTTTCCTTTAAGGTAAGTATGTCAAACTGAACATTATGTTGAAGACAAACACCAGTTCTCTTTCTGATTTCCTCCAAGTCTTGAATTTCAGAGGGATTTTTATTGTAGATAGTGACTGAGCCTAAGAACAGAATAAAAATAATTTAATGTTGGTAAGATGATAATATACTTTATTAATATTTGAACATATTACACAAGAAAATACTGACATACATCACTTAAAAATCTAAAATGAAGTGGTAGAGTGCTAGCCTTGAGCACAAAGAAACTCAGGGACAGCATTCGCGCCCTGAGTTCAAGCCCCAGGCCTGGCAAAAACAACAACAAAATTAACAACAAACCTATAGGACTGGGAAGGTGGCTCAGTGGTAGAGTGCTTGCCTTGCTTTCATGAGGCCTGAGTTCGATTCCTCAGCACCACATAAGCAGAAAAGGCTGGAAGTGACGCTGTGGCTCAAGTGGTAGAGCACTAGCCTTGAGCTGAAGAGCTGAGGGACAGAACCCAGGCCCAGACTTCAGGCCCCACAACCAACAAAAAAAAAATCTAAAATGATGATTTCATGATTTGTTAGCAGTTATTAATCATTGTTAGCACAAATACATGTTTATAGTGAAACACATTTTCTCTGAAATATCACACAATAAAATCAAAGTGATTTTCATGGGAACTGAAGAAACTGGAAATACATTCAAAGTTATTTAGTGCTGGGAAACAAGTTTAGGGAAACCAATGTCTTTCAAGCCATCAGATTAAAAAATTTTTAATGGCAAGTGTATATATGTATATATAAGCTCATTCTTTATCAGGTTGCTTTGAGAGATAACTTTAAACTTACCTTCTGTTGGAACAGATAGTCCAGTAAAGATGTTTAGTAGTGAAGATTTGCCAGCTCCTTTGTGACCCAGAATTGCTGTGATTTGACTTTCGTATATATCAAAGAGCAAACCTGTTTTTGATACAAGATATTCTAAATAGGAGGGCATTTCACAAGATGGGTCTTAAGCATTGAACAAGACAAATAGGTTTCACAGTGTGCTTATCAAGCATGTCAGTACTTTACATCTTTTCCAACTGCCAAAATAAAATGTAACTAATTTAATAACTAAAATGATGCTAATGACAGTGAAATGCATTTAATAATTAAAATGATTCTGATGCAATGTGGCATGATTAACAGAAGTCTAAAATTGACCAAAATAAATATGAAAATTAGTAAAATGAACTTAAAAATTCATCAAAAAGGATGAATTAATATTAACAACTTTTATGTTTGTTATTAAATATAATACACAGTGTTTTCATGGGCTAGAAGGAACTGACAATATCACCACAAAACTGAAATATGTGACTCAATTTCCACATCTACAAAGTGATGGAAATATTATGTGGTTTTCAAAAACCAAATGAGAGAAAAAAATCTGTGAAAATTACTTAGCATAGTTCCCAATACATACTTACACCTCAAAAAATTTTGTGTATTTATAGCTATTATCTTGTCATAATTTTAATTATGTATTGCTTATTAATATGGATTTAATATTCATGGAGGAAAATTAAATATGAACTAAGAACCTTAAAAATATCATCCCTAATAATTTAACTTCCAAAAATTTATCTTTATGAAATAAGGTCTTCAAAAAGATTGCACAAGAGGATTCATTCTAGGGGCTAGGAAGGTGGCTCAGTGGTAGAGTGCTTGTCTTGCATGCATGAGGCCCTGGGTTCGATTCCTCAGCACCACATAAACAGAAAAAGCCAGAAGTGGTGCTGTGACTCAAGTGGTAGAGCGCTAGTCTTGAGCTGAAGAGCTGAGGGACAGCACACAGGCCCAGAGTTCAGGCCCCATGATTGGCAAAAAAAAAAAAAAAAAGATTCATTCTAGTGGAGCTTTTATGGCAGTAAAAACTTAGAAATAAACTGAAAATCATGCATCATATGTTAGTTGAATGAATCATACCAGTCATACAAGACAATGGATGTAGTCACTTTAGGCTAATGATAAAGGATTTCAAAAGCGTGCTTTTAAAGGTATCCTAGAGTTGGCAGAGACTAGCTGCAGGAGCAGAAAGCCAAGAGAGTACAATTCTAATTCTATCCTTTTCCCCCAAGGAGCAACTCTAGCTCTCTCTGATTTCATTTTCCATATATTGTGTTTAGTTCTCAAGACTACTCTATTTTTATTTGTTTATTTATTGATTAATTTTGCTGGTCCTTGGGCTTGAATTCAGGGCCTGAGATCTGTCCCTGAGCCTTAAGTAGTAGGCTAGCACTCTACTACTTGAGCCACAGCATCACTTCTGGCCTTTTCTGTTTATGTGGTATTGAGGAATTGACCCACTAAGCCACATTCCCAGCCAAGGCTACTGTATTTTGCGGGAAGCATTTCTTTTCCTTCTGAAAGTCATTAGGATTAAAAGCAACAGGACCTCTGTGAAATGTAGACGCTAACTGTAATGTTTTCTTTAAAATTCATTGTAGAACCTGTATCCTTATTTCAGCATTTTCTTATTTCCCTTCTCCTCCCCAAATTAGAAAAATGTATATACAAGATGCAGGACACTGAATCAAATACAGTGAAAACAGGGGTTATACCATGGGGGAAGAACATACAATAGAATTTTAAAAAATCACATAGTACATTTTATATATATATATATATATATATATATACATATATATATATATATACATTAAAAACAACAGCAAAAAAGATAAAACATCTTGTGTAAAATTAAATGTACAAGACATTATGCTGAAAATGAACTTTACAACTTTGTAGGGGGGAAGGAGAGGAGTTAGGAAGGTGTGGAGGGAAGGGATGGTAGGTGAAAAACAAAGGAGGAGGTAACAATGCTTAATAGGAAATGTACTCATTACCTTACTCATGTAACTGTAACCCTTCTGTACAGTATCTTTACAATAAAAAATATATACAAAAAAGTTAAAAAATAAAATTCATTGTAGAAAACTATACTTTCTAGAACAGTGTTAAAATGTTTGCTTCATTCCAAGTTACAAACTATTCTGTCACAGGAAATTGTGCATTTAATTCACTCACTGACAATGGTTCTACTGCGACTCCTTTTAACTATTATACTAGTATTTTTTAGCCCTATATCCCTTAAACATTATTGGACTATAAGTGTAGATACTCCTTCTTCACAGTACAAATGTATCATTATGTTTTTATCCTAGTCATACTAAAACACAGAGAATTTTCTTGTTTCATTGTACCAGCCAATTTTGCAAAATAGATCCATTAAATATTGGAAAAGATTTTACAATTTTATTCTCAAAATTTTATTAGCATAAATTAATTTATAATAAATTCTTAATCATTAATAACAACCAAGTGGAAGATTAAGATTACTTACATTCATTTTCCTTTCTTTTTTTGTTTTTGGTATATTTTCAACTATCACATGTTGAGTTTTTCTCCTGTTTTGGTAATAAAGTCAATGACAGAATTAAGTCTTTTTTCTTTACCTTTCAATGCTTCCACTTTTCCAGATTTTCCTTTATATTCCTTTTTAACATTTCTGATTCTGAAATGATAAAAATGTTAATTTAGCTGCAACAGAGATAAAGACAGCACAGATAATGTGTTCAGTTTGAGTGATACAAGCAATTGGCCACTTTATGTAAAACGGATGATGTTCTAAGCATGTTATGCAGAAAACTTCCTCAACTATCAGCATAAGGTAGCTTACACTATGGAGAAAGGGATTCAAGAAATGAAAACAGCAAGTATAAAATAGAAGTGGTGGCACAAGAAACAAAGCAGACACAAGGTTCCACAAGGTGACTGTGAATGGTGGTAATCAAAACCAGAGAGACTTTTCTTTCAAGTAGCATTTAGGAGAGCTTGCTGGTGAGGGAAGTAGAACTGCTCAAAGGGATGTAGATAAAGGAAGTGGTGCTATGGCTCAAGTGGTAGAGTGCTCGAGTGCAGGGACACTGCCTAAGCCCAGAGTTCAAGCCCCACAACCGACCAAAATAAAAAATGTTTGGCAGGGATGTAGATAAAGATAAATTCTTCCCCCTTCAATAGTTTTCCCTATTCTCACTCAATCTCATTCATGCATTTGTGTGGTTCTCGTGTGATTACCTGATGGCTTCTTTTCCCTGTAACTCAGGAGCTACAGGCTCAAAGTAATCATCAGAGGGCTGTTCAGGATCTAGGTTTTCCTCAAGAACATTATTTTTAGTCCTCCAATGTTGGAAACAAAATGATGAATTCAGGAAAAACAATGGAGAATGGTGGAGATCACTTCCATCTAATTAATCAAGAGACAAGTATCCAATCAGTAATGGTATAATGAGAAAATAAAATTCAAAATAATATGGAATGTATTGGTTTTTTGTTTGCTTGTTGGCACCCTTGTGCTTTCTATCATGTACTATGTCTTTGAGTGACACTTTCAGCACTTTTTACTTTAGTTTTTTTTTAAATATAGTCTTGCATTTATGCCCTGTCCTCCTAGACCATGACCCTCCTATTATTCCCACATAACTGAGATGATAAGCATGTATCCTTGCTTCCAACTATTGGTTGAGATGGGATTTTGTGAACTTTTTACCTTGGTCTCATACCATAATTCTCCCAGTCTCCATCTCCAAGTAGCTAGATTACAGGCGTGAGACACCACACTCAGCTTGGAATGTTGTGAACTTTTACAATAACACAGGAAAAAAATTCTCCTTCAAAGTGGCTATGAATTCAGAATAAAACAAATGCTACACCATTTTTTTAAAAAAGCAGGAATAATTTTAAAGTATGTTCATACTTATCTTAACAAACACTATTTCTCCACATACTTTTCACTTGTATATCTAAATACAAATATACAAATTTTAGTATTACCTTTAACTCTACTTGTGTGATCTAATATTTATGTCTACACACATAACTCTAATTATTTTTATTTGTTATACTAATGCTTGGTGCTTTCACAACTTATTTTCTCAGCTTGGTGTTTATTTTATCCATTTGAAATCATTTTATTCAAACTTTTGATTTATATTTTGTGTTAAGTTCCATTATATTAACTTTTGCAATATTATTTCTTTTGAATTTTCATTGTTTACTTCCTTGTCACAAATGTTGTTGTTTCATAACTGAAAACATGCTTCATTCCACAGCTGAATTCTGAGATCTTTAAAGCACAACTAACACCAATATTCATCAAACTCTTCTATGAACAAAACCAACTGAAAAAGAGAACTACAAACCTATCTTTTAGATGAACACAGATGAAAAATTTCTCAAAAGAATACTAGACAATTGAATAAACAACTAATCCAAAAAAACATACACTACAATCAAATAGAATCCATCCTCAGAATGCAAGGCTGGTTCAATATATGTAAATCAATAAATATAATACAGTGCATCAACAGAAGTAAAGACAGGAATCACATGATAATTTTAATAAATGCAGAAAAAATCTGACAGATCTAACATCCTTTTATGTTAATAGCTCTAGAGAAGCTAGTAATACAGGAAATATTACTTAACATAATAAAGGCTGCTTATTACAAACCTACAGTAGGCATTATACTCAGTAATGAAAAACTAAAACCATTTTCTCTAAAATCAAGATCAAAACAAGGATACCCACTTTCTCCACACCTCTTTAATATAGTACTGGAATTTCTAGTAAGAGTAAAAAGTCAGGAAAAGACATAAAGGAGAAAGAAATATGGAAAGAACTAAAAGTCACCCTATTTGAAGTTGACATGATCCTATATTTAAAGGACCGAAGAGATTCCACCCCCAATCTCCTAGAGCTGATGAAAAACTTTGGCAAAGTAGCAGAATATAAAATATGCCAATAATGAAAAGACTGAGACTGAGATCAGGGTAGCAACTCCATATGCAATAGTGCCCCCAAAACAAAAATACCTAGAAATCAACTTAAATATGGATGTGAAGGACTTCTACAATGAAAACTATAAATTTTTAAAGAAGGAAATCAAAGAAGACTTAAGCAAATGAAAAGAGCTTCTGTGCTCCTAGATTGGAAGAATTAATGTCCTAAAAATACAACTCAAAGCATTCTACAAATTCAATACAATACACATCAAAATCCCAACATGAGTCCAAAAAAATCAAAGGTCCCCAAATCTCACAAGAAATCCTACGCAGAAAAAATATTGCTAGAAGTATAACAATTCCAAACACCAAACTATATATAGTGATATAGTAATGAAAGTAGCTTGGTACTGGCACAAAAACAGGTCTGATGACCTATGGAACAGAATAAAAGACCCAGAAATAAATCCACAGACTGATAGCCATTTAATATTTAATAAGGGTGTCAAAACATAAGCTAAAAGGAAGATAGTCTTTTCAACATATAGAGCTAGGAAAACTGGATTAACCTCATAAAGAAAACTGAAACTGGCTCACTAATATCAGTTCAAAATGGATCAAAGACCTCAAGGAAAGACTTGACATGAAGCGACTACTCTACTTGGCATAGGGAAGAACTTTCTAATACAGATCTAGGAGCACAGCAAGTCAAAGAAAGAATGGCAAAGTGGGATTGTATCAAACTAAAAGTTTCTGCATGGCAGGAGATATAGTTAACAAGCTAAAATTCCTACAGAATGGGAGAGGATCTTTGCTAGCTATACATCAGATAGAGGTCTAATATCTAGCATATACAGAGAGCTTCAGAAGCTAAGCCCTCAACAACCCTCTTCATAAATGGACAAAAAAGCTAACTAAAGACTTCTCAGAAGAAGTAAAAACACCCAAAAGATAAATGTAAAAATGGGATGGGAATGTGGCTCAGTGGTAGAGTGCTTGGCTAGCCTGCATGAAGCCCTGGGTTTGATTCCTAAGGACCATATACAGAAAAAAACAGAAGTGTTGCTGTGACTCAAGTGGTAGAGTGCTAGCCTTGAGTGAAAGAAGCTCAGGGACAGTTCCCAGACCCCTTAGTTCAAGATCCAGGACTGGCAAAAAATAAAATAAAATAAATGTAAAAATGCTCAACATATCAGACCATAAAGGAAAAACAACAATGAGATTCCATCTAACGGCTATAATCAAGAATATAAATAATGAGGCCAAAAAAGAATCCTAATACACTGTTGATGGAAACGTATACTAGTATAACCAACTCTTGAAAGCAGTATGGAGGCTCCCAAAAACATTAAACATAGAATTGTGCTATGATCCAGCAATTCCACCCCTGGATGTTTAAAAGATTCCAAACTATGGCTGGGAAGGTGGCTCAGTGGTAGAGCACTTGCCTTGCATGCCTGAGGCCCTGGGTTCGATTCCTCAGCACCACATAAGCAAAAAGAAAAAAGCCGGAAGTGGCACTGTGGCTCAAGTGGTAGAGTGCTAGCCTTGAGCTGAAGAGCTAAGGGACAGCGCCCAGGCCCAGAGTTCAGGCCCATCCATGACCAGACCCAAAAAAAAAAAAGATTCCAAACTAGGATACAGTAGAGTAACTAGCACAATCAAGTTCTTTGTAACATTATCACCATAGCCAAAGTATGGAATTAGGCCAGATGTCTCTCAGTGGATGAGTGGGTCAAGAAAATTATATTTATATTGGACTATTACTCATCTATTAGAGAGAATGATATTGGGGAAAAGATCATGTTAAGTGAAGTAAGTGAAGCCCAGAGAGACAGAGGATGTATGTTTTCTCTCATATGTGGAAGCTAGAATTAATCTATAAATATATAAATATACACTTTAGGGTGGTATCCAAGTGAAAACAACAATGTAATTCCTTAGAAAGGCTAACTCATAATCAAACAAAATAAACATCAGGAATGAAGTATTCAAAAATGGGGGGACTGGACCAACAAAAGGGGAGGGGAGTGAACTAATAAAGGTGGGGGGTAGTCATTAGACCCAATGCATATAAGAAAATTGAGGGAAAGGGTGGGGTTGGGAATGATAGAACAAAGTGATGAAAGGGGCGACATTGATCAAGATCCATTATATCCAAATACTACTTTGTTGACAGATAAAAATAATGTTTTTAAAAAGAATCTCAGATATAAACCCAGAGTCAATGAAATGTACAACTAAGTACAAATTACAGGAATGTATACAGTTAATTCAAAGGAACATATAAGACAACATTAACTGTAGGCAAAATGGCAGGAGTACAAAAAATAAGAAGTAAGATTGCATGGGAAAAAAGCATTCTAGTTCTAATCTGGGTGAAAGAATTCTGTGCTTATGTGAAAAATTTGGTTGTATCCAAGAAAAAAATCTAATAATCATAATCAACAAAATTTGTTAATATGACCAATATGTGAAAGAATATTGGCAAAAATTATACTAATCAAACCTGGCAGGGGGAATCTTTCATTTTATCTTGTTCTGATACAAGTATCCCTTTCAGAGATACTTTAAAATATATCATTATTTATTACATTTTTAAATTAGTATTGTAATATGATTATACTTTTATTATATTGAAATCCTAATAACACTGTTTCTACACCAAAACTTATTTAGAACATTAAAACTTTAAGTAGAAATACATAATTCACTTGGTCTGAGATAAGGAATATTTATTCTTTATATATAAAAATACATATTTATATAGCTTTAAGAAAAGCCCATCAATATAATCGGTCACTAAAAAAGTTAGAAAAATATTCACTTTTACTTACAGGGTAAGAGTTTGTCAAAGTATAATGCCAATAGCAAGTAAACTACACCATCGAAAACCAGAATAGAGCATTTTGCTATCATTACATAGGACTCTCCTGAAGGGTCAAAAAAATTGACACCATTGAAGTTGTAATCCTGATGAATAATCTAAAATTAAACAAAAATAATAACAGAATTTTAAATCCATAAAGGGTTTAGCAGAATGGCAATAATTAAGCTACTAACCTCCTGTCTCACAAAGCCCTTATTAGCTGTCAGTCTAATACATAAGTAAACAAACCTGTTAAAATATTTCTATTTTATTGTGACAAAGGAATCTTAGTACAAAATGTTGAATTTTTAAAGTACAATGTTCTAAATCTAGAAATTTAAATTCAAATGTTTTCATCAAGTTATTGCAACTAGTGAGTAATTATTTGCTACAACATATGATGTGCAAATGCAAGAAATTATTTGAGTCACTGAAGCATTTAATTAAAATACTAAAATGTATCTTTGAAGAGTTACTACTGAAAATAGAGATTTATATTTACAATAATATCTACTTTGTTCTGGAGCCTCTTATACTATCCTCCTTAATCTCCAGCAAAACCCTCTATTGTGAGCTTTGTTACATTTATCTGATTTGTTCAGAGTATGAAATTAGGGTATAGTAAAGTTGAGTGACTAAACTAGACAAAGACAAATCACATAGTGAGGAGAGGCTAAGCTGTGGTGAGAACTTAAAAAACCTAGCAACCTAAGTTAGGTGCCAATGGCTCACAGCTGTAATCCTAACTACCCAGGGGACTGAGTTCTGAGGGTCATGGTTCAAAGCCAAATCAGGAAGGAAAGTCCATGAGACTTTTATTTCCAATTAACCACTAAGATGGTTAAAATGAAGCTGTGGCTTGAGTGGTAGAGCACTAGCCTTGAGCACAAAAGCTCAAGGACAGAACCCAGGGCCCTGAGTTCAAGCTCAGGCACAAAGGATCCACCTCTACAAGCAATTTTTAAAAGAGAAAAAGGTAAAAAAATTCTTGAAGCATCTAGAAAGGTATTCAATGTCAAAGTATTCAAATACAAATTACCAGGACATACATCATTACATATCCATTAGAATGGATAAAATTTGAACAACCAACCAACAATATCATCAAAATTGTCAAAAACTGGAAACGTCATTTATCAATAAGAAAACTGATAGCATATTTATACAGGATAATACTGTGTAGCACTGTATTATAACTTCATACAAAACCTTGAAGGACACTTAAAAACACAATTTCGAATGAAAACAGCCAAATTTTCAAAAATACATTTGAATTTTTATATTATTCATATAAATTGAAAAACAGGAAACTAAAAAATCTCATTATTTAGAATCGCAAACTTAGCTGAAAATGAAAAGCAAGGATATAACTGTCATAAGCCCTTACCTTTTGAAGGACATGGCCTAAAGTTGCTTCAGAGTTAGTGCAATGTCCTTCTTTTTAATCAAGTTCATGGGCTTGGTCTGACTTTATAATTTGTTAAACTATATATTTATGTTTTAAAAGCTCTTCATATTTGAGTCATAGTTCATCAAGTAAAATGACTTAAAATAAGTTTAAACAACAATTTTAAGAACTAGCAGTGTGCTTCACTGCCTAAAATGAAAATATTAAATATTTGTATGTAGAAAAACACCTCAAGAAGAAAAATAGATCTCAGAAGTAAAAATATGTAAGTTTTCTTATGAGAAAACAATTATTCCTACACTGTAATAATAATTTTATATTTAGCAGAAAAATTGCTTAACGCAAATTCTCTTGGTGAGATGGGTTAACTACAAAGTGTCATGAAGTGTTAGTTCTTTTCAAAGTTTATCAATGAGTGAACTAAGCTTTTACCTGACTCATTCCAGAAGTAAAAGCAAAAGGGCTACAAATACTCAGAATCCACTCCAGAGATGAAGGAAGTTGTTTGTACAATGCAGTGAATCCCACACAGCCCCAAAAGAGAGTAATAAGAAACATTATAAAATTGGTAAGGGCAGCTTTCTGCAACAAAACACTCATCAGGAATGATAAGGCTATCTGAAAGAGAGAAGACATTTAAGCTGTTATATGTATTGAATTCATTGGGAATTTATGGGAGCACAATAAAATGAGGCTGTTTATCACAAAAGATATTTATCCATGAGAAAGTGATAGGAACATTAAAAATACCATGATCTGTTCTACTCTCAAACCTTACCCCTCCTTTTTTATAAAGAAGGATTATTTTTAAAATATGCTGGGTGTTGCTGAGAAAGAGGTGGGGGAAATCTGGGAAAAAATATGAGAGTAGGGTGCAAATGCAAAGTTTGAAAAATTGAAGGAAGCTAAATTAATGTATTAAGGGTGCTTATAATCACTACAGAAAACATCCAAGAAGGTAGAGAAAACAAAAGCCATGTTCAGAGAAGGACAAAAGCAATGAATTAGAGGGAGAAGAGATATTTTGCAGAATAATTCATTCAACATAATAGGATGCACTAGCAAAAGCACACACACATATTCTCTCAAAAACTTCCACTCACAAACATGTACCCACACACATGACAGACATGAAGCGATCTACTAGCCTATTGTTTCATTGATATTCGCTACACATAGTTAATATCTAAAGTGGAACAAATGGTGATAAATGTGTAAACTTACCAAAGATAGGCCATATAAGAAAAAAAGTGTAAATATGACGATGAAGCCAGTCATAACTATAGTTTGGGTAGTTGTTATGATAACTGTAATGAATATGGAAAAAATGAAGACAAAGCCAGCATAAAGTAAGCCCCAGGAGAGCCTAAATAAACAAAAAAGTCATTTTCATTATTTTAACTTTGCTAAAAATTATTTTAGACACACAAAACATCTAAAGAATATCATTATACATGTATCTTAATGACTATGGTATTTTAAAACAGCAGAAGCCCTCTCCATACCCTTTTCCTGATCACAATTCTGTTTTTCTCCCATTAATGTAACTATTTTTCTAACTGTGATGGTTTTAATTCTTATGCATTTTGACTGCCTTTGAACACAGCAATATGGTTAAATACTAAATACTGGTTAAATACTAAATACTGGTAGAGTCACCAATCAATGGGAAAGGACGTCAGAACCAGTTAAGATATAAACAGCATCCTAGCCTTGCTGTTACCTATAGGTTATGCATCAGCTCTGTATGCATGAACTATACAATTAGTATAAAAGCGGTAAGTTGTATAATACTGTACATATTCTTCTGTAACTTGCCTTTATCAGTCAACTTTCATAATGATATGTAATAACATAAAATATTTCACTGTCTGGTATACCCTAGTGTTTTCTTGTCCATAGATATTTAGGTTTCTTCAAAGCTATTTATTTTTATTACAATGTTTATCAAGAAGATTACTGCATTTTGTTTTGGGGGGTGGGAGATGCACAAGAATGTGTCTAAGGTGGAAATGGTGACTGAAACTTTGTATTCTCAGCTTTCTCAGACATTACTAAATGGTACTAATTGTAGAACTGGCAGGAAATTGTTATAAAGTTTCTTTCTGTCAAGTCAATCAAGTAGTTACAGCAGAGATGATAATTTAACTATTGTTGACTATTTTTGGAGACAATATCTCTACTCTCTGTAGGAGAAGAAAATTGAAATTTTATAATCCCATTCCATTTTTCCTACTCCTGTTCATGATTCTTCACTTAAAATGATCATAATGTGCATATACACACATTGTGGGACACCTTTATATCTTCACACTGTCTTGCTTTATATGTGCTAATGTTTATTTAAGAAACTGTATTCAGTCTAGCAAAATTATAGGGTACACAAGTCCATGAATTAGAAAGCCGTAATCTCTCTTATAGTTCATAGGCCTATCCAAGGTCACGGAATAATTAATAAGGATAAAGCTATAGAAGGTGATTATCTATCCATCTATCTCTCCCCCTTCACTCTCTCTTCTACTTAAAACTGTATTATTCAATAAGGGTTCAACAGGGGAAGAATACAACAAGTGTTAACACCAGGAAGAGGCATCACTATAAATTGTGATAGAACATGTTTTACTATAGCTATTGCTGATTTGACTTTTTTAAAAGGTGCATGTCATTATAATGACTCAGACTAGCATTAGAAACAACAGCATTTTTAAAAAGCATATTCTGCAAAACTCATTTCCTGAGTGCAGAGGGGCACTATATTAGGCAGGAATTGAAAACCAATACTACAGAAAACTTAGGAGTTAAAGAGAATAAACTATTACATAGAAAAGGGAACCAGTCACAGGGTGGAGGTGGAAAGGAAATGTTAGTACAGTACTTATTTAGGGGGGAAAAAAACAACCACCTCTTGGTAGTCAGCTGTTCGTTGCTAACACCTGTAATCAGAGCTACTTGGAAGGTTGAAATGCAGAAGATAATGGTTCCAGGCCATTCCAGACACAAAAGTTTTTTTTGTTTTTTGTTTTTTTGTCGGTCGTGGATCTTGAACTCGGAAGAGGTGTCCCTCAGCTCTTCAGCTCAAGGCTAGCGCTCTACCACTTGAGTCACAGCGCCACTTCTGGCTTTCTGGTGGTTCATTGGAGATAAGAATCTCACGGACTTTCTTGCCCAGGCTGGCTTTGAATGGCGATCCTCAGATTTCAGCCTCCTGAGTAGCTAGGATTACAGGCGTGAGCCACCGGCACCCGGCCTCACAAAAGGTTTTTGAGATGCCATCTAAACCAAAAGCTGGATAGAGAGGTGTATGTCGTCATCCCCACTATGCAGAAGGCTGAAACCAGAAGGTCATGGTTCCAGGCCCTCCTAGACAAAGGTTCCCAAGACCCCATCTCAACACAAAAAGCTGGATGCGGTGACACATGCCTGTCAGCCAGCTACAGTGGCAAACGTAAACAGAAGAGCTGCAATTCAAGCTAGCCTAGGGAAAAGGCAGGCCTCTGCCTCAGAAGTAACCAGAACAAAAGGTCTGAAGTTATGGTTCAAGCAGAATGCTTGTCCAGCAGGCATGAGACAATGAGTCCAAACCCCAGTACTATAAGAACAAAAAACAAAACCCAAAACCCAAAATAAAACTAACCAATTCTTTCAGGATAAAAACAATTTAGGCATCACATTAAAGAATATTGTTACAATTCACATTTATATTAGCTCTTTTTTTTTTTCCTGCAGGTTGTGGGGCTTGAACTCTGGGCTTGAGCTTTTCAGCTCAAGGTGAGCGCTCTACCACTTGAGCCACAGCACCACTTCCAGTTTTCTGGTGGTTAATTGGAGATAAGAGTCTCACAGACTTTCAGGCCTGGGCTGGCTTTGAACTGCCATCCTCAGATCTCAGCCTCCTGAGTAGCTAGGGTTACAGGCATGAGCCACTGGAGCCCAGCTTACATTAGCACTTGAAAAACGAAAAAGCCTTATAATGTATCTCCAATAGACTCCTGGCACCTAATAGTAATGTTTGAGACTCTTCCCTTCTTAGCTTTATTGATTCATATATAAATTAATTTTGCTAAGTTTTAGATTACATACATGCAAAGAATCATCCCCAAAATAAATGTTGATCCAAAGGTATGAAACCTTTCTGACTTTAACATGAGATTGACTGATACAGCGCCTGTCTCTGGTGGGCAATTTGTAGGCAGTGGGTCTTACAGGTCTTACAGGCCTTGTTCTGGACTGAGATCACTTCTAATGGACTTCATGGGGAGATTTAAATCTCTTCCTTTGTATTTACAAATGATCCACTTCAAAAGGTCTTCTTCCTCTTTCTTTGACAGTTTCCTCTTTGTGTATCTCACAAATCATGTAGAATATTAGTCTTAAATTATAGGGTAGTAAAATACATTTTTGAGAAAAGTAAAGATGTCCTCAATCATAATTCTATCTTAGGGAACCTGTAGTTGGCAAAAGATTACTGAATAAATAATTATTTATCCATTCCATGTCCATGGATTTTTGCTTGATACTAGGACTCTGTGTAGTACGGGCTGGCCTTTAAACACATTTTTCTGCCTCTGCCACCCTTCTGTTGAGATTATATACTACCAAACCAGCTAATGTGAGGAGTATATAAATTTCACTCATAATTCAATGTCAATAAAGGACATGTTTTAGAGGTAAAGTAAGCAGATTATTTTCCATTTTCATAGCTGGTATAAATTTTCTCTAATAGTCTTATGAAATTTTCTGTTTAGTTTCTTGGGAATTTGAAGCTTATATGATTAACATTTGTGTCTAATAACATCAACTCTTTATTATTTTGCTAGGTCTTTGTTTCTATGCAATTATTTGCTCTTATTATGATGTGAAGGCATAAATAAATAGATGTACATATACTTATACAATGTGTTTATTATAAATATGCATATATGCACTTTAAAGCACCTTAAATTATTTATAGAATGGGACTAGATATAAATAATAATACATTAATCAAATACTTGTTAAACCCTTCCTATGTGCCAGTCATTGTGTTATATACCCTAGGCACATGACTTCAATCTATGGTATTTTGTTCTTCCATAAAAACACGCCTGATAGCTAAGTCCTTGAACAGAATTTGGCCTTCAAAGAGCTATTCTTTCTTCAACATGAGGAAGGTTTGAGATATCATCATGTAACTGTGGATGGGCCAGCATTGGAGATGTCTCAGAGCTAAGGTTCCAACTGTCACAACCATCATCTACTGACACCAGATGGCCCTTATTCTCTTCTACCTTCACTATTTACAATATAGTCTCCAGAGCCTCTATCTCAAGGTTAGCATAGAAAAAAGTCACACACACAGTTCAGTAAATGATAATTACTACTTTCCATAGCAAAAAATTAAAGACTAAATCAAAAAGTGAGAAGAAACATGTCAAGTTTAAACCATGGTATTCTGAAAGAAAAAACAAACAAATATGTTTTCAGATTCCTAATTTCCATGTATTAATTTGTACTACTTGAATGAGTTACTTACCAGAATGCTGAGTCATATAGTCCCATGATTTTCATCATATCCTTGTACTTTTTTCTCTCTCTTGTAACATTAAGTGATAGAAAATATATAATTGATATGAAGTAAAATAAACAGAACAAAATAAACACTTCATTTTGAAAGCTGTGTTTGGAAATAGAAGGCAATGCCCTCATGTTTATAGCTGTAACAGACATCAGCTCCTCCATCACAGAGTGGTTTGCTGTCATCTAAAGGATTGAAGCCAACAGAAGCCATTATGTATAGGATCTCAATGGTGACATCTGAGAAAGTGCTGTAGATTGTACTGGTTTTAGTATTTTACTGTAGGCCCAGAGGATGTTACCATTAGGGGGATAACTGGATATATTGTTTATGTAGCTTTGTATGAAAAATTCAAAGTTAAAAGTACAAAATTAATCAAGGTATTTATTTAAATGCCTGCTTCATCATGTAAATACAGGAAAGCCTCAGTAAATATCAGTATATTGTGTTCCCTCTAAAAGTCATGTTAAAACTCCATCCCTATTGTAGTGATATTAGAAGCCTGGCTTTTGGGGAAGTGACTGAATCATGAGGTTATCACTCTTGTAAATGGGTTGCTGCCTTAGAAAAGCTGGAGGGAATTGGCAAAGACACTTTGTCCTCACATCCTTCAGCCAGGTTAAGGTGGTGATATCTATTAGGAATGGGCCTTCACCAGATGAGTAACAAATAACTTGCTGTTGTTCTTTATAAATTACTCAGTCTTAGATCTTTACTGATAGCAGAACTAATGGACTAAGGCAAATATTTTTCATCAAAGTCTTGTTGTTTCTGGAATTAGTACAATTAAGCATTGGAAGTTTTTGACTGATCACTTACTTCTATAATAACAGCATTTATGAGAGTTTGTAAAGCCACAAAACCTCCTTTCCAATATAGGGACGATTCACATAAAGAATCATCATGCGAATCAAAGCAATAATCTATAAATATAAAAAAGCACAATTTTGAGATGAGAGAAGTGGAAGAATAAGAAATGAAAATCTAAAAGAAAGCAATCTAGAAGAAACTCCACCCATTAGAACTTTTAATAACATAGACAAAAGAAGCAAATAAAATGTTTTAAATAAGGAACATTTTTTACTCCCATATTAAGTGGCTTGGCAAATTCTTCTACTGCAGATCACAAGGAACCACCCATCTATAACAATTTTATTCATAAAAACCACAAAAGAAATAGAAAATCTTAGCAAATAAAAATGAGTGAATTCCACTGCTCCAGCCATAGTAGATTCCATGTTATGTCTCAAAATGCCAAACATTTCATCCTTTGCTTTGCATGTAAAGGTTCTCCTTCCAGAAATATACATGGTTCGGTTCACTCATTCCCTATATCCACATCCCTTTTCATCATAGAGGGTTTTTCTGCTACTATAAGTAAAATATAGAAACCAGCTTGAAATTCAGTCTTATAGCTTCGCAATTTTCTTTATATTATGTTGGTTGCTGTATCTGTTTCTTCTATCTTTTGGCCATTACTAGAATTATCACTGCAAACAGGCTCTGTGTTTTCTTTTTACCACAAACAGTGATATATGGTACAAACTTAGTAAATGAATAGTAAGAACTGATCCTTCTACTCACATCAAGTCTATTTGCTAAATTGTCTAATCCATTGGTCTATTTCATAAGCTCACTAGAGGGTTTTATTGCAGTTTCTTAGAACTCTTTGCACTCATTCCCTGAGCTATATCATTAATGCTCTGTTAATCTCAGAAACCTATTCACATTTTTACATCATTGGCTATCCAATGGTTTAGGTTTTCAAGATATCACAGGAAATAGCCCTTAAGTATCTTCAGTTACATTTTTCCATTCGATCTCATTCCTTTTATGTTCATCTTCCAAATCTACTAACAAGATATTCTTTCTCAACTTAGTACCTTAACATTTGCCTCTTTTTCAACAAACAAACATTATCTCAACTTTCTCAAACTTGCTGTTATCCTTGTCTTAGTTTAAACATCACTTCCCTAATCTGACAGTTTACTAGGAATCCTTGGTAAGTCCCTACAAGTAGCTTCCCCTATACTTGTCATTAACTGTTCAATAACTGTCTTACTTAACTGGAATCACCTGACATTGGAACCCATCAGACTTGATTACTCCTATCTTCTTTAAAACATATACCTAAAAGTTCAATACATATATGATGAATCATTCTACAATATTTTCAGAGTTAATCTCTCAAGGGAATACTCTTGACCTAAGAATACGCTCAACAATAAAATTCTATTCTCTCTGGTTTTTCCTATGCCACAGAAAATATTTGCTACCCATTCATTCCCCTATCCCTTAAGTTTAAAAAAACTGCCATAAAGCTATTTCATATAAAAATTCACCTGATAAACTTTTTTCAACCATTGGAACTGAATAGTCTTCAACTTTTAGGTTGTAAGAGAAAATGTCATTAAAGATGATTCCCAATGAATTTGGAAGATGCTTCTGAAATATATCTTCCATATAGGTATAATTTGCTGTCCCAATGATACTTGCTCCTGTATACCAAAGGCAAAAGTAAACATAGAAAATTTTTAGAGGGCTCCACCAAAACAAAACATGCTATTTGACTATCATATATTGTCATTAGATAGAAATTAAAAAATTTGCTTTCCATTTAAATGAAGCTTGAACTGAAAGGTAAGAAGACAATTTTAATGTTGTAGATTCCAGAATCAGGAGACAGATGTGTATAAAAATTAAATGCTGTTTTTCAATAATGACAGGTATCAGGGAAAGTTTCAGATACATAGAAATACTATCCTGAAGTAAGCAAGCATGAGATGATAAGGAAATGATTATGGTATTACTATACAGCTGAGAATTCCAGATTTCATATTTACTGAAGCCAAGACTATTTCTATGATCTCCTCCTTATGAAGGGACCAAGATAAAAAATCAACACTTTTTATTGTTTGTTTTTTTCAGGTTTTTGTTTGGTTTTCTTTTTAAACTGTATTTTTTTTGTCTTTTCTTTTTTGGTACTGGGGATCGAACCCAGGATGTTGCACTTGCTAGGCAAGCGCTTTGCCACTGAGCTACATCCCAGCCCATTTTTCAGGTTTTTGTTTGTTTGTTTATGTTGGTCGTGGGGCTTGAACTCTGGGCCTGGGCACTGTCTCTGTCCCTGAGCTCTTTGTGCTCAAGGCTAGCATTCTATCACTTGAGCCACAGCACCATTTCTAGTTTTCTGGTGGTTAATTGGAGATAATAGTCTCATGGACTTTCCTACCCGGGCTGGCTTTGAATCATGATCCTCAGATCTCAGCCTCCTGAGTAGCTAGGATTATAGGCATGAACCACTGGCTTATGAAATTGAATTAAAAGAGACAATATTCAGCTTGCCCTTAAATGAAATACACCTTGTGTTCTTCTTATTATATGATGATCTAAGTTAAAATAAAGGCCTTTAAAGATGTGTAATATTACATTATATGCAGGACAGTTTTCAAACTGTTCATCCTTACTTCATAACTATGAAGTTACAAAATTATTGTTTAATAACCATAGTCTAATCTTTCTTATCTTTGCTGGTCCTGGGACTTGAACTTAGGGCCTGAGCACTGTCCCTCAGTTTGTTTTTTTTTTTCTCAAGACTAGTGCTCTAGCGCTTGAGCCAACTCCACTACTCCACTTCTGACTTTTTTGGTAGTTAATTGGAGGTAAGAGTCTCACAGGCTTTCTAGTAGCAGCCTACTGAGTTTCTGTGATTACAAAGGTGAACCACTGGTGCCCAGCTAATGTCCTAATGTTTTATTTAGATATTATTTAAATATTTATTTTGTATTTTTATGTTAAAAACATAGTGGCTCTATATTTTCTAGTCACTATTTTGTAAATCTGAAATTGTGCAATATGTTGTTTTGTTTATATTCTAGTAGAAATATGGGCCTCTCATACGAAAACTTGTTTAAAATATTTAAAAAGCTAACTGTTGTGACTTAATAAAAGCCTAATAAAAATTTTTTTGGGGGGGAGTCCGGTCATGGGGCCTGAACTCTGGGCCTGGGCGCTGTCCCTCAGCTCTTCAGCTCAAGACTAGCGCTCTACCACTTGAGCCACAGCGCCACTTCGGGCTTTTTTTTCTTTTTGCTTATGTGGTGCTGAGGAATTGAACCCAGGGCCTTGGGCATGCAAGGCAAGCACTCTACCACTGAGCCACCTCCCCAGCCCCCTAATAAAATTTTTTATCCTGATATTTAAACTTTTTAGCAAAATGCATCATTGTAATTTCAAACTGGTATACGAAACTCTTATCAAAAATATATGTACTACTAAGAGTAATTCTTTCTTACCCTGAGTACACTTACCTTTCATAAAAGGAGAAAGTGCTATTCTATTCATTATCTTCTGGGTTGTATTAGAGATTGGCGTATATACAACTGTCATAGAAGAGCTATTAAATTGATCTAGCCTTCCCAGGTTCTCAGGAGGCTTTCCAGAAAAATGTATATTGTATGTAAAATGTGCAATTGTACTCATATATACTCCTAGAAGTACTGGGATGCCACATTCCTATGACACATTAAAAATAAGAGTGAGTTTTGATCATTTTCCGGTCAAGTCAGTCAATATCAAAGAACTGTGGCAGATGATTACCCATTTAGTTTCTACTCTTTGGAACAAGAACCTCCTAATGAAAGATAAATTCTTAGGACATACACTTATCACTTTTGGATGCTAATACTAAACTTTTGCCCTAGCTCAGGAGCTACTTTAGAAGTCATTGAGAACCTAAGGAGATACAGAATAAGGTCACAATCTCTATACAACTGGACAGCTGATTCTAAAGGTTATAAGACATGCAGTATTCCAGATAGGGTCCAGGGTAGCAAATCATAATTCTTAGAAATGATATTACATCAAAAAAATAGACTTAATAACACAAAACTAAAATTTTGCAATTTATGCTAGGCAAAATTTTTATTATTTCTTGGATCTAAATATATATGTGGCAGCTTTAACATTTGCTAAAATTGACCATATAAAACTATTACAGGAAAGGGTAGGGGAAACACTAGGGATCCTGAGCACAGGTCTAAACTTTCTAAGTAAAGATCTAGAAGCACAACAAATCAAAGGAAGAATTGATAAATGGTATCGCATCTAGCCTAAAAATTTATGCATGGCAAAGGATGTAGATAAGCCAAAAAGAAAGCCTACAGAATGAGAGAAGATTTTTATCAGCTATACATCAGAAAAAGGACAAATATCCAGAATATACTTGGAGTTCAAAAAAATTAAACCTTAATAATTAAAAACTTCAAAGAAACAATTCAATTAATAAATAAGCTGATGATTTGAACAGATTTCTCAGAAGATGCCCAAAGGATTAATAAACACATTAAGAAATGCTCAACATCTGTAGCATAAAGGAAATGCAAATCAAAACAACACTGAGATTCCACCTCACCCAAGTTGGATGGCCATTATATCAAGTACACAACAACTAATGCTGGTGAGGATTCAGCCAAAAGGGAACTTTAATACACTGTTAGTGGGAATGTTTACTAGTACAACCACTTTGGAAAGCAGTATGGAGGTTCTTCCGAAAACTAAACATAGAACTATCTTATGACCTAGCAATTCTATTTCTGAGATTTTATCCAATAGATCACATACAAGTTTTTACAGTAAAGCCACCAACACAACCATGTTCATTGCAGTATTAATCATCATAGCCAAGTTATGGAATCATACCAGATGCCCCTTAATAGACTAATGGATCAAGAAAACATAATATATATGCACATATTTATATATTACTGAATTTTACTCATCCATCAGAAAAAATGGTGTTTTAAGGAAATGGAGAGGAAATGGGGAGACTTGGAATTACATTAACTGAAGTATGTCACACCCAGAGAAACAAAGGTTGCATGGTTTCTCTCAATAGTAATAGTTAAAAATGTGCCTAAAAATCTATAAGTAAACACATTGGGTGGTATGCAAGGGGTTACAAATGAATTAACTGAAGTATAGTAGACTTTTAGGAGAGCTCAAATCGTGTAGTGTTTTAGAAAGGTAAAGTCAAAGCCCAACAAAATAAGCACTAGTAAATGGGTACATTGTAAGAGGAGGGATAGGAACAAGGTGAGAGAGGTAGAAAAATAAAGGGGGAAAAAGGAGGAGAACGCAGTTGAGAATTCATTGTACATACCACAAAATTAAGTAAAGGAAGGGGTGGTTGAAGAAAAGGAAGGGGTGGTTGAAGAGGGGTGACACTGATCAAGATTCATTGTACTGATAAACTGCTTTGGTAAGTGGTGCCTCCTTTGTACAACTACCTAAAGATAGTAAATATTAAAATTTTACCACATATATTTTATGTAATTTCTTTTTTTAAGTATGAGCAATACTTTTAGTATTGATTGTTATATCTCTCAATTAAACATACACAACTAGCGACAACTTCAAAATCAATTTCCTGTTTAAAATATAACATTTGAAATAACTAGGCAATGATAGAAGAATGCTAACTGTGGAAAAAGGCAAACTTTCAGACATACCAACAAGCTATTTATTTTCATTCTCCATTTCATAAGAAGATTCTTGTGCAGAAGCACTCGAGTTTGCTGATACAGACTTCTCTGCTTTATACCCATTTTACCTGTTCGGCAAATGAACAAGGATAAGTAAACCACAAATATCAGGATAAGAACCTTGATTTTATTTTTGAGAAACATATTTACTACTTTTGAGAACTAGTTTTAAAAACTATCAAACATCAGTACAATAAGTCCTGACTAAACTCAACTATATTCACTTGAAGCTATATGGAGGAGTGGTAATAGTAGGAAGTAGTGATTGTCATTATGCTTTTCCATTGTAATGCACACATATTACATACAGTATTGTAATACATACAGTATTACAATGGAAAAATTCTTGCTAAAGTTCAGTTATCTAATGGAAGATAATTGCACATTTTTTACCTTTTATACACTGAATTCAATAATGTAAATAGAATAAAATGCATCTCATTCTATTAATACTTATTTCTTGTTTCTTACATTTTAATACAAATATCAGAGCCAATCAAAATCCTGATTCGTTAAATTCATCTGAATCATAAGCTATATTCCTTAATTACAACCCCAACAAAATGTTTTCTTATAAAACTTACCTTCACATTGAAGTAAAGGACTTTTAAAAAAGAACGAGGCTGTGGATTATAATACAAACTCAAATTTCTTGAAAATTGATTCTAAGGCACAGGAAAAATAAAACATTTCTCTGAAATTTCTGAATTCTGAAGTCTCTGAATAACTCAGGAAACAGAATTAAGTTTATATAAGAGAGAAAGCAGAAGTTACATAGGAAAGTAATTTTTCCCAAATACTTCCAAATAAACAGAAAATATTTTTTCTAGTTTTTAGAATCACTAAGTTTAAATATTATGTCAAATTTGTATATCAAAATATCCCAATAATTCTCCTTCAGTTGAGATAAAGTAAATTTTTACTACTTTCCTATATTCTAATGCTATATCCACACAAGAAAAAGAAAAACAGTAAAAGTCTTCAATCTAAACATAAATACTGGAAGCATCAATATTGTACGAAAAATAGATTGATTTTTAACCATGTCTACTCACTTTACTTACTGTCAGAAAAGTCAGAAAAAAAGTACTCTGAAAATATGGTTCTCTTTTTGTCTAGTACAAGAACTAAACTTTTTTTCCCTATGTAGGTACTACTTCTTGTTTATACTCAGACCAGTTTCTGAAAAAGGATATAGTCAGCCCAGCTGCACACGATTAATTTGTTTATTTTTTTTGTTCTGTGCTCTTTTTATCCCCTAAGCCAAGTATTTTGTAGAGAAATGACTGCCGCATGATTGGTTGAGAAAAAAAAAAAAACACCCATGTTTGTTCATTTGGCCTTTCAACTGCAGGAATTGGGGAGGAAATGGCAAACAAAGAAAAATGAAACTGGTCCATCAGACACCATGGCATCAAGAAGGAAAAAAAGGCAAGAAAAGCAAAAATAACTAATCACACAAAACACTTAACTTTCAATGAGAAATAAGCTATGTTTCTTCACTACTTATGGCTACATACAACTGTCAATTATAGACTTGGCAACTTCACACTATGTGGACAGAACATGCTAGAGCTGAATTTCTTTTCTTTCCGAAAAAAGCTAAACAATCCATAGTGTGTCTTAGAAAAATTTCTTGGATGAACAAATGAATTATGAACAAATTTCTACCTTTTACTCTATTCATAATAGATACAGGATTTTATAAGATACGTAAACAAAATAAAGTATAGTGAATTACCAATGCTCAAAAAACATTACAAATATTCAAGAGGGCTTTTTTTTGCAGGAATACTAGAAAAAAGAAGTCTATTTCTCTGAAAAGAATTGTCAACTTTTCTTGCCTTGTCAGAGTAAATGGCAAAACAGGAAATCAAAGTCCAAAAGGTCATGAATTGCAAAATCTCAAATATTTGACATGCTCCCAATCCACAATCATAGGCTGAAAAATATGCTAGAGAAAGTGGGATAATTTTAAAACAAGTACAGTCAAAGCCATAGCATTATATATCTATGACTATACATGCATGCATTCATACATGCATTTACATACATACATACATCCTTGGCAAATATATAATGGATGTAGATGCAGCTTTCACAAAGAATGAAATTGTGTTGTTTGCAGGGTAATGGATGAATCTAAAAAAAAAAAATCAGCTATGTGAGCTAGACCCAGAAAGGCAAAAAGACTGCTTTCTCCTCTAACTATTCTACAAAGTACAAAGAGGAGTGACAATCCAAAACTATTCTATGGATCATTATTATCCTGATATCAAAACCAGATAAAGGTACCCCCCCAAAAAAAAGAACTCTAAGAAAGACAATTTCCTTAATGAATGTGGATGCAAACATCATCAATAAAATATCCAAATTCAATAATATATTTAAAAGGATCATGTACACTGATCAAGTTGATGTCATTCCAGGGATTCAAGGATGGTTCAATGTATACAAAAAGTAAATGTAATATAACATATAAACAAAAGCAAAACAGAAACACAAAATCACCTCAATAGAGGCAGAAAAATACTTTCCTTTCATCCCTTTACAATGATGTCCCTAGAGAAAATAAGAACAGAAAGCTCAAACATCAATATAATAAAGACTGTTTTATCAGTGTAGTTGTTTCCTAGAAATAATATTTTTGTCTTGTTATTAAGTTGTATACTGAACTATAGGCCTTTTTAAAGGAAATAGTTCTGTTCTCAGATTCAATTTTAATAAGTATACTGAAAAGCAAGATTTTGGAGTCTTCCTCTGTAATAGGTCAATTTGTTTCAAGGCCCTGAACAATTTCTTAGCCTACATTTGCTTTTGGTATAAAAAAGAAAATTACACTTCTTTAGGAAGTTAACTTCATTTTTTATTTCACATTTCCTTTCTCTGTTATTTCATATAATATATGTTACATAATGTAAGCCATTTCAATATTGGTCTTTTTAAAAGTACTGCTTTAGTTATAATTATTAAAACTATTATCTTGAGGTCAATGATTTTTACTTTTATCATTATTACTTCCTTTACTTCTCTTCACTATCAAGTACCTCTCACATATGAAAAATGTTGATATAATACAATGTATGCTCCCCAATATATTTGATACATATGCTCCCCAAACATTAAGACTTAACATTTTGCTACATTTTCTTTAATTTTTTTAAATTACATATATATTTAATTAAGTCTCTTTTGTAACTTTTCCAAAATCTTAAGTATTTTTTTCTCCACTGAAGGCATCTTCCCTCTTATTGGTTGGTTAGAACTCAGGGAATTAGCACCTCTAATAAAGTACACTGCCCCTTATGTCCAGTCCCTTTTTTTGGGGGGGGGGTCCAGTCATGGGGCCTGAACTCTGGGCCTGGGCACTGTCCCTCAGCTCTTCAGCTCAAGGCTAGCGCTCTACCACTTGAGCCACAGCGCCACTTCCGGCTTTTTTCTTTTTTGCTTATGTGGTGCTGAGGAATCGAACCCAGGGCCTCATGCATGCAAGGCAAGTGCTCTACCACTGAGCCACCTTCCCAGCCTGAAAGGCACACTTTTCTTCTCCAAATATTTTTTTTTCTGGCTGCTATTTTATTTTGGATTTAAATTTGGTTTTTCTATTTACCTGTGTTATTGATGATCAACAGACTGGTGCAGAGATCCTGAGGAACTTGTCCAGGAGACAGGAAATACAATTCCGTCTTAAATTCCCAGTTCTGGTTATTTTGCACAGAAAGCTCAGCAGTACTGTCTGTGCAATGAAAGAGTAAAAGAATGTGCTCTGAAGGGCAGGCTTGCAATGTCCGGCAATATGTAAATCCAGTCACGTGGGAAGCAGAGATGGGAGAATCATAACTCAGGGCCCGTTTGGCACAAAAACACAAATGTTAGCAAAATACCTCCAGTAAAACAAGGTGAGCATGGAGTTTCATGCCTGCAACCCGACCTACATGGAAAGTGGGACTTTACCTGGAAAAATCAAGTGAAAGGGGAACCACACAGTAAAGTGCTTGCCTAGCCAGCACAAACCCCAGTAATGAAAAAAATCTAGACTATTAAGTCACATTACCTGGGTTCAAATCCTACTTGCACCATTTAGGAACTCATTGTCACTGTGTAAATCATTTAACCTTGCTGGTCTCCGATTCTTCAGCTATAAGGTAAAAGATGAAAAGAATGTTGTAAAGACTAAACGTAGTCTTCAGCACCAGTGGGTCTCAGTTTCCAACATCCATGATAATCACCTGGAGGACCTGTTAAAATGCAGATGGATGGACACAATCTTTGGGGCTTGTGGTTTGATAGATCTGGAAAGTCCTGGTTAGTCCACCCTTAAGCCTCTAAAACAGTGCACACGGCTGTGGAAAGATGATCTCCACAGCAGCAATTATCACTGAGTTCAGTGATTGCTGTTTCTAAAGCTTATTTCTTACATACAAAGTCCCTTCTGTGGGAATTGCTTCACTTCTCAAATATTCCAATGAAATGTGGCTTTTGTTTGACTCAGCTTGACTCATTCTCCCAGTGGGAACTACCAATGAAATCCTTAATAATGATTTATGTGGGGGAAATAAACTAAACTATCTGAAGTATGTGAACACTACTAGTTTCATTATTTGAGTCAAAAGAACTAAGAGAACTGAAAAAAAAATCAGATTGGGGGATTACAGTCAGGTCTTTATTAACAAAAACCTTTTCTGAAGCTTTTCTTTCACTATCTTGGCTCAACCCTCTTCCAGTTATTAACAAAACTTTCTTTGGGGATGAGGAGATGGTAACAGGTTTTTCTATCATTTGGAGATCTGAAAAGTTTCAGAAGACTCCTTATCAAAAGAAGCCAGGTGCTGGTAGCTCATGTCTATAATCCTAGCTACTCAGGAGGCTGAGCTCTAATGATCATGGTTACAAGCCAGTCCAGACAGGCAAGTCCATGAGACTCTTCATCTCCAATAAACTGCTCAAAAAAAACCCTGAAAGTGGCACTGTGGCTCAAATGGTAGAGTGGTAGCCTTAAGGGAAAAAAAAAGCTTGGGACAGTGCCCAGGCCCTGAGTTCAAGCCCGGGGACAGGCAAACCATTTCTGTCCTTCAGAACTTCTGGCTGTTTGCCTTCTTAAGTTTCACAAGTAGTTAACAAGTAATTGGAGCTATCTTCTGGCCCACTCTGCATTGTGTGTCTTTCATTTTGATCCCATGGACTCTGATACGAAATGGCAAATGATTTCCCAAGTGAACTAGTAATTGAGCGACCATTTCATTCGATAGAGTTCAGCCTTTGGCTTCCCAGAGGCTACCTTGCTGGTTCTGCCACAGTTTCAGCCGCCCCACGGTCCTTTCTGGGACTGACAGTCCTCTGCTGACATCTTGTGGTCAGAGCATTTCAACCATTTCTTACCCCAGCCTCTGCCAAGGCCTGGAGCTTGTACTAAGTAGGCTTCCCCTTGACAGGATTAGAAACATTTCCACGGCCTCTGAGCCTTTTTCTTAAAAGACAGACTTTATTTGTAAAGTATTTGTAAATAACCTTGTCACAGACAATGGTAATGACATTCATTCTCCCTAGCACAGGGCTCTAAATTCAAATTGGAAATTATCATGGTAAATCCTTTTGATTTTCAATCAGACAAAAAGGCCAAAAACCTTTAAATGGTTTTCTACATGATTTAGTTCACTTTTTGTCTGTAGTCTGCTGAATGTGTTTTGTTTACTCAGCTACATGGGAACATCCATGAAGACCAAAGTAGTACTGGGGTGTGTATCTTACAAAAATATATGTGATTATTTTAATGGCCAAAAGTCAATCAGATAGTGCCAATGTTTGTTGGTGATGGGTTTAAATTCTTAGCCTCTAGCTTACCAGGTAAACACTCTTACTACAGACATGACTCTAGTCCTGCTTTGCTGATTATTTTTTAAAGTCTTGCTTCCTGCCCAGGCTTGTACCTGGGCACACTTGAGACAGATGCAGACTCATTGAAAGACATTTAGGGAAGTACAATTGACATGGTACTGCCTCTTCCTTTTAGAAACCTATTTCTTTCTCTGAAATAGAATGTAGATACAAGAATTAACTCAGATCCAGAAACTAGGTCAGTGACCATGACAATTTATTGAGGCAATTGCTTTTAATCTACTCTTACATTTATAAAAGAAAGAACCACCCCTGCTGACCTACTCATTTGATACCCCTCCCCAAGGTTAGTGTTCATCCATTATCTCTGTAACTGTACAGGTCCTACTTTCTACTTCCCACAACCTACCTGTTGTCAAGGTAAGTATGGCCTCATATTAAAGCAGATAATACAATTTGATTTGGTAAATACCAATAGTATAAGAAAGAAGAGAGTTCCTTTCCAACCTGTACAGAGGTGATTTAGATGTTAAGGGGAGAGAGGTTCAGCAGTTGAAGAAGTAGAGAAGTATAAAGAGGTGCTCAGTGTGTGTGTTTGATTAGGCCACCTGTGTTTGGCAGCTGGCAATTACTAAAATTAGGATATCCTCCCAGAGCCTGGGAGGCAGAAGCTTTGTCTTCTGTAGTATTTATATTTAAAAGAAATGGTTCTCAGGTCTGTGAGAAGCACCTGAGCTGCTAGCAATGTACTTTCTAGGAAAGTATTGAGCTTTCTCTTGTTATGGAAGGCTGGAGTCATCCTACAAGTATGTGGTTTTGTTGCTAGAAGCTATACTAGTTTACCAAGTACAAAACTGTTGTCCATCAGTGTTCATTACAATAATTGTATCCATGTGGTTTGGGGTTGTTAAGCACTGCCAGCTAGCCAGAATTAGTCAAAACTGTCATTGCCTTTATTGTGAGTCCAATACCATGCCACCACTGAATT